GGGGGGAAAAAACATTATTACAAAATGCGTATCAGAAAAAAAAAAGTGCCCGAATGCGAAAAAAAAAAGGTCGTAACAGGGCTAGAAAATGCGTCAACGAGCAACACCGCTAATCAAAATCAATGCATGGCGGGCCGACGGGGGACGGTGTCGACCATAGTGTATTATATCCACGTCGGATGTGATGGAGATCGATCACAGTGGAGGTGGTTTAGCGACCGACTTCGAGGTCGGAGTTGGAACCAAGGGTCTCCCCTTCCCAGAGATGATGGTCATCCGTCGGGCTCAGAGAGCCAGAGGAGATGGAAGAGGATGACCCCACAGTCCACTCTTCGGTATCCGTGCTGGCGTCACCATCGAAGTTGGCCAGGCCGTAACTGTACTCTTCCGGAGCATCGCCGAATTCAACAAAGTCGTAGTCCCAACGGAATCGCTTGTGAGGCTGAATTCGCGGCAGGAATCGAGCCTTGGCAAAATAGAAGGCCACGGCAGCCAGGATACCACCTCCGACGAGATCGACGGCATAGTGGTGAGACAGGTACATGGTGGCCCACCACATCCAGAGGGTATAGGTCACGAACAGCGGCTTGAGCTTGGGAAAGACGTGACTCATGAACAGGGCGGCCAGAGTGGAATCTGCGGCATGGAGAGACGGGAAGGCGCCGAACACGACGGGCGAGGCGTGAAATCCGGAGGTGTAGAGGTCAATGCCAAACAATTCGTCGATGCGAGCCAGTCCGGCTGGATTGCCAGGCATCGAATAATCGGCTGGTGCCAGACCATAGAGGTTCTCGTACCAAGGCGGGGAGCATGGAAAGGCCAGCTGGATGGCGACGGCCGCCAAGCTGATATAACCAAAGGTTCTGGCAAAGACCGGAACCGTCCCGGGCGGCCCGAAAATGAACATGATCAAGGAGCACACGAACGGAGCTCCGTAATGGCATAACCCGTAGGGAATCCAGGCTAAGACATCCAGCACCACATTCTGGTGGGCAGACAAGATGTTGCTGATATTGGCGCCATATAGAATGTTCTCGAGGGCCGGGAGGACGCGGACCCAGATGCCAGGGCGCCATTCTGGGGGAACAAACCTGGAAAAAACCCGTCAGCAACAGATATTCAGAAAAGGTAGTCATCATCTTCGAAGAGACCCGCGTCTTCGAGGTATGATATCACAACCAATCGCGTAGGCGATCGAGGGAGCAACATACTGGCAAGCATAGAAAAAGATGAGCCACGCAGCAATGGGCAGAAACGGCAAGAAGAATTGTCGGGTGACAGGGAGGAGTAAAGAAGTCAGGAGCAGCGTGGCGACGGCGGTTTTGCCGAGTGGACCAGGAGATTGGATGACCGAGAGGGAGAAGATGCCGACGATCATCAGGAGCAGGTACTGGAAATCATACAAGGTCCATCGGTGAGACTGTAGCGAGCGCAGCGTGTCCCTGGGAGAGAAGGAGGTCTGGAGAGAGGCGATGGAGGACGCAGGAGAGACACGACTCCGCAATCTCGACCGTAACTTGCGCCGCATGCGATGCGGCATCAGCAGCTTGAAGGAGCGCCATGGCACGACGGGAATCTGGACCTTAGCAAACTGGTTGTGTGGCCGATCCTTCCATGACGGTATCGATATAGAGGGGTTCATGACTTCTGCTCTCTGAATTCCGATTCTGCTTTGTCAAAGCAGAATTCGGAGTCGTACAGGGGGTCCTTCGAACAGATGGAGCGCAAGGACGGGTCCTCTTTCTCTGGCGTCGACCACGGCGGACCTCGAGAGCGTGCCCAAACCCTTTCAGTTTCCACGGATGCCTGGACAGGAGGTTGGCGGAGCAAAAGTTCGTTTGACTCCGACAAAGCCTCAGCTCAGGATCCCCAACCGGGTCCCTTGGACGGACGATCGGACGCAAAGCGGCGACGAGCAAGGGCGAGCACACGAGCTGGTCGCAAGGAGGTCGCGCGAAGCGTGGCAGAGGACGAAGGACCGAGAGGATGGCAACCACGAACACAGGGAGGAAGAAGAAGGGGTCGAGAGGGAGGAGGGAAGGAGGAAAAGGAGGGAGAAGCTTTGACGATAAGCAGCAGGATGATCGCCAGCAGCGAAGTGAGGGCGTTGGACCATCGGGGACGGGGCTGGGCTGGGCTGGGCTGGCAGGAATCATGAATGCATGGATGAAATCAGCAAACGAGCCAGAGACCCAACGACGGGGGGCGGCGGCAGCGAGGCCGATCGTCATTGGCGACCGGGTCAAGCGGGCGTATTGTTGGTGCTGCGGCCTCCGTACGCTCCGTCGCCGTCACCGTATTACACCGATCCGGGCGTGGCGTCACGGCGCTAGTCTGCGCCTGCCAGGCTTGGCTCGGCGCCGGCGGATGACCCGGAAGCACAGCCTGCCCGCTGAGGCAGGCGCCGGCATCAGCCACAGTATGCGTATTACGGTCCGGAGCAGGCTGTACGCTGACCGTATGGAATTCTCTTCCTGCTCGCAGCGCGCGAGACAGACATGCCCAGGCTCCCAGCAGGCTGATTACGTAGTGCTGTACGGAGCACCGTACCTAGGACCCTTCCTACCGAACCTTAGGGACTAGACTATGGGACTACTATCGTTGACGCCAAGACTGTTCTGACTGCCTGCAGCAGCCAATCAGCGCACGCTCTGCGAAAACGCCAATTTCGCTTAATCTGGCGCTTGTCCGAAGCTGGCTAGCCGCCCAGGGCCCGCCTTGCAGCTCTCCCGCCGGTCAGGCGCCAGGATGTGCCCTGCCGCAGCTCCCGATGACGGCGGCAGGACCGACCGAGGCGTCCCTCGTTATTTACGCCGTATTTCACTTACAGCCGGTGGTACGGACTCCGGAAGAGCCACTGCCCGGGCAGGCGATGATCATGAAGGAAAAAAAAGTCTTGCAGACACCCTAATGCACCAACCAAATTGTCCTAGTGAGCTGGGCATTCGCTAGTCACTCCCTTTGGCGACAGATGTCGCGTGATGCACTTGAGGCCTGCCTACCGAGATAGGCTATCAGGACGCTGGACGCTCTGTATGGACTCATGGAGGAGGGAGCAACCACAGTGTGCAGAACGCTCATGCAGCAGGTGCGGGGTGATGCTGATCATCTCGACTGAAGGATCACGTACATCTGCAGAGTGCAACAGCAGTTACAGCTCCGAGTGCAACTGCATGTCCATCGTGAAAGATTTTTTTATCTTTCCGGCTTTTTCCAACTCCGTACGAGTCGGTACACCGTATGGTAATGGAGCACGACTGAGTGGAGTCGATGCTGCCGTGCACAAGTGGGCGCTGACTCAGCGAAGTTTGCATGCAGCATAACTGCGAGTACACAAGTCAATGCAGAGTGGATAGGGACTCCGATTCGTCGTGAAAATCATTATTTTATTTTGTGTCCGAATTATGAATCGCATTAATACACTGTGCACCATACTCTACGGAGTACTCTGTACAGAGTACCGCTGGTACAGCTCTGGAGCTGTCCGTAACAATCCACGTACAGGAGCTTAATTATTGGCGGTTCTCGCATGAAACGAGCCGTTCCAGTCCCAACCGGTCGCTTAACCAGGTAGACTCCCGTACGTAAGTCGATAACCTCAGAGGCGCCCGGTAACTGGGATGCTCTGCCCGTGCAACGCTTTTAACTTGTTCATCTTCGGCGCTTTTTGCGAGTCTGACAGGGGGCCAAAACATTCCCTGCACATGGTTCGGTCTCGCCTGGGCAATGATTGTGCCAACCGGACTATTATGGCATTTGGTATACGAAAGCTCAGACCAGCGAACCAGCGTCGCGGGACCCTTATTTCTCAATTTTCAATAAAACTCCATACATTAATCGATCCTGTAGAATCGTTAGTCTGCCAAACTAGTCAAACCCCCGAGCCATCCGGTTCCGCGTCACGAGCTACAAAAACGACGAATGACGCTGCTCGACTTAGCGCCCCGGAGGCCGTCACGAAACAGGGAACGGGAACGAGGCCATCCAATCTTGACTCTTGAGGGGGCCGTAATTATTTCAGGCACCCCATGGATGATGACAGGCATATATATGGAACAAGATATAAAACGGTCGACTGTGTTGGATGCACAGGTGACAGCTCGTTCCTCCAGGCTGAATTAACTGATGGCGGGCCAGCCCGGCTTGAGGAGTCGTCCGCATCGTGTATGGAGCAGAAGCAGACTGTCTAATCAGATCATCAGATGTCGACTTGAAGTTGCCGGTCGGAGACTCGGCAGTTCCTAACTCCGTACTGCACCCCAGCCTCTGAAAAACAGGACATCGCTCCAGGAATGGTAGTCAACCTGACCTACTCGTCCAAAGACAGCTGGGACTACTCCGTACAGAGTAACTAATACGGAGTACGCAGTACGGAATACCTAACAGAGTATGTGTGTACTGTATGCAGAGTACATCCCCATCACTGATCCGTGCTCACCGTGGTGGGCCGTCTCAGTTATCTCCGCCGCTTAGTCATCCACGTTCCATTCCAGATCCGATGATCCGATCATCTGATCATCTTATCTTGTCTGATGCTGTACAGAAAGAATACTTTGTAGTCTCGAGTGATGGCAAAGTTCTGTTCCCGGTTCAGCGTTCCTATTATTTCAGAATTGTATGAGTGACACTTGCCGTTTCTAGTTATATATACTCGACATGTGTCTAGCAACAGTCCAGCACCGAAAAGAAATCATTATTGGACCTCCCCTACTCTTCGTTTCCGCCAGAACAGCAAGGCGCAGGCGACTCAGATGATTATGCGTAATACAACTCGCAGCCCACCATGATGTGGCTTAATCAAGTGTTTTTTTTTCTAGGTGGATTAAATGTATAGTAATGTTGTCAAATGGGAGATTGGTACACAATTCAACTTGTTGAGGACAACGGATAGCTGGTGGCAATCTCCAGCTTGACTTCTGACAATTACTCCGTAAGCGACGACCATGTCACGTGGAATTACACTGATATAATCAAGTAGGGAGTGTGTGAAATTTAAAGGGATAAAAAAAAGTTAAAATGAAAAAGTTAAAATAAACCGTACAGGGGAATAGATGAAATGAAAAAAAAAAAGCTAAAATAAATGAAAAAAGGGAGAAAAAGAAAAGCGCCTTATCCGGTGACCCAGAGTCGAACTGGGGACTTCTCGGTTGACCGTTCCCATTACAGCCGAGCGCGATAACCAACTACACCACCACCGGATTTCTTGGCGACTTTTCTGTTTATGTTACATTCCGAGCGGTATATAAAAGTTAGCACAGTAGGAAAAAAATGGTCAAAAAATTAAACCTTTCTAGTGGGAAAGGTGTAAACAATTCAAAAAAAAAGATATAAAAAATTATTTAGAATTCCAGAAGTCTTCTCTCTCGGTTATATAATATTTTAAGGTGTTCCTCTGGGCAGAACCTTAATTGTTATGTACAGTACAGCACGCTCATGAACCGCACTTTGCGTTTATATATAATCCAACCTAGTTACATGGGATTGCAGTATACGTACACATAGTCCAAACAACAACATGTAATGTAATCTTTGGCAGTACATACCAGGGGAATTTTTGACAAGCACACCTGTTGTTAACTTCCTTTTTTTTTTGCCTGAATATTGGCCATGTTCACACTAGTCAACTCCTAACTGTCAGACTGTTCACGTATGCTTAATCCGGAGTGTATGCCACCGAAGTCAATAAAAGCGATTCTAGAGGTTTGCCCGGTTCTGTGACTGCTAATCAATAGCAACAGATGCAACTGTTAACTAATTGATTATGGAATCGGCTTCACAGTCCCGGCCATTCCTAAGGACTTTGTTTCTTTTGACACATGACTGTCAACTCTCTCCAGAGTCTGTTCGAGGATTTCTAGAGTTTTCAACTGATGCATCGTACCAGCTTTTTTTTTTTTCGTTTCCGCAAGGAATCGATAAACAAGATGATAATTAAAGGGCGTGGGACAAGCAGAATGGCAGCATTGGACCGAAACAGCAAGAATAAAATTTCCATTCGGTGACGAGGACGAATGCGCCTGCTGTCACCATGAAAAAGGTGATCTATTAGCTTTTGGAGTCATCGCCATATCAATGTCCATCATCTAACTCTTTTACGGTTGTATGGCAGTACAAGCCACGACGGTATTCACTTAGAATACGCTGAATTCGGGCTCTGTGCGACAGTATTTGTATGGATCGACAGGTCCCCTTTAGACATTTGTTCTTCACCGTTGGACTCGACAGGCCATTCGCATATTCCACGGCAAGCTTTTCAAGATGATATATCCGATTTTGGGTCTGCCCTTTGAGAAACGGCAATAGGTCATCTACCTTATCCTGACATACAACCTGTACCCTGTCTCTTTTCCCCGTTTGAGAAAAAACATTCAACGCTAACTAAATAAAAATGACAGATCGACATCGTTCATTACAAATGGGTCTTGCGAAAATATTTGCCCTCACCCTCGTTATCCACATGTTTGAAACTGCCAGAATGAGCAAAGTAAAGGCACCTTATGAGACAGACCACAGGTCCATCCCATTGCCAGGGGTCTTTGTCGGAATCAGGGCACAGTTCTTGATCTGGTTGATCTTTTCTTTTCTTTGCCTTGTCATGAAGTAAGTCTTTCCTCTTATGGACCACATGTTTACGGTTTCCCCCCCCCCCCCCCCACGTTTCTCGTAATGGAAGCAGGCTGGAGTGAATCAGGTCGAAATTTTCTCAGAGATACTTGTTTGTGGCTATGAGGGAGCACGGCTATCTGTCGAAAGGGTAATAATTACAATGGAGTATTCCGAAAAATAAAAAAGGGAACTGAACGACGAGCGACCTGAAGAAATCAGACTTCAGAGTAGATTTTTGTGACCAGGACACGGAAGAACGTTGTACAAACGTAACGATCATTCAGTTTTGCGAACCGACCTAACCTACTGACGAGAATGCTTTGCAGGATGCCATGATGGCTCACTCGAATCCCAATGGTTCGCTATTACAAGAGAAAACTCATCAAACCTAGGTATTCTTGGTTCCGTTCAGTCTCAATTCTCAGTCTATCGCCACACATGTAATGGTGATCCCAAGGAAAGAATTCACCCACGGATGAAGGATCTAGCCATGTAGTAATATTCTGTGAATTCCCAGCGACGGTATTTCCAATTACCACAGAAAGAAAGCGATTAAATATTAATATTGGCACATTCGATGGAAAGACTTGATAGTTTATCCACCTAAGGAATTCTGTGCCCGTGACTTGGACAAATTTTTCTCCATCGGCCTTAACAACAATTTTCGAGATTCTGTCCCAGAGAGCCCACCGAGAGACAGGTTAAAATAAAATGATGGCAGAGCTTTACGCTACTGTGTACTCCGTATTGTTCTGCGGCGCTGTGGTGACATTCCCAAGATGGAAAAAAGAAAGAGTACGACAGGCGGGTAGTTCATACATTTCTTCCGATACTGAATCAACCGCTCCTCCTAGAAAGGAAAGGAAGATGCCAGTGTGGCGAATAATTCATTCGGTTTTGATGATCTCATTATCAGCATCATGCCAGAGTCATATCTGAATCTAGTAGAGAATTGTATAAGAATCTTTCTCCAGTTGCTTAATTAAGAAAGACCCGTTCAATTGTAGGATTTACTTGCCGAGCATGAATCCTTCTGCTGGCCCCAGAAATCAGGGTTTGGGCCCATGGCGTAATTGGTAGCGCGTGTGACTCCAGATCACAAGGTTATCCGTTCGAGTCGGGTTGGGCTCATTTTTTTGCCCCCCTAACTAATTATTACTATCTAATCTATATGGGCAATTTTGTAAATATTACTTATTTTGTTAGTTGAACAGTACAGAGTATTATAATACCAGTTCACTACAGAGGAGTTTTCCCTGCGTGATATACATACCGTCTTTGGAATAGGGGCGTTTTCCCGAAGTAAATCAATATATGTATTCTGTGCAGTCAGTACTTACTACGGAGTAGGTGTGAACTAGCACACTGATTAGCTGCTAGGGTCTTTTAGGTGCTTCTACTCCTGCTGCCTAACATTTTCTAGAATGACCAGATATTCACCTGCTCAGCATAAATTCCAGCATAACTTTCAGCCTTTACCCCACTTATCTCGTTGAGATGGCAGCCTGCATCGCCATCTCTCCATATTATTTTACCACAACACATATTTCCCTCTCTGAGAAGCTTAACAAAGCTCAAAACTTGACCATACTAGACCATGGATTTAAGCACACTACAGTTACAGTGGTCCTTAGATCAATCTGCAAGTTCTGCAATCTCTAACTCGAGACATCATCAAAACTGCTACAGAGAATAATATCCACTTATTGGCCCTCCTAGCTTGCGAGCGTTTTGGTGCCACCCTTGCTATCTGCCCTGAAATATGCAGGAAAATCGAGGATCTTTGTTAAAAAGACAAGGAAACCTAAAGCCATTCGCTTTCTCTCCGCCGTTGTAGGATACTCGCCGACTGATTGCGCGGCCCACTTGGTGCGAAGCTTAGCGGGAGTTCAGTTTCTTGGGCTTGCAGCGGCTCTTGTTACCACCATCGGGCCTTTCCAAAGTGGCAACACCATTGCAGCTATGCTGAAGAGCTCAGCAGCTGATAAAACACTCCTTCCGACAGCCACACAGCTCAAAGACCTTGTAGCTAGCTTGGAGCACAGATGCGTGGGATGTGGATTTGCTGACCTTGTTCTGGGCTACCAAATCTTTCTCACCGAGTCAACGGCTTTATCAGCGCCGCAGGCACATGATTTATGGAAAGGTTGCGTTTTATATCCGGACACAAACGGTTTGGAGAAGCTAGTAGACGCCTTCCGACAACTGAGTCGCGTTGGAGACGCTGATTCAGTTATTATTAAAACAACCACTTGCGCTCCCTGGGTCGTTGCATTCACGAAATGGTGTCTAAACCTTCCGCCATCAATATACTTCACAGACGGTACTGCTCTTCTGGAGCAGCCTACTTCCAGAGTTACAGTTGTGATCGACAAGGATGTCAGGTATTCTTGGGGAATTGAAATCACGGTCCGAAAAGAAGTTGGAGTCCCTGATTTGATCCAAGCCGGGCAAAGTCCAGAGACGTACTCTGGTATGGTAAGTATCGAGACATACGGCCATTGGCTAGTTAGGGAGTGTGAACTTTCAACAAGGATTGGTCTTAGCGCCTTTGAAGTGGCTCTCTCGTTCGCCTTGAAGCAAGTCATCACGAACCTTTCAATTTGCATATTATCCCACTTACTCCAATCAGTCGTCTCACCAAAAAGGGCGAGGGAACTTTTCGGAAACACTGCCGAGCGACGAAGAAAGGCTGAAACTTGTGACATGTCCTTTTGCCAGCGACATAAACATTTCAGATATGCTAAAGAGACTCCTTGGCCTGGAGGAGCAAGCCTCCTTGCAATTACTGCCGGATGGTCTCTTGATTGAAGATATGCCTGTTGTGAAGCTACACCTTAAAGATCTCAAAGAGCAATGTTAATGCTCGGGTTGTACCAATGACCCGTTCGGAAATTATCAAAAATGCTGTCACTCGCTTCTTCGAAGACTTGGCTTCGTTTGCAGCAGATGTTCTCGCCTTATCTCTATTTGATAATTCAGCGAATCTTCTCGTGCATTTCAATCATCAGCAATCAGGGCGACATGTGGATGCCACCCAAAGGTCTCAACTCAGAACTGCTATCGGTATTATTCTTCAAAGGGGGGTTCATCAATCAATTGGGATCTCCCATTTGCTGGATTGGGCTCTGAGTTTGATTGGACATGACGTTCACGACGATTTGCAAAAAGCCGGTTGGGTAATCCCGAACTTTTACGGCCAAGTTGTCTACCCAAAACTATATGAAACACAAAGTCTTCAGAAGAGAGGCTTTTTGACTTTATCATGGGCTCCTGGCCAATTATTCTACAATGGCAATATCTACAAACGTGGTGGATTTGGTGGGATTTACCCGTACATAGATTATGCTCTTCCTATTACAGCCCCGGAGAGTGGTGTGAATGGGCCGGTTAATCTTTTCCCGAGTTGAAGATGGTTTGGAGAGTTGCTTCTGGAGATGACTACTTGAAGATCGACCTGGGTCTTCAAGACCCGCAAAACAAGTTCGCATTTATTAGTACATCGGCGCTTCAAATATTAGGGAACTTAGCGAATGCGATAGTCCTCGAGTCTTGTCCGCACGACTCAAGCACGACCCTTCCTCAAGCGGATCCTTTCAGCGTTTATGTCGGGCCCTTATTACCCCTAATCGGGAAAAAAAGGACCAGAATGACTGGGTGCAAGTCGTCGCAGTGGACAAAAGCCCAAATCTCCGGATGTTTGCACTTAGTTCAGCCTTTTGCCATGCTGTCTTGCGAGGAAATGTTTGCTTATCATGTTGTTTGGATGTTTGTCGAAGATACAATTATTCTATATTGATATGCTAATTTCTGCAAGATCTATTCTGCATTGTGTTATTTAGCGTTTGCGCTTCTTCAATTCCATGTCATCGCACCACTCCGAGCCCATGGGAATCACATCCTCTTTCAACATCTCTGATCCAGCAAGCAGACTCGCCACTCCAGCAATACTGCAGGATTTTTGAAAGTATGTGTCTTGTGTCCATGAACGTAATTTTTCATCAACTGGATTGGTCATGGAACGACACGTGGCTTGTGAGGGCTTTTTGGGCGGTGGACTGGCGCAGCAAGGGCGAGGGAGAATTAAATGACATTACAGAGATTTCGTCTAATCAACCAGTTGAGTCAGAGATGAATGCGAGGTGATGGTAGGTGACACCCGCAAGCCTATTATAGATTACCAGGTAGGCAGGTACATGTAGCACAAGATTCCCGCACTTAGCGATTTTTTCGTAATAACATATGGCTCTATCTCTTGATTCATCCGAATAGTCATTCTTGATTGTCAGTCAGATCTTATCAATGACCATTGCCTAGCCCTAAATGTCTTATCATACACCCAAACGCCTTATCCCAAACTCTTATAGATCAAGAAACAGAAAAGATTACACGCCGCAAAGAAAATACATATATATACAGTACATATCTTAATCATACTTGTCCTAAGACTCAGATGCCAAAGCTTGAAAAGCTTTGACCAGCCCCATGGCTGCTCCGGCAGCAGCGCCTCCCACGAGCACCATCTGGATTCCTCCTATCAACCCCCGTCGGACGTTCCCCGTGCCTTTCCACCCCGACACGAAGCACGTCTTTACGTATCCGAACAGGAAAAGGGTGACGATCATGGTCGCGATGGACCAGCACAGCGCATACATCGCCTCGTGCGGCCCGACGAAGAAGTACGGCAGCAACGGCACAAAGCCGCCGACAAAATAGCCCAGGGCGATGGTCAGGGCGCATGTGAAGGCCCGAGAACCCGATGGCTCGGGCAGGGTGTGGTGGAAGTTCATCAGGAACGACGGCAAGTTGGGAGAGGAACCGAGGTGAGTCGTCAGCTCTGAGAGGACATGTGCGGGAAGATCATATGGGGCGAAGATGTCGGAAATCATGTTCGCCGTGGCAGACGGGTCGGTGGCAGTTTGCTGGCACGTCTGCTTCAGCGTTGCGCGATATGACTCTCTATAGTCCAATTAACAGCCGATTGAAAAAAAGCGAAAGCTAAGGGTATCTTGCTTACTCTTCGCTCTTGGCACCAAGGTATCCTCCCAATCCCATGGAGATGGCTCCAGCGATCAGCTCTGCCAACCCGCCAAATACAACGACTTTGGTGTCATCCAAAGTCGACAGACCAGCCGTGAGGGCGAAAGGGACGGTCATGCCGTCAGACAGCCCGATGATGGCATCTGATACGACGCGCGCATCGACAATCTTGAAGCTCCTTTTCTCAATCTGATTCTCAGACGAGCCCGACGGCGCGGACTCAATGTCGCCCACTTCCTTTCCCAGCGGTTCTCTCGAGTCTTTCTCCGAATCTGTAAACTCGGTTCCGGACACTGGCGAGTACTGAGCCAAGAAATTCTTCACTGAGAGCGACATGATTGCTCTTCGCAACCAGGTTCACGAGAAGGATGGGAGATTGATGATGTGCCCTTAAATCAGATTCAGGGCTCTTGGAAATTCGTTAATGCAGGAGAAAGAGATTGATGCAGGGAAGGACGAGAGTGCTGGCCAGGATATTGCCCTAGCTATTCCATGGCGAAGAAGAAGGAGTTAAAAGAATAAAAGAAGAAAGCAGCATCGACAAATCGGGAGCGGAATTCGACGGCAAATGGCCTAATCATCGGGACAGTGGTTGGCATTCCTGTCCGACAGTCTCATCTAGGCTCTGATGCCTGGCCCAAGAGGGAAGGCGATACAAGAGCAAGATTCCACAGTATCCTCCGATAAGCCCTTGGCAGCCGACCCGCCGGGGCGAGGATGCGGGCTTGGCCCCGCGGACGAGAGCCTATCGAGGGGTCAACGTGCACGGTGAGATATCTCATCATATCGCATCTCTGTAGCACGTTGCCAAGATACGACGTTGCAATTGGTCCAACCTCGCCAGCCATCCCCGGGCCAGGAGCGCGCTTGATCCCACCGGGTGGGGAACTGGCGCGGAATCCAGATGCTTGTCCCCATTTAACTTTGCCTACTGGCCAATCCAGTGTCGGCCATTTCTCAGCGGGTTCCTGCCCAGTCCGGCTAGCGCGGTAGCCAGGAACAGCTGCCCAACCAGACCCGAGAAGGCAGGCACGCGACAAGAGGGCCAGCCTCCTGCCGTAAGATGATGTGCGTAGGGTTAGGAGAGGCCGTTAGGTAGCAATTTGGAAGGCGCTCCTTCTTCCTTCCGTCATGGACCGCGCCTGCCTCCCACGGAAGGCTCCCGTACTGAGTACAGAGCACAGAGTGCTTACTATCGCCTCGCCGCGTTACACTGTCACCCGTCTGTAGCCATTGCGTCAGCTAAATTGAGGTATTTGTGCCGTCGGATCTGGCCTTCTGGACCAATTTGGACTGTGGGGATGGTTTCATGACTCGATCCATCCCGCATACTACATGCATTGTTATCAGTGGCAGGTCCATGCACTATCTCCTCCGCAGACATGGGTTATCTGTTAGCTCTGAATTGAGTCATATGCTTGGAGAAAAATTTCTGATATCGTAAATGTCGGAGGCTGGGGAATTTGTAGGGAAATGATCTGTGAAAGGTAGCATCGCTTGATCGAGATCATCGCTGCGACGGCTATCTAGCTGCTACCTCGACTGCCTACCTGGGCATGTAGTCATATGTCAGCAGGACCCAGCCCAACTATTATTTTCTGGATCCATTGGAAGGCCGTCAGATGCGTCTTATGACATCTGTCAGCAAGTAATAACTATCATACCAAGTCACTCGTCAGAAGAAATTAGGCATGATCATCATCCTTTTCTATTAATGTAAGGATTTCGCATTATTGTTGTTTTATTCTTAACTACTATTATTATCTATTTACGAGCAGACAGATTCTTGTTGCATAACCCTGCAGCTGATCAACTTGATAACAGCAGAGTGGGGCAACGGTAGAAGAAAGCGGCTTAGCCTCGTGGGAAATTGTCCGTTGGATATAGTCTAGAATGCGACCAACCCGGTTATCTGATCCGATACTGCCCTCCTTCTAGCCATTCTCCAATCTCTGCCCACCTTTTTTTTTTTGTACTATACCACTTGCTTACATGTTTCCTGCCCTCTCAGCGTCTCGCAGAATCATTCTACCGAAGTTTCCGCCATTATTCCGGTCGGCCCCGCGGCGGAACTTACAATCGCGGGTGCACGTGCACCGAGGACGAGGCACAGCAGGCTAGACGATATTTTCGTCAGGACAAGCCTTTTTAGTGATGTGGAGAGGTAATGACAGCCGGGCCTCGGAAGGATGCCGTGTGTGATATCGGAATCAACCGACCTGGAGGCTGGGAGGTCGACCCGGGGCATTATAAAATGGCTGGTCTGAGATCGACAGCATGAGACCAGCCTTCGACAGAGAAACGCCAGAACTCCTTCTCCACTATCCAGCGGCAGTAGAGTAGCGAGGCACAATGAAGTCAACACTTGCTGCGACTACCATCGTCGCCTTGGCTGCGGCGGGTGCTGCCCTGCCAGCGCCCAGGGCCAACAGTCCCTGGGACAATATCAAGAAAAATGTAAGGAAATCATCATAATGAATTGACTGATCATGTCGATGCTCACTGTTGCGTGGCCTTAGATCAAGCATGTTGTCTACCTCATGATGGAGAACCACTCCTTTGACAACATCGCCGGATACTGGACCTTCCATCCGGGAATCGATAACTTGGTCAACCTGGGGAAGCCCTTCTGCAACGAGTACACCAACCCCAACTGGACCGTGTGGGGAGAGCCTATCTTGATCTGCGCGGAACCATACGAGGGAGAGGTGCCTTTGAGGGACCCAGACCACAACTTCGCAGGCACCTCCTACGAGATCTACCGGACTTGGAACCCGACCAAGGACTCGGTCCCGAATATGGGAGGGTTCATCGAGCGTCAGTCCGAGAAATACCAGGGGACCCCTGGTCAGGCGTCTTTTGTGATCAAGGCCTACGACGAGAAGAAGACCGCCACATTGGTCGAGATTGCCCAGAACTTTGCCTTTTTTGACTCCTACGTAAGCCTTCATGATCTCTTTTGAATCCAATGCGTGAGGAGTGGCCGGCTGACTTGTGGACGAAACAGTATGCCGAACATCCTGGTCCGACCAACACTAACCGCCAATTCGCGACCGCTGGGACGACATGTGGTTTTGTGGACAACACCAACCAGGCGGCGGGTTGGTTCAACAATGTGACGGGTGTCAGCTGTGCCACGTCCATTTTCGAGGCCCTCAGCAAGAAGAACATCACCTGGAAGAACGTAAGTGACTGTACCGGGCCAAAATGGAGTCTTTGCTGATCACGGACGCGTAGTACTATGAGACGGATATCATCGACTCTTTCATGTACAAGTGGGTTCAGGACAATGCAATGGAAAACATTGTCCACGCCGACCAGTTCTACCGCGACCTGCAGGAGGGCACGTTGCCCCAGTTCGCGTACTACAACCCGGAGTGCTGCAATATCACGTCGATGCACCCGCTGAGCAACTTGGCCACCGGAGAGCTGCTGATCAAGCATGTGTACGATGCGGTTCGCAACTCCCAGTACTGGGACAATACGTAGGCACCTCACATGACCCGTTTACATATGAATCACTGACCTTTCTAGTTTGATTATTCTCAATTTTGACGAACACGGTGGATTCGCTGACCACGTGCCTCCGCCGATGAACATTCCTGCCCCCGACGACAACATCACGTTCAGCGGCATGTCGGACGGTCATAACGTGACCTACGACTTTACCCGTCTTGGTGTTCGGTAAGTACCTACATAGGTACTCTGCGATACGAAACAGGAATTCTGTTCATATGTATATCTTTACTAACGGATTCCAGTGTGCCTGCCTTCCTCATCTCGCCCTGGATCCCGGCCAACACGCTGATCCACGACGAGGGCACCAGCTACGCGAACAACTCGGCCTACACGCACTCGTCGATGCTGCACTTCCTGCAGGAGCTTTGGGACCTGGAGGGCCTCAACAACCGGGTGCAGTGGGCCAAGACGTTCGAGTACGTCTTCAGCGACCAGAAGCGCGAGGACACGCCGACCAACCTGTCCGCGCCGATCTGGTATGGCGGCAGTGTCGGGCCGCAGCCGTACCCGTACTACCTCCTCAACCAGCCATACTCGTACTATGAGTCGATTGGTGCGTAGACATTAGCAGGGGGGAAGGCAGCCTGCTTCGATGATATATGACGGTACATATAGTATAGTATTTATTTGTTTATTTACTTAGAATGTAATATAAATACAATACCCTTGAAACAAATAATTCCCATCCCATCGATGGCTAGACGGTATGAAGTAGTAGTAGAAGTAGTAGTAGTAGTATGCATAGGTAATGGTTGACCATAGAGATACGTACTATTGATAATAATTGATAATAATAATTAAGAATAATGGCCTTTTTGCATTTTCATATGAATGAATTCGTATATTATTAGTTTAGAAAAGCTTAACAGGAATGCAAAAAAAAAGGGCTTTTAAAAGAGCATACAAATCAATCAAATTAGTCAAGAGTGAGAGTGCATCAACACATAAAATCAGATATGTAAAGTACAGTATACACACACATAGTTACACACGCACATACATACAACCTACCGCATAATACAGGAAACAATTAAGTAATTAAGATTGACACAGCGTGACTGACAATGAGATAAGCGGGAGAACGATCATCCCGAACAGGACCGTTTGAAGCGTGTCGTTGAGAGACTGGGAAGAAGGGGAAGAAGGGGAAAAAAAGGCCTTCTAGGCTCGGTTTCGAACACGTATGGGTGTAAGGTGTACCCATTCTCAACCAAAAGGGTCTAAGAAAGCCCAACGTTCCGATGTATCTACACATATTCGCTTCCCTCAGGGTCGCGGTAGAATTGGATCGGAATTGGAATATTGGAAAAACATGGCATCTGGAGAAGGTTGAAAGATGATATGGTCTGCCCGTTCAATAATGGCAAACATTGTATGATTCATTCGTTCTTGATTTAATGAGCATGTCTGCGAGGTGGACATGTTAGCATCTTTTACAAACAGACGGATCTCTCTCGGGGAATTGTTGTACTCAAGGTTTTCTCTTGTCAAGCTTCGCATGCTCCGATGAGGCAGCAGCCGCTCCGTTGCCCCAAAGCCGGCTCTTGTATGCCGGGAACGAGGAGTAGTTCCAGATATTGACCAGGATGCTAGAAATTGTTGGATATCCGTCAGTTAGGTATTTCTTTTCTCGGAGTCAGCCCAGCGGCTGGGCTCGGCTCTGCCAATGAATGAATGAATGATCGCTGGATGATAATGCAACCGACCTTTGACTCCGATCCTTGTAATCCTCGTCCTTCAACTCCTTCACGCCCACCTTCATCCCGTCCCTGCTGAACAGGACGTGCTTCTTCTCCATCTTTTCGCGCGTCGTCTGACCCACGCTCTGCGCGATGCTGTACAGCATGAACCCGAAAGCGGCTAAAAAGCCTGCGACGACGAGGAGAATCAAGAGAGGTATCAGATTCTGAGTGGCCATTGTATCGTCTCGTCGAACTTTGTTTTTTTTCTGCTCAATTTATCTGTTTACTCGACTTGTACGATACGGAATTGTCTTCGAGATCGTCCGTTGGAGAAATATGTGAAAAAAAGAAATTAATGGACTATCGATGTTTCGTTCGTCTTTGTCAGGAAATATCGTTGGTCACACTTCAATCGTGATGATATAAGCTCGTAACGTTCGATTAGATCGATAGTTCGAAAGAATGCGGGGAGGGCGACAACGATCGACAATTAGGTAGGTTTTAAAGGGTGGATCCAGCACAGGACACCGACAATCAGGGATTCTCTTGTGGCTGGGATGTCTGTGTATCTGTGGGTCTCCGACTGGCTGCTGCTGCGCCTGCACGTTGGTGGCGTGTTCTGCAAACCCGATGAGGCTGCTGCGATCGAAGCCAAACAAATCTGCTGCCTGGCGTATCTAAAAATAAATAAACTGGAACCACACAGTCCTCCTACGGCGTCTGAGTGGACTCCAGCAAGGGAAGAGAGATTCTTTAAAAAGAAGACCCGTGAAGGATTCGCGCGAAAGAAGCAGTCGAGTTAGCGACAGGAGAAAGAAGAAAAAAGGAAGAAAGAAAAGGACGGGCGAGGAAGCGGAGGGACACGAGACCGAGCGGCGTGATGAGGGATGACGAGGGCGCCCTGCAGCAAGCGGGAACGAACCAGCGGTTCAGCGATCCACCCTGTCAGCAGAGCGAGTCAGAGATCGCCTGCCCCTGGCTAATAATAAATTAATCACAGGAGAGGGAAACGAAGACTACGCCTTACCAGATCCCTCCAGCTATCTAGTGCTTGTTACGCTCCGTCCTAATCTGCAGTGAATCCAGCCCCGGGCGGGGTAGTTACACGCAGTGACAAACTTGCTGCTGAGTCGATTTGGTATTTCCCACGAGTACTACATAATACCCTATACAGTACTGATCACTAGTGGACAGACTGCGGGTGCCCGCGTAGATATGGGTCAGCTGAGTAAGGATTCAGCTGCGTGCAACAGAAGTGCCGATGCATGTTGGACAAGGTAACTCTTTGTACAGAGTACTCGTACGACTATAAATGAAGAATGAACTTGCAGAAGTAGTATTCATGATATCCATCCATATCTAGAATGGAGTTGCATATGCACCGGTACAGTGAAGGAACTGTCGGGCCAGAAATGTACCTCTACTCGAGCATTTTCTCCAACTGACACCAATATAAAACATGCTGACGTCGTAGTAGAGAGGACCATGCACTGGCAGAGAGCGGTGGCACATAATCCAGTGGCTTGTCGCTCAGCTGATCCAAGTCTGTACTACACTGTTCGCAATGGAATTGTTGCGTGGTTAGAAGCAGATTCAGAAGTCGCAGAAAGAAGAACCGACTCTGAAGGGTAATGAGAGGAAAGGATCGTCCTCAGCATATCGAACAGAAGTCTGTCGAGTAGAGGACATAAGGGACCTAGATAGCAGGTCAACTGATAGGCTAATCAAACTTGGAGATGCCACTAGAAGCATGAGACTACCAAAAGAAAGCATCGTAGAATCCTTTCAGGAGGACCAGCCCGGTATGCTAAAGGTTAGAGTAGCACACATCGCGGAGCCTACTTAGGATCACCTGGCTGGTCGTGTGAGGAATTTCCAGTCTCTTTCAAAATCGAACGAGACAACCGTTGGAGAAGGCTAGCCTTGAGCTTGGATCATGACATCTCGATTCGTCGTTTTGGCTGGGAGGCTATTTCTTGCTGCAAAGTGCAGGTGGCACTTTTTCCTCCATGTATTCCGTTTGCAGTTTCTCCAATTGCGTCAGGAATCTTGAGCAGCTGAGTTCAAGAAAAGCCGGTAGAGAGAAAATAGCGAGAATGAAAGTGATTTGAGCAGAAAGCGAAGGTGAGTATTCACCATGTCGACTGCTTCGGAACCGGATTTAAGCGGTGGAGAAATATGACAAGGGAGGTTATCCACTCTGGGCTAATTTAATCCAGATTCAATTTGTTTAGCGAGGAGTTGCATCTAGCATGGTATGCTGTAAAGGGAATCATCGTTAAGTATTCATGGATCACTTTATCCTTTTCCCTATATTCCTATCGATTCATAGTTAGCAAACTTGGAGAGTTGTTTCATAGGAAGGAATCCAAGGAGGCATAATACCCGTCAATTTTCCATTTCATTGATATCAGGTCATTGTTGGAATAGCAGTATTGAACGAAGAGGGTTTGACGGCCTAGGCGGCATCCGATGCGTCGATGGATCCTCCGCTTTTGCCGCCAACTTAATCTCAACCTCCTCCCTAGCCGCAGAATGAAAAGGGCGATAGATTGTCGCTGAAAATACTCAAGTAACTTGTTTAATCTCGCCATCAGCGTGGTTTTCTCGTCTGTTGCGCAATAAAATCCAATTTGTGGTGTGATGCTAATTCACTGACAATGGCAGGTTCAAATGCCTGTGCTGCTGGATATGGCAGGAGCTCCACCGATCTTCACGGTGACAGCGTCATGATGACTAACATTCAGCCATGGAATGCTGCACCTCTGCATTCTATCCGCAAAGTCTCTTCTGACCCCAGGTCTCGTTGCGTGGTGTCAATCTGCTAAATTGCAATCATTTGCCGGTTTATCCATTGCAGCTCTGGCCAGATTGAGATCTCGTGAGAGGAGCATTAGAGACCATGGTCTTCATACCCATCTTCCCGATCTGCTTCCAGTTTGGAACCGATCAGAACCCATGTCGCTGCAAGGTGGTTGGTCCGACCTTGGGTAAGTCGCCAGCATAAGACGAAGCCAAATGCAAGTCAATTCCTGCATTGGATATCATGCTGAACGACTCTTAGGGTTTTTCACGTTTCTCTTGGCTGGGGTATGTGGGATCTTCAATTGATGGAATGACAGTGTAGGCTGACGACGATGTAGATCATATGCTGGCCGGCTTCGATCTTCTGTGGATGCTGGGCGACAAAGACAGGGAGCGAGTACGTATCTGTTTTTCAGTCGTCCGATGTTAGAATTTGTATTTCACGAGTCTCACGAAAGCTACTCATCCGATCTTTACTTACCAAAAGAGGAAACATATTGTCGACACTGATTCGTTTATAAACGAAGACATCTACTAACTTTTTTCTCTCCAGATTGCTGGCATATCCGGTTAGGCTGAACGGAGAGATCAGCAACTTCATACCGATCTGATGTGTTCGATGAGAGAGCTTGAGACTTGACGATACCAGCTTGTCGTGTTTCTTCAACATGTTGACAACCCGATGGTCCTGAACGATATCATGTAGAAATTAGGAGCTCTTTGCGTCTCACGTCAAGTCTGATATCAATTAGGCAGCATCGTCAGCAGAATGCCATTTCTTTGTCTGGACAGCAAGCAAGTTCTCATCTCGCCAATCATGATGACCTCCAGTGGGCCTCAGAGTCCCGACTGCCCCTGCCCCCTCGATTATGTGTGTCTCAGACTTGGAGTTTCTCCACTTGATATAATATCAAATGAGCTGTACTCTTCAGGGAATGTTTACAAAATAAAGCCTGGCAGCCAATCCTACCCCTCCCAGACGTCCACGCTGTGGCCAAGAATCTTCTCACTCCATCATGATACCCATAGTGCAGGATAAGGCAATTAGACGCCAAGACCTATTACCAGGTGGGCTCTTGAGTGAATACTGGTTTGAGTAAACATGATATCGTCCTTGGTGGCTGGGAGCCAGCTCTCTCTCATCTGAAGACAACCTTCTTGCCTGACGACAGGAACTTACTCCTTCTCTCACACACACAAATCATCCTGTCGAACAACTCCTACGAAAATAATCCTTTCCTCTCCCTACAGCATAACACTCAGAAGAACTCCTTCTCTTGACGGAATCTGTCGGCGAACCAACTTGTCTGCAGAGGAATACTCCTTTCTCTCTCTCTCTCTCCATATCTCAGAGAGCTGCCTCACTTGAGACAGCCCTCTCTCACACTGTCTTTCTCTTTCACAACAAAAAACGCTCTCCACAAGCCATCTGCAAAAAATTGGCCCCTAGCAAGGACATCGATATGAACGAATACGCAGCCTCGAAGGTCTTCCTCCCAGTTAGGCAGGGCGTCGCAGCTGGTAAAATTGCCAAAAAATATGGAATGAAAAAATGGCCAAACCCATTGCAGCTTGCGACTTCGAAGAACCCTCCTGCTGATGATACTGCTTCTGTCACCAGCCCCAGAAAAACTGTCAATCCCAAGTTCCTCCGGGTTGCTTGTTTCCAGCTCCCTTACTGTCCTTCTGGTGCTGCTGCTCCTGCTGCTGCTGTACCTCCACGGTCAACACCATCATCATTATCATCCACGAAAAGCGGCAAAGCCGGCAGCCGTCCGCGACGCCGTCCTAAACCTCCCGTGACGGTTCTCACCGACGAAGCAGGCAAACGCTGGGGCTACAAGGTCGTCAGCGCAGCCCTCGAAGCCGCCGAAGCAGCACGATACAGCGAACGAGCAGCCACGAACGGCGCGTCTGTGCTGCCAACGCCGCCCTTCAGCGTTACCACAGCTACCAGCATACCCAACGAAGAACAAGACATCATGAACATCCGCCCTGGCGTCCCTATGACGGCCTCGATTCCTCTCTACCAGAAGCTCGTCCTGCATTCTCTCCCGCCGGAAATCAATTTCTTTGACTACATTCGTGAGGACAGCGTCTCGCCTTTTGACCTCGGACAGTGGTATCACCAGTGGTCGCAGGAGCTGCAGATGCAGGCGCTGCTCGACCGGCTTTATTGGCAGTTTGTGAGTGGTTAGTCGAGCCGAGGGATGGCCTGAGAGGAATTCCTATAGGAGCAAGGTTGGATGGAATCTGAGATCAAGGAATGATGGAATGAAATGAGATGAAGGAAGCAGGGACAGATATCTTTTGCTTTGCTTTTCTTTACTTCCCCCTCTTTCCCCTTTTATGTTTCTCGTCTGTTTTCTTTTTCTTTGCTTTGTTTTGTTTCTTTTCATCCATCCTGTACTGCTATTTATACTTTTCTTCTTCTGTCTTTATTTTTTCTTTTCTTTTCTTTTTCTTCACTATCCACTAACCATGACAACTAACTACACCATTCAAGCCCTCCTTTCCTTGCTTTGCTCGTCTTGTCTCAAGGAAAGTTGATCGGGCTTAGTGGTAGTGTAGGGAGTGGATTTCTTCTTGTTCTTTTTTTTCTTCAGTCCTGATGAACCGAACCGAACGAACCGGACCCTCGCTGGAGACCTCCTTCATGGAACATGACGGGCATTTTTCGATGAAGTGATTGGGCTCAGCGGAGTGGGTTGTTTCGTTGTTTTCACATCGTGGACGTGGTCTTCCTTCTTCTTTTTATTTTAGTTTTCCCCGTATGTATTGTATTATCTTCTTGTTTTTGCTTTTTTTTTTGATTCCCATTCTGAGTCTGCTTTTTGTCCTTTTGTCCTTTTTTTTGGTTTCTCCTTCATGTTGTTTTGTTTTGCTATTCTTTGTTCATTCAATGCATATGGCGCTGTACAGTACATACCCTGTACAATAGAGTAAATTTGAATCAATCTTCTGTCCTCTTATTAATATTAGCGCTTTGATCTCAATCAAGTATGTACATGTACATATGTACTGTGCATTACATAATGTAGATTCGTAAAGGTAATGTAATCACGAAGGAATTCATCTCATTTCATCTCATCTCATTATATGTGATATCATCTGTTCTACATGTATGTACATGTACATACATACAGTAAAAGCGCAGGAAAAGCATACCTAGTGAAATGTAGGTACCTAACCATGAGAGACTAATTAACTAACTACCTAGGTAGGTAATAATCTTCCGGATGTTAGTTGTTACCTACCTACCTACCTAGGTAAGTCATCATTCATATACCTGGATCTGCGAATTATCAACTGATTAATTGATTACATGGATATATGGAGCAGAGCAAGCAAGAAAGTAAGTAAATCCATAGATTAGAGAGAGCTACTTACTTACTAATACCAACGCAAATAGACTATTAATTACTGAAACGGGCAACTAAGTACATACCTAACAAACGAAGTGACTAGGTGACTAAGGAGCAGAAACAAGGTGAACCGAAGCAAGCAAGAAAGACAGACAGACAGACAAGAAAAAAAATTAAACAGACAGATCCACACCACTTATAATAGATAGATCGACCGAGAGAGAATTAAGCGCAGCACAAGGTATCCATATCCATATCCATGTCCATATCATACCATATCCGTTCCCATTTCCATTTCCATTTCTTCAAATTCGACCCGTCCGTCACGTCAATACCACCGCGCTGCGGCTCTTGGCACTAATTACAGATCAGACCATCGCGGTCAAAAGGCTTCGCAGTAACTGGTCCCAATTCTTGCAATCAACTGAATATTGCACGTGATGAAACATCTATCGGAAAATCTCCTTCAGTTTGTTGAAGAACCCGCTGGTGCGACTCTTCTTCTTCTTGTCCTTCGTGTCCGGGGTTGTCGAATCCGCCGGGGCAGATGCCTGCTGATTCTCTGGCGTCGAAACCTCCTCCGTCTTGGCCTCCCTAATCCCCGACGTCACAATCGGCTCAGAAGGTGGCGCCGGCGTCGTCGTGGGAGACACCTCGGCCGACTCGTTCGTCGCAGCGGGCGCTGTCAATGTGGTCTCGGCAGTCGTCGTTGGGGCCGGCTCGCCAGCCGATTCCGTAATGGGAACCGTGTTCTGCAGTTGATCCTCAACCTCTTTCTTCTCCTCGACAGCCTCGCTGTTGGCTGCCGCTTCAGGCTCCTCGCGTGCTTTTTTCAGAGACTCCTTGACCACACCGGGAACCTCACTGGCCGTCGGGGGAGCCTCTTCCTCCGGCACTACCTTCTTCTGAAGCTCTTCTTCCACCGTCTTTTTCTCCTCCACTGCTTTTTCATTCGCCGCCGCCTCAGGATCTTTGCGAGCCTCGGAGATGGACTGCTTCACCACGTCGGGCACCTCATCCGCTGGTGCGTCACCGTTAGTTTTCTTCTTCTCGGACTCCTTAAGCACTTGGGCTGCGAGAACGGCGGTGGTAGCTTCTGGAGCAGCCGACTGGATGGTTACAGGGTCGTTCGTGTCGCAGACCGCTGGATTCAGAGGCAGGCTGGATTCGGGAATCAGGGTTTCATCCACAGGAGGAACCGCAAAAGCCTGGACAGGCTTGGAAGCCTCAGGTCCTAAGCCCGGAACCTCGGGATAGATAGCATTCTTCTCGTAGCCCTCCTTGTCCGTGGTATTGGCAGACTCGACCGTTTTTGGGTCGCAAGTGCTCGAGTCTGGCGCAGATTCTCCCGGCTTCGGCTCCTCCGGCTTACCCAACCCGCTCGACGCAGCGGTCGGGTTTACCGACAACTGCTCGGTTTCCTTCGCCGGCGTTTCTGGAAAGGTGCCTGGGACTGCACCGTTGCTCTCGAGAGGCGCATCTTTGGCCAGCTTCGTCTCAGATGATTCAGGAGCTGCTGAGGAGGTAGTGGCTTTCTGGCTCTCGGATGCTTTGGGGACGTCGGCAACCAACGCAGCTGTAGTGGAATCGGGAGTGACGCCAGCCATGACTGCAGCAGCGGGATTCCCTCCGGTCAACGTTTCCAAGGTGTCTGGCTGGGATGCCTTTTTGATTTCTTCGGGCAAGAGGACGTTGTTAATATTGTTGCTTCCGTCGTTCTCTTCTCGAGCGTTGCTGTCAGTGATCCACTCGCCGTCAACGACGAACTACAATTGAGTAGAATGAAAGCCGACGTCAGTAGTCTTAAAACTAAAAGTGAGACGGGGAAACAGGTGGTTCTGAGGTGATTCAGACAGGATGGAGGGGGATGGTAGTCGACAGCGAGGGGTGACAGGAAGAAGGCGGTGAAAGTGAGATGACGTCAGTTGGTGCTGACGCGGGGGATGAGCTGAGGAATGCAATGTGTCAGAAGGCGACGAGAAACACAGCTGCCTGTTGCTCTAGACAAGGGGCACGGGCACTTTGAACGCTGTCTGACTGCAGCTTCTGAAGCTTCTATCCCGCTGACCGGTCTGCTTGGACGGATCCTTGTCTTGAGCAAGGGGGAGCTGTGTTCCTTCTCACCTCACCAGAACGTAATTGCAAGTGCCACGGCCGGGGCACGTGGGAGGCGTCGCTGAAGATGTCCTTTCAACGTACCTTGTAGTAAACCTTCTCGTCCGCGCTGGGCAGCTGAACCTCCTTCTCAAACACGTCGCCCTTTTTTTCCAGCCGCACCGTCTTCCCCCAATCATCGAAGGTGCCAGTGACGAACACCTCGTTCGCACTGTACGGCCTGTATCCCGAGTAAGTCAGCTTGGCTCAACACAAGACACATTCTAATTGCACCACACAGGGTGTTGATATAGCTAATTCCACACAGAAATGGAAGGAGGCCTGTCGGGCACTGCATGTTTATGGGGGACTGTACTTACCATTGAAAGACGAAGCTCCCCATCTCTGTTCTGGAGGGCCTCTCCACGGTTTGGATCGATCGGTTGTCCAGAAAAGAAGAATGAGCTCCGGTTTTGTTTGCTTGATAACAGGTTTGACCCTACAATCGAGGTGGAGGTTGTTGATTAGACGCAATTGAAAGAGACAGCAGCAGGATGTCAAGAAACACTCGTTGCGAAATATGAGGACAAGGGATGGATTCAGCGCTGCCGTTAGTTAGCACCGATCCTAACGGCTCGCACAGACGATCAGAGATCGGCGCAAGATAACCGAACGATGGCGTACGCTGGCCGGCAGAATACGGGGATCCTCGAATCGCCTGAGCAGCACCCTGACGATTGCTGCGGAAACAAAGGAAACAGATCTGCCTAGAGGCTTTGAAGTCTTATTCTTATTGCTGCTAGGCGCCAACGGAAACTGCTTCCTCTGTGGCTGGGAGTCTGCAGAGTCTGATGGACGACAGCCATGGCCGCATCCAGCAGAGACTCCCAGCGTTGCATGGCATGATCGCCGTTTTCTCCTCGGAGCCCCTCCGCGACGTGGACCAATAATTGCTGGCTCCCAGCCAGCACCTGGGCACATGATCATTGATCTGAAGAGCATGTAACTTCAGATCTGCCCCGCCAACGTGAGGGAGTCTACATGGGCCATGCAGGCATCATGTCTGCTTTCCTTGCCCTGGCATCGGTGTTCGCTGCCCTCGCTCTTTGGCAGCGTCATGGAAGCAGGAGCTGGGACACTTGTGACGTAACGAATGTACTCGTGAGCCTGGCACGTGACTCGGCGGGTCCTTAGTCAGCTCCCCTAGGCGCTAGGTGCCGCTAATGATTGGTCGGCCTGCAAAACGTCGAGCCGTTCTTGTTAGACCTGTGGCCACCTTGTACAGCAGTTTCCTTGCAGGGCTAACTGACAAGATGCCACCCAAGGATCAAGTGCAGCCCTCAATAATAAATACACCTCAGCCGATCTCCACGATAAGATTGGTTCTGCCCCTTCTTGCTCTCTTCGCTATCTATGCCCTCTTTGTGTTCTCTACTCTCAATGGCTTCTTCTTCCTTCTCCAAAATTCTATTGCGAATCGGAAGCTGCCTGATTGCGATGAGCCCCTACGGACTAACTACACCGGCATTGGATACCTGGACTATGTTCTTACGAATTTAGGGCCAGTCTGGCCAGCCATCTCCGGGAATTCCCCCGGAATGTCAGTGTATCTGCTAGGATTGCTGGGCCCAGTGGGTGCTGCTTGGGTGCTTCTGAACCTGGAGGGATGGAGAAGGGGGAACGCTGGAAAGCTTGTTGCATTGCAAGTACTCCTTCAGATTTAATGCCATATGGTTTGGGTGTGCGCTGCGTTCTGGGAGGCTGACTTTCTGACAGCCCATCTGTCTTTGGCATCCTTGCGCAGACGATCACCTACGCTTTGGCTGTTCCTGTCTACTGTACTTGGCACCTATACACCTCCAGAACTGCCACTAGACCGGATGCGCGGAGTGTGGGCATACCATCTGCCATGGCGTTTATGCTGCCGCTCATAATCGCCGTCGGCTACATAGTTCCTTCTGCAGCCATGTTCCTTCCTGCGCCATCGATTGTAAGCGTCGGCACGAAACAGGCTCTGGCCGCAGCATGGCAACCTTTTCCAATCTACACGTCCGTTTTGGCCAGTCTATGTTGGCTCTTTTCTTCCTACTTTTCCCCTGATAGTGACAAATCTGGTCCTGTGACCCTCCGTGGTTTGAGACGAACCTATGCTTTTGCCTTGTCATGTGCTGTTATCCCACGCATTGCCGCCTGGGCGCTCTCCTTAACGGCTCTGGCGTTTCCTACTCTGTTTCCTGAAAACGTTGCTGCTGAGATACACCCGCTGCGAGTCTTTGTTAACAGGCTACTCTGGTTATCACCTTTAGTCCAGGTCACGTCTGTCGGAGAGGGAGCTCTCTGGTTTCTCCAGTGGGACGATCTGATCGGTTCGACAGCGCTGCTTCTTTGGGCTCTAGCACTGTACAAAGCAGCCCATCAACAGGCATCGGTAGAGATAAGGTGGACGGAATTAGGATCGAAGGTCGTTTTACTCTCGATGATCATTGGGCCGGTGGGGGCGGCGGTAGTATTGATGCGGGAGAGGGATGAACTAGTTTTCGAGAATGCCAGTCGACGTGGTGAGAGTGGTCATGACAGGAAGACGCAATGAGAACACAACGGTCAGCACTAGCAGCAGCGCAGGCTTGCGAAAAAAAGAATGCGCCCACTGCTACCTAACGAGGCCTTTCACTAGGCTGCCGTAGGATTTAGTTCATTAGCATCTTGGGCTTGTCGGCGCTAGGACAACTGTCTTTGGAGGGTGGCAGCTCTCACAATACAATACACGACCAGTCTCTCTCCTTGGGCAACAGTTTTCTGCCATAATATCTGTCGCAACTCTTTAAGAACCGCTGGACAGTGACTTGCAAACTGAAGTTATTGATTGGTTGGGGGCCCTGGAGGAATCGAACAGCGGCAATGGATCAAGTCAGCTTTTGCTGCAAACGGACAGTGGGACCATTTTCAGACGGCCTGCCAACAACTGGGCCATCCATCGAGGCACTCACTGTAGTACAGACCCTGTGCTTCAGATGCGGCAGTGCTCTGACAGTAATTTTGGAATAGGCCGCATGCATGTAATGTCCGCTGGAATTTGCGCCCGACCAGGCATATTGTCCCTTGTAAGAATGTTCCAAAAAGAGCAGGTGGTTGGGAGGTTGGCAACGCTCCACGGGGCGGATGTGAAGCTCCAGTCAGCGCATCCTTCTAGAAGACAGATCGAAAACCGGCGCTGGACAATCGAAGCTTCCATGCGCGGCCGATGTCGATCCCAGGGTTGCTAGCGTCCCGGAGGGAACACGCGACGCGGCTCAGCATGGGAGAGAGAATACTCCCGCATTCCTCTCAGGCCCATTCCTCAGTCTTGTAGCTCTTTTTCTCGGGCTGTGTTCAGAGCCAGTTGCGACATTATCACCGCAAGACGTTGTCATGGTATGATGCCTTAGTGCAAGGCATGATACAGAGGAGAGAATTGAATGAGGTTAGGGTTTCGTGCCGACAATCCATGTGCGAGATTAGATGCAAGAACATGGTTATTACCACCTGCATCCTGCCGTCACTTTGAAAGGCCTTTGTGCCAGCCTCCCACCATCGCACGCTTCCATTCAGCTTCCAGGCTTTCGCAAAGCCTATTCCGATGAAGCTCACTGTAGGAGACAATGCGGTTAATCGATAAAACTGAACAGGCATCAGAAAGAGATATTCCCTCAGCATCGTTCCAGGTGCATCATCCGATTGCGTCTGGCTGGGGGGCCGACCAGAGCTCCGTTCCGCGGGATCGAGGGCCCCGCAGGCGACGCTCCAATGACCCCCCGGCCAGCCCCTTCCGAGCCTGGACGGCTAAAGGCTAAAACTAAGCTGACCTGCTGCGACGAGCCGCCGTCACAGCCCGCGGGCTCACCTCACCTCTGCTCGTCCACCCCTCCCACCCCACCTCCTTCCTCGCGCAGATCCCCGTCCGCCGTCCATTGCTCCTGCCTCTCTCCTCCTCTCCTCCCTCCTCCTCCCTCCTTCCTTCCTGTCGCCGTCCTGGGTCACGTAGATGTCCTTGGACACCCTTCCCCTCGCCTGCCAGAACGCGTTCTACTCCCTCAATCGGGAGATCCTGCAGCACCAGCCCTCCGACCACGTCCAGTCCTGCGCCAGCTTCCTTAGCCGCCGATTGGAGTCGGATCGCTCCGCTTTCTTCGCCTCTCAGCGTCTGGGCAGCCCGACAGGCGACCGCACGGGTCTCCGGGGCGGCAACATGTCGTCCAGCTCCTTTCCAGGGACGAATCCTTTTTCCAACTCCAGCGGCAGTGCTTCTGGAGCTCCAGCCTTTGCCAAGATATCGGAGGAAGAGGAATATGAGGTGACATCTCCAACTGACCCGACCTTCCACAATGCCCATGCAGGCTCCGGCGCTCCGACGTCCGGACACCTCTTCTCTGGACGGGGTGGTTTGGGAGGTGCCACGAGTGAGAGTGTTTTTGGCACCAGCCCGTTCGAAGACTCTGAGAGCAATAACAACGGCGAAGACGAGCTCTCTGCTCCTCCTGGCTCCTTTCGTCCCACAGGCGGCTCCAACAACCAAGGGTTACCGAATAACTATGCCCTCGGACGCCGGACATCGGTCTCGGCAGAATCCCTGAATCCGACTTCGTCGGGGGGAGACAGTTGGTCCCCGCCTTACCACCCCAAAACCCCCGAACAGCTCGCCCGGTTGAAGAATGCCGTCAGCGGGAACTTCTTGTTCTCTCACCTGGACGATGAGCACCTCAAGACCGTCCTTGATGCCTTGGTGGAGAAGCCCATTCCGGCCAAGGATATCAAAGTCATCACCCAGGGGGATGCGGGAGACTATTTCTACATCGTTGAAGATGGTCACTTTGATGTCTACATCAACCCATCCGGTTCCGTTCAGTCCGGTCCTGACGGGCTGGGCAACCACGTCGGGACGATTGGTCCTGGCGGTTCATTCGGTGAACTGGCCTTGATGTATAACGCCCCGCGGGCCGCGACCATCGTGTCTACGGACCCAAAGTCGACGCTCTGGGCTCTTGACCGGGTGACCTTCCGCCGCATCCTCATGGACTCCGCCTTCCAGCGGCGACGCATGTATGAAGCCTTTCTCGAAGAGGTGCCGTTACTGGCCTCTCTCAAACCTTATGAGCGATCCAAGATCGCCGATGCACTTGACACGATCAAATACCCAGCCGGGACCACCATCATCCAGGAAGGCGGTCCCGGTGACTCCTTTTACCTTCTGGAGTCGGGTGAAGCAGAAGCCTTCAAGAGCGGGTCCGACCGTCCCGTCAAATCCTATTCGCGAGGCGATTACTTCGGTGAACTGGCGCTGCTTGATGATAAACCTCGAGCTGCGAGTGTGGTGGCCAAAACAGATGTCAAGGTCGCCCGACTGGGCCGGGATGGTTTCAAGCGACTGTTGGGTCCTGTGGAAGAAATTATGCGGCGAGCTGACTACAACGCTGGTTCTCAAACCAGTACTCCGGCTCAGAGTTGAAAGCGATTGAGGGAGGCTGGGGCTGCTGGCCCGCTCCAGTAGGGATGCGGTTTAGCTTACAAGAACTTTTTTACCCCGCTAACAATGCGGTGCTACCAGTTAAAGTACGGAATATCTGTTAGTTGTGAAACTTGACTCGGTCCACTGAGAAAGCGGTTGAGCTTTGAATGGCCTTTCCTACTGTGATGATGGTTTTGATGGGTATCTAAGGCAGGAGCCAGGATACCCATTCCAGTAATGGCAATGGAATTGATGGAGGGGTAGAGTGAACCCTGTTCAGATCACCTGCCTAGGGTTTCCCGCTTGCTATAAATATCCTGGCTGGTCGCAGGTTGAAACCGACCGGTCATATTCCATCCTTTCTCGATTTTTTTTATTGTCAGTTACTTGCTCTTTGTCTATGCAACATGCATTCCCACGTTAGTTGCCCGTGGCAGCTGACTTTGCGGGACATCCAGTATCACGCCATCATCCCTGTGCACTTACTTCTGTCATTCCAAAACCAATCGAATAATAATCATGTCTCTCTTTTGAGGAACAGAAGGGGGAAAAGAAAGGCACCAACCTTGCGTCATTCAGTCCCCTAGATAATTTTTTATTTCTCCCTACGGAGTACTTTTTTCTTTTGCTTTCCTTTGTTTTTTTTCAACACTTTGTCCAAGAGCCGTCTCTATGACTGAGGATGGGTCTCCCTGACACGATGATTTATGAAACGGTTGATGGATGGGTTGATTAATTTATTGTGATTGATCGGTTGATGGAAGGATCTACCTATGTATGGATGTGTCTCCGTTTTCTTTCTATTTCTATTTTTATTTTTTTACTTATTTTTATCCAGGAGTTGGCTAGCTAGCAGGTAGCTCGTTTGGTACAGCTACAAATGGCCCTACCCTACAATAACAAGATACACAAAAATACCAAATGCCCACAGTACGTGCAGTGGCTTTTTTTTTAGTATCTTCGCTTTGTTTATAGGCTGTCTCTATTTTAAAATGTACCGGCAAGGAAAAATCAGATCAGAAGCGTTGTCTAGACAATGACTAGACAGACCAGACAGAATAGACCAAAACTCGTACCACGTTGCTCTGTAGGTATAGCTTCTATAGTAATCAGCTGTCATTTTCTGGAGAGAAAAAGGGCAAATAAAAAAGCCCATGTTCTCTTCTCTCAGTCCATTACACAAAGAAGAAGACTGACTGTCGACGTGTCGTATCGGTGTTCCCGAAATCAGGTTGTGACGTACCATGTAATAGTTCCAATTTGGACATGCGTGTCTCCAAGTAGGCTGTTGTACTGAACATAGCATTGTTCCCCTGCATCATCACTATTACCGTGATGGTTCGGACGTCCACTCGATCAGACTAGCCCAATGCTCCCTGCTGGATAGGGCTCTAAGGCTCCTGGGAGTTTGGCGCGTCGAAGTTGTCCCAGAGATGAGGATGATCTGGAGATTTGGGTCTGGCCAGAAAAAAAAGGACGGCTGCCCATGCGACCCGCGGTTCTGTCCGTCGTCACTGCGTCGCGTGTGGAGTCGTTCGAAGAGGAAATGTTTTGGAACATTTCCTGGCATCGAGACGGTGCAGGCGCTTCAGGGCCAGCATACTCCTTGAAAGCTCTGGGAGCAGACTCGGGGAGACGAAAGACAAGCTCCAGTGGAAACAGCTGTCTGGCCTATCCCCGCTAGTTGCAGAGAAGAAAAAAAAGAAAAAGACTGGGATGAAAGGCCACTGAATCAGTTATACGACTTCTGCCCGTATACACAGTGACTGTGACAAAGAGTCAGCACCAGCATTTTAGGTTAAAAATGACGTCTGACGACTGGGGTGGATTACGCACACAACAGAGTACATGTGATAGTTCAGATTTCGCAAGTCCTGTCTGACGCCTGCGAGCAACCCCTGAATGCGATTGTTATCCCATTTCAGCACACGTGTAAACAGCGCTATGGAGTATGGCTCGATCGATTCCATCATCTGCAGGTTCATATAGAGGGCCAGCTCCTTCAGCTTCGGGTCCCGCGGCCACGGGGACAGAGGTACTTTGTAAGTCTCCTCGGTAACTGCGGTGAAACCGGCATTCTTCACCAAGCTATGAAATTGGGGCGCGATGTTCATCGTCTTGCCAAAGATCGCAGCCGCTTCGCACAGTCGGACCTGGAACTCGTGGTAGGCGGAGGTTTCGGGAAGACTGTTGTCATCGGTCGAGGCCCATGTCTCGAAGTCTGTGAGTTCGATCCAGCCTCCAGGAACGAGATTGTCATACGCTTGTTGCAGCAGTCGCGGCCAGTCTGCGATGCTGCCGGCCATACTCCGGATGTGAATGTATTCAAAAGGCTGGCTAAACTGCCACTCGGACTCCGCATCGTCAATCTCGAACCGCAGATTGGGGGGCACCCAGGTGGGTTGGATGCATGACAGATCGGTCGCGATCACGGTTGCCTCCGGATGCATATCGGCAAAGTCGATCGCCCACAACCCCGTCCCGCATCCGATGTCCAGGACACGACCGACATGCTTCGGCAGAGGAGCCCGGTACAGCTCCCCGCCAAAGATAAGGAGATAGATGTGATGTTGCATATCCATGCGATCCTGTTCCTTTTCATCGTTGGGCAATGGGTAGGCGCCCGCACGGAACGCGTGATATCGTCGGCCGTTCTCGTACCTGAAGGCGATTTCTTTCAGCCCTCCTGTCGAAAACACCATGGTGTAGATAGATAGATTGTCCAATTGCAGCACTCACTGGTAGTTAAACACGCTCTCTGTCAACGAGACGGTCGAACTTTCTCTGTGAACACAAGTTAGCACCACTGGCGTCATAGCATGTTTGGTGGACCTACTTGTCGTCTCCCAAAGCCGAATCTGCATCATCGGATCGAAAATAGAAATTCTGTATACGGGTAGAGCATGAGTCAGATCGATGGCCTGCCACATCGCCCTAAGAATTTTCTTTAATGGATGTACGTACGTTGGCGCCATAAGAGTACGGAGGGTGGGTGCTGGAATCTGAGATGCCGATGCTGCTGTCTCCGGCGACCGATGCGGACTCCGATGCCTGCAGATCGCTTCTGAGATTGGATTGCGGCTCATAATATCCCGATTGGATCTGATGCTCAGAGATCGTGTTATCGATAGCGGCGATACGGTGGTCCACACCAGCCAGGCCTGGGCTCGCGGCTGTCCCGGCGGCAGACGGAGAATTGTCAGCAGCAGCACCTGGGCTGCGACTGCCGCAGTTGTCTGCTGGGGAAGTCGAAGGCGAGGGGTTCTGGGGTGGGAAGGAGGGGTTGTGGCTGGCCATGGCGGAGGGAAAGCGCGATCGACGGTCGACTCCGGATCTACTCCTAGTTCGAGACAGCCGGCAATGGGGGAAGGAGCGACACGTTCCTTAAGAGTTCGGCGTTCACGCAGTCCCTGACGCCTGAGGCTGCGCTGGGGACTTTTGCATTCTCGCGATCTCCGGCTGATGAATGAGTTGCGATGTGATCATGAGTCTCGCGGCGGACTTGGCAGCATTGGCGAGCGATCGATGGGTTTCAAGAGGCGCACGGAGTACAGCGGCTTTATTAATACGATTCAGGCCAACACGAAGTCACAGATCGATGATCGCGTGTCGAGTGGATGAGGGCGACAGCAAAGTTAGGCCAATTCCTTTAGGCTCCGCGGCCCCATCTGCGGGTGCACGCAGCGTTCCTGGGTACAGCGTGCCTGCGACCCAGGTCCACTGCATTAGCTGCGATGGGCCAAAAGGCCCCAAGCATATGGCTCCAGGCCAAACAAAGACCTGCTTAGGCCTCCCAGAGTCCAGACTGTCACCCTTCGTTTGTTCTTGGCCCTTCCTGGGGCGCGCTGCCTTCCTTTATCACCCTCTCACCCTCCCCTCTTCCAACGCCTCTCGAAGCTGCGACAGTTCAACAGTTGCACGTCTGGGGGAAGAGGAGCTTCACCAGCATGGCTGCAATAATGACGATGCTAATCGACGGCGGATTGCTAGGCTGGGGTCTCGTCTTGGCGTCTGCAACCCTGCTGCTTGTGGCCGTCTACCGCCTGCTGCTCAGCCCATTGGCAGGCGTTCCCGGCCCCAAAATTGCGGCCCTCACTGCGTGGTACGAATTTTATTGGGATTGCCCCCGGCAGGGCCATTACATGTTCAAAATTGAGGAGATGCACCAAAAATATGGTCTTTCACCCCCGGCTACTCCACCCGTTCCCAATGTTCCGATGTCTGATTATTTTTCCTATGGTCCAAGCGTTTCTGGAAAGCTGCCTGACTCTCTGACTGACGATCGTTGCTGAACTGCAGGCCCCATCGTCCGCATCAATCCGTGGGAGGTCCATATACAGGACCCGACCTACTGGGACACCCTGTACACGAACAACAAGCTAGACAAGGATGCCTGGTATTACCGCGCATTTGGCGACAATCGTGGCACAGTCGGCACCGAATCATGGCAGCTCCATCGGGTACGTCGCGCCGCCATGGCCAAATTCTTCTCTAGTGCCAATGTCGCCAAGCTGGAACCCAAGGTGTTGGCTCGGGTGCAGAAGCTCTGTGATCGCGTGCAGGAGCATCGGGATGCCGGCCAGGTCATTCCCATCTCCCATGCATACCGGTGCTATGCCACCGATGTCATCTCCGACTATGCAGCTCCCCACACGCGGGATTTCCTGAGCACGCCAGACTTTTCGGCCGCTTTCAATCAGGTCCTGCGGGACTTTTCCGAGCTCATGCTTTGGCATCGCCACATCCCTATTGTCTTCCCGCTGCTGGAGGCGATCCCGCGTTGGCTGATCGCCAAGATGGATCCGACGGGGGCCCAGATTGCCGTCCTGGACAATCAAGCAGTAAGTGTCGAATGATTGGGGGTTTTTTTTGTCCATTCCGGACATGACTGATGTTCATTTCGCGCAGAGTCTCATGAAGCAAGCTCGGACAGTGGTGGAGACCAAGGGTATCCCGCCAGAAAAGTCTTCGCCAACTGTCCTAGATGCCATTTACACGTCTGACGTGATTGGACCGGAAGAGAAGACACTGCCTCGAATGATGGCGGAGACCCAGGCACTCCTGGGGGCCGGCACGGAAACTACGGGGAACACCCTGTCTATGTTTACCTTTCATGTTCTCTCGAACCCTTCCATTCTGCGGAAGCTGAAGTCAGAGCTCCAGGAGGCAGCGGAGAAACATTCCGTCACAGGTCTAATGGACTGCAAGATTCTGGACAAGCTGCCGTACCTGCAGGCTTGTATCAAAGAAGCGCTGCGGCTGGCGACCGGGGTCGTCGGTCGTCTTCCTCGGCGGAACCCGGTGGCACCCATGTCCTACACGACTCCTTCGGGAAAGACGTACACGTTTCCTCCAAAAACGACCATTTCCATGTCCATTCGTGATATGCATTTGAATGGTGATATCTTTCGTAACCCGCATGATTTTTGGCCGGAGCGGTGGCTAGACAGCAGCGCTGAGGAGCTGAAGCAGATGGAGAAAGCATTTGTTCCGTTTGGCCGCGGGGTGCGAGCGTGTCTCGGGCTCGAGCTGGCCAAGGAAGAGATCACGCTCATGACGGGCAATCTCTTTCACCGGTTCGATTTCGAGTTGTTCGAAACGACGGCGCGGGATGTGAGCGTCGCGCACGACTACTTTGCACCATTTGGGCCGAAGGATAGCAAGGGGGTGCGAGTGATTGCGAAATGATCACGAGCCAGCTTTCAGTCATTCTCAACGTTACGTTCGTATGTACAGATACCATGACTTCACCATAGGGGTATGTGTGTACTCGTATTGAATGAACTCACTGAATCATTATGACATGTGGCAGAATGTACACAGGGTACCCCCCTGGGTAGGATATGAAAAAGAAAAGTGAGATGCACGCCCACTTTGCGATGTCCGCTGATGTTAGGGCCTGCAGAGGTGAGCTGTTTAGTGAGCTTCTTGGGGCTAGCTCATTATAGTTGCTTTCTGAGCGACTTCGGCTAGCATCTTGCATTCGGTTATGTAGAGTTGAAGTAGGCAACCAAAAACTCCAGATAGAGTTGTCCTGTTCCAGGGAGAGCTGTCACATGGGAACCTGACACGTGCTTGGCCAGGTCGGGCTCAACCTTAAAAACAGGTAAAGCAATCTCGAATCCGCTGTACAGTAATGGACGTAAGCAGCGGATGGCACAGTGTATCCTCACATGAGGCGCAGTGACAAGTTCCAACCATCTGATTTATTCCTACAGACTGATAGGTCTAGGAATTGTAGGTAGCGTCCAGCAGTTAACTGTCATGCAGTGCAACTTTTAGGTGTCCTAATATCATAACCAGATTCTGCAATAAGGGCTTGGTGTAGTGCATTATGGTACCGCTCCGAGCCTAAGCGGAAGCGGGAAATGCGGTCTCCATACACTTTCTTACTTGCATGATATCAAGAATTCCAGTTTTCATCAGGCCCGACATAACTTCTTCCTATATAGCTTGTACCATGCCTCCCGCAAAGGCCAAGAAGAAAGAAACAAAACCTGCAACGCCGAAACAGACGGAAACAGCACACGCCCGTCCGAACTGGCCGCCTCTGCGTCCACTAGTCCCCGCGTCCGATCTGTCTCTCGAGTCCATCCTCGACGAGCAGATCTACATCATCCGCAACTTCTTCACGGCCAACCTGTGCAAGAGCTACGTCTCGTTCCTGTCGTCGTTGCCGCTGGTCACAACGCCCGCCAAACCCAAGAGCAAGGATGAGGCGGTGCGCATCAATGACCGGTTTCAGGTCCAGGATCCCGTCTTCGCGGAGACACTGTGGAGTGGGACCGCGTTGAAGGAGCTTGTTCTTGAACGGCGGGGTCTTGAGGATGAAGAGCAGGAAAAAGACCCGAACGAAGAAGAAGAAAAGAATCGCCAGGTCTGGGGCGGGACGCCTCTGGGGTTGAACCCCAATATTCGCATCTATCGATACTCGCCAGGGCAGTTTTTTGCACAGCATTGTAAGTGGTCTCTACCTCTCTTTCTCCGTCTTGCTTTCCTTCTATTTTCTAGAGCTTGTAGATAGAAACACTCCATAGTCTTCAGTCTTAAGCATCTATTGGGTACGAAAGGAACGAAAGAGAAGGACAGTAATTAACGCTCATATCTTGTATCAACCAGATGACGACTCCAACACTCTTCAATTCTCCTCACCATCCTCATCAGGATCTGTTCCTGCTCGCACCACGTGGACCCTCCTCGTCTACCTGACCACGGCTGAAGGCGGCGAGACCGTCTTCTACCCGGAAGGCGGGTCAGAGCCTATCTCCGTGGCGCCGGAGGTGGGCATGGCGTTGTTGCATCGGCATGGGGAGCGCTGCCTGCTGCACGAGGGGAAGGAGGTGCGGCGTGGCGAGAAATGGGTTGTACGGAGCGACTTGGTTGTCGCGAGATAGGAGTCTCTGGAAATCATTTTGGGATACTCGAAAACTCTACGGAATACTTAGGGACGCCCAAAATGGAAGGAGGGACCGGTTCCACCTGATTCCAGCTGTTCCTTCCGTTTCGCGGTCGGGAGGCCGGCAGGAGGCGAAGCAGTCACGATCTCTAGCATGTAGCGATGCGCATCATCTAGGTAGTATAGAGCAAGAACGCGAATACGGCCGAAGTGAATCGTAACATTCACCTGTTCTCCCAACGCAGTAAATCGATGCAGTGAATCCTCGTCCTGGCAGACAACGCGGCGCTCCCCTCGCGCTAAACCCGAACGGGGCTGTCCGGCGGGCGACAGACACCGGATTGGCAGCCGCGGTTGCGACTGCAACGGGATCCAATCAGCGCTGCAAACAGGCCCGTGTCGGCGCCGTCCTTCGCCTTTGCCTTTTTGCCTCTGCTTCTTGAGATGGCCTGGCCTCACCTCACCGCCCTGCTCTGGTTCTTCTCCCTGCTCTGGCCCTGTTTCCCAGCTGCAGCAGCCTGTCATGTCGTCCTTGCAGACCATGACAGCGCCCGCGGTCGGCCATCGCCCGCCAGATCCGGGCATTGATATCGACAAGCCTCTCGACGACCTTGTCGGCGCCGTCAAGCCCGACCCGGACCGTCCTGTCGCAACCCCGCGCGATGCTAACAACAGCGACTCCGCAATAGACGCCCTGCAACAAGATCTACCGCCCCAGGTGAAGACTGAGCCTTCCCAGAGCGAAGAGAACGTCTTGCTCCCCGGCAGCCATGGTGATCTGGCCGTGTCCGGCGGTGGACAGAAGGAGGAATCCCATGCGGACCCGGCCTTGGGCAAACCTCCAGATGACGACGATCTGGAACGACAGCAACGCGAGAAGCAATCCGCCGCAAATTCCCTGCTGGCCCAGCTTCTCGGAGGCGCTGCGCCGCCACCAGCACCCTCCGCCGCGTCCGCCGCGGACAACAATGTACCTCCGACCCCCCTGCCCGAGCCGTTAACAGATGCGTCGACTCCAGTGGCACCTGCGGATGAGCTTTCGACGAATGAGCCAGACAAGGTACCGGCGACGGACCCGGTTGTCACGCAGGATGAATCTGCATCAAAAGTGGAAATGCTAGAGTCGGCAGAAAATGGGCAGGAAAGTCACGGATCGTCGGGAGATCCATCGATGGGGCAGCAGACAGAGGAGGCTTCCTCTACGAAAATCCCAGACATGGTCACCGGGGTGATGGAGGATCCTTTGTCCAAGACCAGCAATAACCATACGGGCCTGTTTCCCACATTCGACCCTGAAGCTGCCCCAAAGGACGCCGTCGAAGCTCTGCAGCAGCACGAACTGCTCAACTCGGCCTACTTGGGCCAAGGCATGGACCTGTCTGGTCTGCCCGAGATTCCAGGTTACTCGAATACCAATACTTACAATAACGCGCCGGCGGCGTCGATCGCGGGTTCAGAACCCCGAATCCAGGCTTTTGCCAAGCTGGAGTTCGATGACGGGCATTTCTACGTCAACACATACTCGTTCATCCTCGGACGAGATGTGCGAGCGGCACGTGCAGCATACCAGCGTGAATTGCAGGCACGACAGGCTATGGGAAGAACAAAGAACAAAAGCTCTAGTGGTGGCAACGCATCCCATACTCCGAACCGGGTGAAGCGGGAAGGGAGCGCAATCATAGGGAGCGTCGTCAGTGACCGCGGTGGCATCATGGGCTTTGATCCTGATGTTCCCCCTCATCTGCCTCAACTGAGCCGAAAATCCTCCAACTCCGATCATGCCGAACATGCCACCCCGGCCCAGTTGCAGGCGAACCACACCGACTACAATGCTCTGGCGATGCAGTCCCTCTACGAAGGAAGTGGTGATGCGAAGCCTGTTGACACGTTGGCATTGCTGCCTTCTCCGGATGCGTGTCCGACCATTCCAATCCACCCGCCGGCCACCGCGGATGGCAGCGCTGCGGGGCACAAAGGGATATCACGGAAACACGTCAAGATTGCCTACAACTTTGACAAGAATTACTTCGAGATGGAGGTCATTGGGAGAAACGGCGCCTTTATCGGGGCTGACTGGCTCGCGCCAGGGCAGATCAGACCGCTGCATAGTGGCGATTACATCCAGATTGGAGGCGTGCGGATCCGATTTTTGCTTCCGGATGTGCCCATTGGAGAAACCGGCGCGGATCGGGTCGAGGAATCCTACACGGAGGAGGACCAGAATGCGTTGGCCGGAACCACTGTCGGCGACACCGCTGTCAAAGCAGACGGGGTTGAAGCCTCTGGCGCAGACGGCACAAACGGTGCAAACGGCGCAGACAATGAGGAGAAACCAAAGGTGACCAAGATTGTCTTGAAGACCAAGGATAAGGACAAGGACAAGGACAAGGAGAAGGAGGAGAAGAAGGAGCCAGACCCGTCCCAGCCAACACCCTCGATCGAGGGGCCCCCCGAGACTCCGCAGCCACCGCGTCGTCGCGGACCAGGACGCCCTCCAAAGGATGGCATCATGTCGAAACGCGAACGGGCCGAGATTGCCAGGGAACAGAAGTTGGCCGCCAAACGCGAGGCCAACGGTGGTGTCACGCCTCCGCCGTCCAACCGGTCGAAGCAGCCGAAGCCGCGCAAGGAGGATTCCACCGAGGATGCGGCCAAACAAGAGAAACGAAAGTACACCAAGAGGAAACAGCCCGATGGGAGCGACGTGCCTGTCCAGTCTGTTGAAGGTGGCGAGGTTCCTCCCGATCAGCTCCCAGAATCTAAGCCTCCTCCGCCCAAGAAACGCAAGCCGTCCCGGTCTCCATCGCCCGACTATCCTCCTGAATCCGCCTACACTCCAGAAGACTTGGCTAAGCCTCCTTATAACTACGCTGTCTTGATTTTTGATGCCCTGACTGAGGCTCGCGCGCCAATGACGCTCAAACAGATCTATCGGGCTCTGAAGCTGAAGTATCCGTATTTCCGCTTCAAATGTGAGACGGAAGGCTGGACGTCCAGTGTGCGCCATAATCTGAACGGCAACAGCCACCTTTTTATGCACGCAGAGCGAGATGGGAAAGGGTGGTCGTGGCAGCTTCGTCCTGGTGCGTCGGTGGAAAAGGAGAAGAAGAGAAGGCCGTCCCCTCCGCCTCCGCCTCCGCCATCTCATGTTTCCCACCCTGCTCCCGGTACTTCTGCTCCTCCTCATCAACAACATTATATGCCTCCTCCCTCCCATCCTTATGCCGCTCCTGCGGGGGCTCCGAATCATCCTCAAAACCAGCAATACCAATACCCATCGATGCCCTCCAATCCTTATAACGGTTCTGCGCCTCAACATTCCAGTCCTTATCCACCTGCACCTGCACACCCGTCTCAGGTATCTCTGCCGCCTCCATTACGAAACACTAATATTCCCGCCGCCTTTCTCCAGCCCGGACCTACTACCTACACATCTCCTTATCCTTGTGAACTCCCTCCAGAGATTGTCCAGCTTCAGCAGCAGGAGCAACAGCAGCAGCAACAACAACAACAGCAACAACAACAGCAACAGCAACACCAGCAACACCAGCAACAGCTGGAGCTGCGCCGACAAGGTGAATCTGCGCCGATGCAACCACAGCAACCGCAACATCCGGCTCCTTACGTTCCGCCACCAAATCCGTCTCAATTCTCAAATACGAATCACCCTGCACCTCCTCCACCGGCCCCGCCCTTCCAATACCCTCAATCTCAACCTCCTCAGGCGCAACCGCCGCAGTACCCGAATCCGATGCAGCCGAGTTCTGCACCGCCGGAGCAGCCGGCGATGCAGAATGATGATGACGCGGAATCGGCAATGTCGTTTACCGAGCGAGCAAACAAGGCTATTGATGACTTTGAGGCGGTGCTCATGGAGGACTACGAAGACAAGGAGTACATTCGGGAAGTTCTCAAAAGTGCTCGAGCTCGGGCTCTTGGACATGCTGAGGAAAGCTCGTTCCCGGGCGGTGAACCGAAGGACGAGGCTGTCATCTTGGACGCTTTAAAGAATCTGATCGGAAGTTTAAAGGGCGAACAATGATGATCTTGTTGCAGTAATTGCATAATTTTTTTTGGCGTGACGGATAAGAGAATACCGAGTTCGGTTTCTGTCCCGTTGTGCCGTTAATGCTCAATGATTTACGAACTGGATATAGCGGGTGTCCAAAAACGGCGTTCTCATTGTGTGGCTGGCGTTCTCATTGTGTGGCTTGGTCTTTTTTTCGACTCCTGTTGGAGCAGTGGCCTTATTAGTTTTCTGGGATTTATGAGGTGGCTTTCCTTGTGATGGTTAAAAGGGGAGCGCAAGGGATTGCGAGGTCCCCAAAATATCTAATGGAGTGACTTTTACCAGTTCTCGTTCTGGTTTATTGGTTAGGTTAGTTAATTTTGCGGGCATGAGTGCATGAGTTATGAAGGGAGGGTAAGGAAGAAAGAAAAAGGACTTTTCCCTTTTCTCTTCTTTTTATCCCTTCTTTCTTACTTTCCTACTTTTTTTTTCTTTCATTGGTTGATTGATTGATTGATGATATCCAATGACTGAGCATAGCGTGCCTTTCATGTTGGGAATGAAGTGAAATTCTCTCTCAGACAGCACACTCACACTGTCCTACATTTTTATCTTTCTTTCTTTTCTTTCCTTCCTTTTTTTTCCTCTTAAAAAGGTAATACTTATTTAAGGTTATTTTTATCTCTTTGACCTTCTTTACGTTAGGCTGGTTGAAGGGGTTTGATTAAAAAAGAAGTTTCGAACAATAAAACACATGACGTGATAAACACAAAAAAAGAAATTGGGTAAGCTTGGATACGATGTTCAAGAGCACTAATATCATCTGGTATGCTGAAAGCTGCCCCGTGGTTGGTGACAAAAAATTGCGAAAGTCATGCTTGGAAATCAGCAAAAAAGCCATCACCCAACAAGAAAAATGCTCCATTCGATATACTCTTTTGTAGGCATCTAGACAACTATAGTTCTAAACTGCACTAATGGCCACTATAGACAGTAGTACTGGAGCGTCATGCAGGCGGTGAGTGCAATAGACCAATCAGCGCACGCATAAATGCTAGTGACTGTATTCTGTGAGTATTTAGATCAGATTAGATTAGATGCAGCTGTCCTTCGATGTAGTCCACACCATACTATACTGTTGCCACCATACATCGTGACCCATACACGCATTAGGAATTATACACATAAGCCGATTCAGCATTGCTGAATCCGATATAGCTTCCCACGTCGCCTGGGTGGGTGAAGTAATGGTAATGAACCCCTCACATGGCAAAAACGCGCTAAAACCCGATCTGGACGCGACTTTTTTTTTTCCTTACCAAGGCGGTCGGCGGAGTCAGTACCGTACCGTCGGACGCAATTTGTCCCACCACCAAGGGTTGAAGTTCGCTGCATTTTTTCCTTTCCTTTTTCTTTTTTCCTCTCCCCCCCCTGGCAGAAGCCAGGAAAGGCACCCCTACGTTTTCGAATTCATTATAATTGGTGTTTGTTTTTATACCTTCCCTTCTTTGCATTTCTTGATTTCCTCGAGGGGTTCTTTTTTTTTCTTTACTGTTACGTAACCGTCACGATGAAGTACGTTCTTGTCTCTGGAGGTACGTTGACGTCGATTCAATCATTCCGTCAATCAATCCAACTCGACTCGATGCCTCTGCAGCTCGCAGGATAATCGAGATTTTTTTATGATGAATCTGTCTGATTAACATGTTATTTTTCTTTTTCCAGGTGTGATTAGCGGCATCGGGAAGGGCGTAATTGGTACGACTTCATTCTGACTCGACACACTCGCCGTTCCTTCTTGGATATCGAAGGAAAAAAGTTTTTGAAGGAAATATGTTCTGACAATTGTTCGCTATACAGCTTCCTCGAGTGGGCTTCTTTTGAAGACCGATGGGCTCAAGATGCGTGATTTCCTTCCCGATAATACTGTTGGACAACTGGTGCTGACTATCTGTGCACGTTACTTCTATTAAGATCGATCCTTATATGAATGTGGACGCCGGGACCATCTCGCCGATTGAGTATGTCAACGCCTCATCTTCATCTCTTTCGTCACTCTTTTTTGAATCTTATTCTCTTCCGCATCAACAATTCTGACATTTGGTGACCAGGCACGGAGAAGTCTTCGTCTTGAATGATGGTGGTGAGGCTGATCTTGACCTGGGGAACTATGAGAGGTACTTGAACGTCACTCTCTCAAGAGATCATAATGCAAGTTTACTGCAATCTCTTTAATCTGCAACATGAGTACTGACATCAAGCAGATCACTACCGGCAAGGTCTACAAGCACGTTATCGAGAAGGAGCGCCGTGGTGACTACCTCGGCCGCACCGTCCAGATTGTTCCCCACCTCACAGATGCCATCCAGGACTGGATCGAGCGTGTCGCTCGAATCCCCGCTGACGACAGCAACGAGGAACCCGATGTTTGCGTCATCGGTAAGATTAGTATTGATCTTGATTTATATCAAGAATAACATTCTAATCTAATTGCGATTCAGAGCTTGGTGGAACTCTTGGAGACATTGAGAGCGCTCCCTTCGTAGAGGCTCTGCGTCAGCTGCGTCGTCGTGCTGGCAAGGACAATTTCCTTCAGATCCATGTCTCCCTGGTCCCTGTCATTAACGGTGAGTTGAAGACCAAGCCTACTCAGCAGGCTATCCGTGATGTGCGCTCAGCCGGTTTGAGCCCTGACCTGGTGCGTACCTCCGATAACAATCAAAAAAAAATAACATTGCTTGCTGATATTGTGATTTAGATTGCGTGCCGTTGCGAGAAGGCGCTTGATAAGGCTACCAAAGATAAGATTGCTATGTTCTGCCAGGTCGAACCTGAGCAGGTCATTGGCGTTCACGATGTTGCCTCTACTTACCACGTTCCTCTCCTCTTGGAGCAGCAAGGCTTCCTTGTCCAGCTCCGCCAGATTCTCAAGATCGACGCCATGACTATCCCTCCGTCTTTTGTGAACAAGGGTCACAACACTTGGAAACAGTGGAAGACCCTGACCACTTCTCAGGAACATGTTTATGAGACTGTTAACATTGCCCTGGTTGGCAAGTATGTCGCCCTTCACGACTCGTATCTGTCGGTCATCAAGTCCCTGGAGCACTCCGCCATGGCTTGCCGCAGAAAGCTCAACATCATCTGGGTTGATGCTTCCCACCTTGAGAAGACTACCGGAGAAGCCAACCCAGAAGCATACCATAAGGCCTGGCATGAGGTTTGCACAGCTGATGGTATCCTTGTCCCTGGTGGATTTGGAACCCGTGGTACCGAGGGTATGATTGCTGCTGCCAACTGGGCTCGTACCAAGGGCAAGCCCTACCTTGGTATCTGCCTTGGCATGCAGACTGCTGTCATTGAGTATGCCCGCAATGTTTGCGGTATTACTGGTGCAGGCTCTGTTGAGTTCGATGAGCGCACCTCGGACCCTGTTGTCATCTCTATGCCTGAGATCGACCAGGTCAACCTTGGCGGTACTATGCGCCTTGGATCTCGCCCCACCTTCTTCCAGGAGGGCACTGAGTGGTCTAAGCTCCGCTCTCTGTACGGACTTAACCGTACTTCCATTGATGAGCGTCACCGTCACCGGTACGAGGTCAATCCCCAATATATCGACCGTCTCCAGGCTGCCGGACTGCACTTTATTGGCAAGGACGACAAGGGCGAGCGGATGGAAATCATTGAACTCAAAGACCACCCCTGGTTCGTCGGGGTTCAGTTCCACCCCGAGTACTTGTCTCGAGTTCTTGCTCCCAGCAAGCCCTTCCTTGGCTTTGTTGCTACTGCTGCTGGGGTCTTTGACGAGGTTATGAAGAAGTCGCAGGCCAGGGAGGCAGAGTTGGCGAACGGTATTTCCGAAATCATCATCTAAAACGTCTTCACTTCCTGCAGAATATACATATAACAGTCTGATATGATAGATCATTTATGACGAGGAGGATGTTGCGATACGTTCGGTTGAAAAGATTACCGAATAGTAGATCTGGGGTACGGTTTCTCCTTTTGATTTCATCTGAGTGATGAAGATGGAACTTGTGGATGCTTGAATGATCAGAAATCCAGAAAAAAAAAACCCCCTTTATGATCCGATTTTGACGGTGTGGTCCAGTTGCGCGCGCGCTTGTTGGTGGCATTTTGGAACTGACTGACTGAGAAGCAAGCATTTCAAATATTCATTGATTGAAACAATTACAGACTTTTCTTTCATAGGCGGGATTTAGTTTCTTAAAAAAAATAGGTTGGCGATGGCATAAAAAAAGGGGATTTATTATAAATATAGACAGATAGAATTATGCATCAATGCAATAATCAATATTTTTACACTTCCTGTGTCTATACTCTCACTCGCCTCGCACCGCACCGCCCTCCTCTTCTTCAGTCTTCAGTCAGATCAGCTTCGTTAAAATAATATTAATATATAAATGCTTCTTTCCTTATCCCAGAAAGCTTTAATTTAATAAATACCAGAATCCGTATTTGGTTGCCGCTGGACTTGTAGCATCGGCTGGCTGTTCACATAATCGTACACTACTTTGATTGCAGCTCGGTAAGGAGGAGACAGATCTTTCGCAGAACGACGCCAAAAGACGGACGCCGGATTCATTCAGCAGTCGTTCTTGCGTCTTGCCTTGCCATCTGCTTGTTTAGTAGTAATTAATAGAGTAAGTAAGTAATTCAGTCAGTCCAGTTAGTCCAGTCCATTGTTGGTTGCTACCATTGTTGGTTGCTACCATTGTTGGTTGCTATCATTGTTGCTATTATTGTTGATTGAATTGATGATTGATACCTTCCCTACCCAACAACCAACTAACCAACCAATCCAAACCTAACTAAACCACACAACGAAGCAAGCTTTAGGTAGGTAGGTAAGTAGGTAGCAATCAATATAGATAGATATAGCATGGGACTTCTGTCGCAGAGTATAGCATAGCATACCAGGACAGGACATAGGTATGTAGTAAGTAAGTAGGTAATGTATGTACGTAAGGTAGGAGGAGGCGTAGGAGGAGGAGTCGGAGTAATCCACGAAATATAACCCAATCCCGTTCGGCTTCGGCAAGGTTACGAGAATCGACCCGGTAGAAGAAAAAGTGACGAGTATAGCAGAGCATAGCATGGCATGATCATGGCATGAGCATGGCATAGCATGAGCACGATATGACATGACATGACATACAATCGGAACATCCGTGTCTTAGAAAAAAAAAGGGTAAGAAAAAAATACGTCCGACGAGTAATTAGTGAGGTACAGAAAGAAAACAAAAAGGAAAAGTGAAATATAAAGAAATAAACTTCTATCCCATCGCCATCTCGGCTTTCAATTTCTCTAACTCCGCTTCCTCGTCTTCCTCTTCTGTTGTTTGCTTTGCTTTGCCTTTGACTGGAAAAAAAAAGAAACCAGGTTAGTAACTGGACAGCTTTCCTTTTCTTCAAAGCAGGACTTACCCTCCCCGTTGGCCACATTCGGCAGCTGGCCGACTGGCACCGTCCCCGTTTTGAGCATCTTCTCCTCGACGGTCTGCTGCTCCAGCTCCTCCAGCTCGGCTTCCAGCTCGTCCTCGTCCGGCTGCTCGCCGATGGGGTTGCTCGTGATGGCCTGGGCGATTTCCTGGCTGAGCTGCTGTTGTTCTCGTAATTTGTCCCTACGAATATCCTATTAGAAAAGCTGCCCGCTTGACCTTCTCTCTCTGACGGTAATGTAGCACATACATCGTTTCGTCCACCTTGTCGATGGTCAGCTTGCCGTGGATCTGCGCCATGGCGTTGCCGGCCTGCTTCATCGCGTTCAGCGTCTCCTGGTTGATGTTGGCAGCCTCGATCGCGTAGATCTGCTGCTCGAGTTGCTCGATCTGCGCCAGCGTCGACTCGAGGTTTTTCTCGTGGAGCTTCTTCCGTCGGAGGGCGGCTTTGGCGGCTGCAAGACGATCATATCAAGTCAGCAAACTCAACAACCCTCACTCTCTCGACCAGCGCAAACGCACCATTCTTGTTTGTTGAGACATTCCTCCTCGCTATTGCCTCCTGCTCATCCATCTGATTCTGCAAATGCTTCTCCCTCTTTTGCAGCATGTCCAGCTGCTCCCGCAGCGCTAGGATGGCGTTCTTGGGCGCATCTTTCCGCTTTTGCGCGGACGAGCCACCGAACCAAGACCACATCGTGGAACGCTGTAGCTGTGCAGATATGAATTCAAGAAACGCGAGCAGAGGTAGGGTCCTGCCCTCCGGTACGACGGTCAGTTCCGAAAGATCTCGAGCGGAGCGGGCTCGTCGCAGGTCTCGTGGACTAAGGTATGTATTTGATGGTGGTAAGGTCTAGCAGCCTGGCCGACGACGGCTGCTGACAGGACGACTGACAACCAACCAAAACAAAAAGATCCAACAAAGGGGCTCTCGTGCGATAGGACTATAACCAGCCGCGGCCACGCCAAGATAGCCGGGGGCAGGCAACGTCGAAACGGGATGGATCAGGCTGTCGATTCGCAGCTGGAGGGAATGCACCGAAGAAGGTCGTCCGTTGGCGGCTTTCCCCTCGTGATCCTATGACATCGACGCCCGCGCGGCCTATCGGAGGGGCTCGGTCACGTGACCGTCTACTCATGGAGTTTATATCCTCTGATATACTACTACTCCGTACATTTTAAATACTTTACAGAGTCATATTCTCTCGTTTGGTTAATCCAGACGGACTCACGATGGTGTTGATCATCGTTCATTTCCTCACCGAGTCCCGCTCCTCGTCGATAGTGTCAGACCATCATGAACGGCCCACCCCCAACAAGACAGGTCTTCCTGTACGAGCTTGCGAGTCTTCCTCTCCATTCCAAAGTCCGTTTTCTAGGATGGTACGTATTCGACCTGTTATTCTATTCTATTTTTTTTTAAAAAAAATGAACCCAGTAAAAATCGATATTGATAGACAATCTTTCATTTTTTCCCTTTCTTTCTTTTCTTCTAGTGTATCTCGATATGACATCTCCACGGGACGTCTCATCCTAGAACACAAACCAGCAGCAGCATCAGCAGCGTCAGCGACAACGACGCCGATTCCTACTACCACCGTCCCAGTAGACATCAACCACCTGCTGGAGACGATCAAAGCGGAAGATCTCCAGGTGGGTGCGTGGCTGAATGTGATCGGCTACGTGAGGGAAGACGAAGAAAAGCGTCACAGCAAGGACGACGACGAGCGGAAGAAGGATCAAACCCCGGCAATCTACGTCGAGGCGGTCATGGTCTTCTCCGCCGGCGCCGTTAATGTCGGCGAGTATGAGCGGATTCTGCGGGATGCGCAGGAGGTTGATCGGAGGGTGCGACGGCCTGGAATGGAATAATGCCCTGTTTTTTTTTAAAAAAAAAGTTGGTATTTTTCTTAATCTGTAGTGTACTGTACATATATGTATGTTGATTATTTCAGGAAGCTAGATTGTACTGCATAAAACGGGAGAAAAGAAATGGAGGAAAGACTTCAAGCTCTTTAATTCTCTCTTTTTTTTTCTTTTCTTTCGTTTTCCTTTCTAACTAATAATTAATCATTATACTTACATGGAAATGTCATAAAAGACTTTTCAATATTCTGTCGTCAGTCGTCATTCCGCTCGACATAGATAAATAATGCAATAGAAAAACACGCCCAGGTTTATATGCTCATGTCCCGTCTAACCGTAATTCGTAGATTTCCCTTCCCGTTTATCCGTTTAGCTTTTTTATTAGCTTTTATTCTAGACTTGCTTTTCGGGATCGTCTCTCGTCAGCGCGGGATCTTCTTCTTCCTGCTGCTGCTGCTGCTGCTGCTGCTGCTGCTCGACTCGGCGACTGCGTCGGCGCTCCTGCTTCTTCTTGTCCTCCTGCATCGCGCGGATAAAGTCGCTCCGCCGACGGATCTTGTACCCGTATTTCCAGAAGACGAACGGGATCGGAATCAGCGCCACCTCCAGCAGACCCAGCAGCGTGCCGGACCAGTTGGCGCCGAGCCGGTTGTACATGTAGGTGCCGACCAGGGGCATGATGCCACCCATGACGCTGCGGATCATCGAGTTGCTGGCCAGCGACGACGCGGCGTAGATGCCGTAGCTGTGCGATAGGTAGTTCGTCGCGTAGATGAATACCGCCGTGTTGCCTGCGCCGTAGGGCACGCCGGCCACAAGGGGCAGGATCCAGGGGATCGACGCCGGGGAGCAGGTCCACGCGAACATCAGCTCGCCGGCCGGGATGATCAGGGCCGAGATGCACACGACCGACACCATCGCTTCTGGCGGGACCTTCCCCGTCTCCGGGTCGATTTTGTGGCTGTTGATCATGCGACGGATCAGTGGCTCGGCGACGATGGTCAAGACGGTCCCAATACCGATCCCGACAAAGGCAAGCCCCGACAGACCGATGGACCAGCCCCGAATTTGGCGGAAGACGATCGGGTACGCAGTGAAGCTGAGGTAGAGAATGCCGTAGATGACGCCGATGTAGAGGTTCCAGAAGATGCTGAGGAGACGTCAGCCCAGTCTCGATAAGGATCTGGAATGATACGAACTGGGGGCAGGGGGAAGTACCAAATCGGCTCCAGCACCATCATGACAAACGGCCTGCTGAGATTCGTCTTGAGCACCTCGCCAAAGGCTGCTTTGTGGTCGTAGCGACACCACCACCGGGGATCGCTTGTTTCCTTGCGCAGCCGAGCGGCCTTTCTCCGCAGCAGGACCGGCGCGTACGTCTCCTTCATGATGCAGGAAAATACCAACGCGATGCCGGACAGGATCAGACTGATCCAGGCCGTCCACCGCCAGCCCAGGTACTGGGTCACGAAACCACCGATGATGGGACCGAAGACTGGTCGACGTGTCAGGCGGGCATACGGTACAGTATAAAGAAGCGAGAGAAGAACCTACCTGGACCGTTGATAGGACCAAGACTCCAGATCGACAAAGCCAAGCTACGATGGTCGTCATCGACAAGATCGCCAACCATGCCGGGCGCACTGCTGATCATCACACTCCCCGCCAGCGCAGCGATGAAGCGGACGATGATCAGCTCAGCGACAGAGGTGGCGAGCGCGCAGGGGATGATCATGACGACGAAGATGAACAGGCTGACCACCGAAATCGGCTTTCGACCGTACGTCTCACTCAGGGGCGCCACGACCAGGGAGCCCGCCGCGAGTCCAAGCAGGTAGAAAGTCAAGCCCAGCGTGACAACCGTCTCCGTCGTTCCGAACTCCATTGCCATCTCTGAAATCCCCGAGGTATACGACGTGGAGTAGAGCACACTGTTTAATAAAGGTCAGGTCAGCCTGTGATTTATATTTCCAAGGGCAACAGTCGCATCGCGCACATCACCAGGGTATTCCAGGACAGAAAGACGAGACACATGCACCGGTAGGCTAGCGACCAATTCCGGGGGTTCGCCGGATCCTTCTCATCCTCCCAGTCGACCTCGAAGTTGGGATCGGTGGTGCCAACCGACGTCGTCCTGCGCGCGAGGGACGGCTGCGACTGCGCCTGTGACTTGCGAGAGACCTGCGGTGTCAGGATCTTGTCGTCGATGCCATGATGATGTGAAGGAGGCTCCAGGTTCTGCTGCTCCACGACGTCGTCGTCAGCCGAGTCGATGGACGAGGTGCGGTCGAGTTTTTCGGTCCATTGCCTGGGCTCCGAATGGTCGCTTCCAGAGGGTGTATGTTGTTCGGACATGGGCTTGATACGACCAGCGGCGGTATCTCCTCGGCTTCTGCACGTCGATGCGCCTCGAAGAGAGCTTCAAACAGTGTCTGAAAAAAAAAAAGGGCAGTGAGACAGCTTTTGCGCAAGGTCCTGTGGTGACAAGGAAGGTGTGCTCCCGAGACGATCAATCCAACGACAATCAGATGCTTGATCTGCCCGTAAACTCTAGTAAAAGATATGTGTATGTATGCAGAGAACTAGAGACAGTATGACGATCGATCTCCAGTGTCTTCTTGCCTGCACGTCCTTCCTGAACACCGACAGAGCGCAAAGAAAGAAGGTCAGGTCAGACTCTGACGACCAGGCGATGCTCGCCATGGCCAGCCGAGAGCACCAGCCGACAAGGTCATTAGCGATCGCACTGGCTGGATTGCTAATAATTTCTTGACAACGGACTACTTTCCGGAGACATTGCCGTGAGGTGGGGCGATTGGATGGCCCTAACAAGCGTTTTTTACTCTGTGCGGCGTAGTGGGGAGGCTATTATCTTCCGATGCTGAAGGTCACTAGCTAGACGGTGCCTTGGCATTGTCGTAGACCACTCAGACGTTGCTCTCTTCATGATAACATTTACAGAGTAGTCATATAGAAGGGCGTGAAGAACCCAAGGGAGGTTGAGTGCTGACTGTCAGAGGAGCATTGTTGGATGACTGAGAGCTATTGCTATTACATATCTCACCTGTCAATCACTGCCACTGATAGCAGAATGGCGGTCAGGTTTAGAATAATTTGGGCAGGATCTTTATCAACATCAGACAAGGAGGATGTAGTAAAACTACGGGAGTAAAGACAGAGCTTGCCTACCCACAGTGGGGGCTTGGAAGAGGGGAAGATGCGTGCCCAGGGCCGTGCCGGTTTGCCGGTTGGCCGGTTGGATCCAAAAAAGCCCTAAGTTTGACGGCTGAGGCCAATTATTAATCCAGTCGACCTAGAGAAAAGCACAAAAAAAGGTCTCTAGCACCTAAACACAGGAAATTAGGAAGAGAATCGAGTGTAATACATTTGTAGAGGTAGGAGTTGTTAATAATAATAGGTTATATTGTTCTAAGTTACCTTAAGGAAGACCATTTTAAAACTAAGCTGCTTTAGGTTCTATAAGAATTTCACGCTGGGCCGTTGAGCCAAGAAATTGCTTCCATGGTGTAGCTGGTTATCACGCAGGTCTCATACTCTGGTATGACATTGGGGCTCTAACCCCGATGATATCCTGAGGTCCAGGGTTCGAACCCCTGTGGAAGCAAATTTCTTACTTTTTGTTTCTCCTATTTTTTTTCTGCCCACTTCTTTAGATTACGTAATTAGAAACATCATTTGGAAATCATTTGCTTCCATGGTGTAGCTGGTCATCACGTAGGTCTCATACGATGTATGTATGACATTGAGGGGGCAAAACCTCAATGATATCCTAAGGTCCAGGGTTCGAACCCCTGTGGAAGCAAAATCCTTGCATTTTAGTCATTAGTGATCTTGTTTTCTTTTTCTTTCTTTTTTAATTCTATTTGAATTAGACGCTCACATTCATTAACAGAAAGAAGCACTTTTTTAATTCCTTTTTTTTTTCGTTGTATTTCTGTTGCGCACTATTAGCTATGATAAAATTTTGATCTTCCCTCGGGAGGCGGTGAACCCGGTGGCCAATTGGGGGTGGGGGGCGCCAAGACGCTCAAAGCTGCGGTTTGCTGGCAGCCAACGATAGTTGCTCTTTACGAGGGTTGACAGGGGTAGTGATTTTATGATATCTATAGAGAACATCATTTGGTTTCTGATTGCTTGGAGATGTAGTGATCATCAAAAAACAGTACTCCGTATAGAGTGCATATCTAATACAACAGGAACACATACAAAGCCTGATGAAGTTTTCAATCCGCACATTACTCCAGAGTAGAAGTCTCTTCGTCATGTCGAGCAATGTGTGGATGGAATCTTTGATTCAACAAAGATAGATAGTCTTGAATCTATAGAGAGTTAGTAGAAGCAAGCAAGAACGTTATAACAACTGTAGTAAATCATAAAGTCTTTGAGTATGAGAAGGGTCTAGAATAACAGCACAAGCGATTGACCAAGAGCTATAGACAACTCCCAGCTTAGGGTTCACACCAGAAGACTGTTCGGCACCACACATCTTAAACGATAAGGATGGCGCGTCGATTCATGCGAATCTCGCTGCCACAAGGAACACTCGAACAAACACCAATAGGGTATTGATTCTTGATCAAATCGCGTTTTCCGTTGATCAACATGGCCACCCTAGCAGACAGCTCTTGTCTGTCAGGCCGGGGGGCGGCTTGTTGCTCAATACGGAGTAGATCGACCAGAACCAAATGGTTGATATCTGACTTAGACTAGGTTACACTATATAATAAATTGATAATACCTGGCATAATGTTAGACTGGAAAACTACATAACCTCCCTTATATTGATCTCACTCACTGGTACCAATAATCTCTCGTGTTGTCCTCCAGCTTCTCTCGAGTTTTGGGGCTGTATCTCTGCTGCTTTAACTAGGAGTCTCCATCAAGGCCCTCTGCCTCCGCCAGGTAGTACTCTGGAGGGTTCTGGACCTTAGCAAGACGAAGTCTGGAGGGAGAAGGGATGTATGTCCATGGCTGGAATAAATATGGCGGTCCGATTTTAATATTAGTAGATAAAGTACTAAAAGAACCTTATAAATCTAAAGAATAAATACTTAAATATTCCTTTATATAAATTCAGGCTTAGGCTACTTATAAAAATAGTATTAACCTAGCTGCTATTTATTAATATACCCATCTTGGTCTTCTTGAACTGTATAGTATCACCTCACAGCTTCATTATTAGGCAATAAGATTGAGTTGTTCTGTCACAACAGGCGGGGCTAGAATTGGCAAGATAAGATTTATGCAGCAGTAGTTATCCATCCATGGACTGGAAATTTAGATTGTAATGTACAGTACAGTACAGTATGGAATACTTCTGACGTGATCGAAGGACACTAACAATCAAGGTCAAAGAATCGATTGATCAGTAGATACATGCATTGTTATGTGCAATTTGTTTCATTCATTCATTTCGTTCATCATGTCGACATGAAAGACTGACTACATATCTCCATTTACGATGGAAGAGACAGACAGGCTTCATGACAGGATTAAGTCATCATGCTCTCATCATGCTCTCGCACAGAGGCGGAGGATTCCTCCATCTCTTCCTCCATGACTCTCCTGCTTACAGACGGGCCAGGTTGGTAACCTCTCCAGGCGCGTGGTAGTTAGGCACCCGCATCTCAAGAGCGGAGCCGGAGTAGCCAAGGTCCTCGGCAGTCAGGACGGCGGCTTTCTCGCCGACGAGCAGAGCAGTCTGCGAGATTTTTACTGTCAATAATCTCGACTCTCGAGTATTCTTGTCAAGCGGAAGAACTTACGCTGTAGGTGTTGCAGCCGACGTTGTCCGGGCAGATCGACAGGTCTGCGACCTTCAGGCCCTTGACGCCGTAGACGTTCAGGCGCTCGTCGACAACACCACCGTGCTTGGCGAGCTTGTTGCCTCCCGTGGCGCCATGCTGCAAGTTCCGAGGCAGTGCCAGGTGGTCTCAACATGGCGTTGCACTGGCAATAGTCAGCAGACATTCTTCCCCCCGTGTCTATCGGCCTCCACTTACCCCATTTCTCAATGTGCTCAATATCCTTCTTGGAGTACTTGATCGGCTCGCGCGTAACCTGCTTGTGCGAGTTAAGGTAGTTGTCCGCAGGAGCCTTGCCGGGCTCCAGCCTGTGAGCCCACGAGCCTGCAATCCGTCTTAGCCTCTTATCTCTATAGAAGAACGCTGGTGTCGCTCCAAATTGTCCACTTACCGTGCTGGATGCCCGCAGTGATGTGGTTGGGACCGGCGTACGCGTTGGTCGTCGCGAGATCGAGGTCGAACGCACGAGCTGGCGAGTCGTAGTTGAAGTGCGGGTGCATCCCCGTGACTTCACCAGCGTACGCATCCATGCGACGAGCCGTCTCACGAGACTTGATGTAACCCCAGACAAGAGGCGCCATATCCCGCTTGTCGTTCAGGAAACCAGGGTCGAAGTCAGGGTTCTCATATGGATCGGGCGAGTTGACATGGATCCAACCGCGAGAGAACGGGTATTCCAGGAAGTGGAACATGGTGAAGAACTTGCCCGGAGGCACGAGCATGTGGTCACCGAACCAGCCAGTAATGCAGGAGTAGTGCATGACTGGCTTGTCAGGCTTGTCCTTGAAGTAGCTGTCCCAGCCACCGGCGGTCACGAAGTCGGGAGTAGGCCAATTCCGCATCTCAGCCAACTCCTCCTCGGTCGGCCGGATCTTCACACCGGCCTCAATGCCGTTAGTAGACAGCGGGCCGGTGCCCTTCTGGTTCCATTCGTCGAAGACCCTCTTCTGGACCTCGGGGTCGCCACGGGCGAAGTCATCGAACGTCTCGACATCAGGCTTCGCTCGGTACACCGCGAAGGTGAGGTAGTGGTCCTGGAAGTTGCGGCCGACACCAGGCAGGTCGACCAGCGGCTTGATGCCAGCGCGGCGCAGCTTCTCGGGGTCTCCGATACCCGAGCGCTGCAGGATGAGAGGAGAGCTGAGGGTACCGCCGCTGACGATGATCTGCTTGCGGGCGCGGTAGATCTTGCGTGGCGGGTCCTGGCCTCCAAGCGGCTTGCTTGGGACGGTGGCGACACCAACAGCGCGGCCGTTCTCGATGATGACCTTGTCGACCTTGGTGTTGCACTTGAGGTGCAGGTTGTCGTACTTGGCGCGGGTGCTGTGGACGTAGGCGTGGGCGGCGTCGCTTCGGCGGCCTGTCATCACATTATGAGCTCATCTGACTTCCAACAACAACAACAACAACAAAGGAGAGGCAAGTGAGGTCGTACCGGTGTCGCGGTTGATCCACTTGAGCCAGTGCTCAGCACCGTGGCTGCAGGCGATGTTAACCGACGTCCAGTCCACCTTGAGAACGCGAGATTATCCGCCTTACCCAGTCTTCAGGTCCTGGAGATCGTCCGTAATCGGAATGTTCAGGGACTCGGCAGCCCGGAGGAAGTCCTGCATGATGGGGTAGGTGTAGTTGCCGAACGAAACCTTGATCGGTCCATCGAAGCCGTGGATCTCGGGGTTGTTGCATGCCCGCTGATACGTCTCGTGTTTCTTCATGAGCGGCAGAAGCTCGCGAGTGGACCAGCCCTTGGTCTGCCAGTCATCGTAGTCCGAGGCCGACGCTCGTGTGTACATCTGTCAAGGAAAGACACGATGAGCAGCTGATCCAGCGAGACAAGGTGACAAGATCGGGGACCTACCATGAAGTTGATGGAGCTGCCTCCACCCAGGACGTTGGCACACGGGACAATAGCCCGGCGGCCGTCCAGGAATTCCGACGGTCTGGAGTAGTAGAACGAGGCGGTCTTGGAGTCCAGCCTCATGTTACGAGGGTAGATACCCGGGCGGTAGACCCTCCAGCGGACGTCAGCGGACGCGCACTCCTTGGCCTGGCCGCAAGGGGTGAACGTACCATGGGTTGTTCAGGTTGTCCTCTCCTGCCTCGATCAGGAGAACCTGGAGGTTGTGGTCCAGGTTGGCGAGACGGCCAGCCGGCACGCAGCCAGCGCTGCCACCGCCGCAGATGATAATGTCGACTTCGTCGGGGATGGTCATTGTGTCTTAGACAGAAACAATGACAGAGACAAATGTGTTCTTGCGCTGAATACTCCAAGGACTAGTCAATTGATCACATTTGAGAATTGAATGAGAGGAATGCCCTTGACCAGGACAAGGGGGATTTATATACGATGCTCGTCCAGACCCCCGCATTTGCTGGCCTGGCAGCAAGGATATTTCTCAGAGCTCCATACAGGTGGAACAGAGACGATAAGGCGTATCCAACCCCGCAAGATCCAATGCACCCCGCTTAATTCAGAGCCCCTTGCTCAGGTGCATTATCAAATCAGATAAAATGACGCCCAGGTCGTGGAGCCGGAGCTTTTGGATCAACGAGCATCAGCTGTGCATGCCCTGTGGAGTTGGTATGCATGGCAGAGGTGTTTGAGAACATCGCCTCCGCACCTCCATGGTCTTCCCCGCATCTCCAACGAAGCTTAAATCATCAAGAATCAAACGCTTTGCTTCTGCAGTCAAGAAGATGAGAAACGAAAGAGAAGGGCAAGAACATTCAAAAGGGACGTCAATTCCATTCCTAACCCGGTGTGCAACTGGCTGTCATCGACTATGGTCCAAAGAACTCAATTCATTCAGAAAATGGTTAGGGACAGGAGCAGGGCTGGCAACGAGACGAAGTGAGGCAAATCATGGGGAAAGTACATGAACATGGCCAATGACCGCAGCGAGCTCCAACAGGGCGCTATAGCAGAACTACAGGTATGAAAGACCTCCGCTCCGACACAAAGCGACCTAGTCCAGGGTATCTGATAGTGAGAGGCAGCCGTGCGTGCCGGGACAAAGGGCATTATCCGAAACAGCTCTTCGGATGAGATTCCTTGCCGACACGAAGTTGGAGAAGCGTTACAATTGGCATCTGCAGCATGATGTCTGGGGGTCCGCAGGGGTCTCGTACTGGATGCACTGGCAAAAGAAGGCAGCTGGGGGTGGCTAATTGGCGAAAGAACACAGCTGGGGGTGGCTAGGGAGTTGGTGACGTTGATTGCATGCGCAACTCTTGTGGGGTTAGACAAGGCCAAGGACGTCCGGGCGGAAGACGCGGATTGTGGGGGAACCGCCCCCGCAAAAGCAGAAAAGGTCGAGATTCAGGGATCCACCGCCATCCCCAGAGCGACAGCCAGAACATCCAATGAAGGGCCAGTCCCACGGACTCCGCCGTCGCTGAAAAGGGATACGGCTGACTGCGACGCTGGGCGTGGGCGGCCAGTGCATGAGTCGCGTCCCTAAGTCCCCGGGCTGGCCTGTGCGGATCAAGAGAATAACATGGATTGCCATTATATGGACATGGGTTTTTCCCCGCAGACAGAGCTCCGCAGTTGTCATCGATCCTGGTACACCTCAGCTGCAGCAGCAGAAATGACACCCGACTGTGATAGGTCCACACTGCCCCCAGGGTCTGCCCGGCCATATAGGCGCTGAATTGCACCCCGGATCTGCAGCCGTGGAGAAATGGAGCCTTTTTGACCGGGCCAATCGTGAAATCTCCCTTTGTCCGCCTCTACCCCTGCAACGTGACGGCCACAGCGACGTGGAGGTAACATTGTGATCATTCTACCGGGCGGACTGCTGTGCCACCTGACGTCTATGCTCCAGAATCTGCATCCGCAAGCCCTCCGCAGCCACCTCCACATCCAGGGTTGAGCCAACTCCGCGTTTCCAGGTGTCTTCCAACCCCACAAGCTCGCCTTTGCTGGCCTCCTGCGCCATTTTTCGCTCTTTGTGGACATTCTCCACCGCCTGCTTGGTCTCCGCCAATTCTTTCTCTACACTGCGTAACATGTCCTCCAATTGGGAATTGGCAATGAGCCAGGCATTCTTGCCGTTCTCTTCGAGCAGCGTCAGATTGGCGTGTCTCGTCGAGAGATGGGAGCTCGACGTATACGCTCTCTGCAAGGTCTTTCGCCACTCGGCCAGAGCGCGAGTGGCCTCTTCTTCGGTGGTGGACGTGCCCGAGGGGGGCTCAGGAGCTTCGTAGCGCGACAGGTCGATTCCGCCCGTCAGCGGCTGACCGGCCTCCTTCCGCGCGAGCTCCTGCTCGATGAGAGGGGAGAATCGGGACTCCGGCAACGCGGGGATCGCTGGATGGAGGGTCGACTGATAGTCCGCCGACAGCTCTGCGGAGATGAGCTGTTCGGCAGCGGCACGCTCCTGAGGAGTAGGCTCTGCATCGATGTCTGCAAATCCAGAGGGTTAGCGCATCTCTCACGTGAGAGGGGAAAGCAGAAGAGGCAGACAACATACAGGGAAGAGAATCATGTGACTCATTGATCAGAGGCATTTTGGCGAGAGCTGCTTGCTGTCTTATCGAGCGACAGGCGCGAAATACGAGGGGGAAGAGGGCTTTAATAATATCCGGACGCAGAGCTTTTGTCCGTCTGTCGTTGTGGCTTCAGGATGGCTCAAGGCGGTGACGTTCTGCCGCATGGCCTGATTACATCAGCCAGACGAGTCCCTCCGGTCACGTGCCGTTCTGTGTGCTGGCCGGCCTGTCTACTCCGTACCGCTGTTGCGTCACACTGTTGCATCCTTGAGATTATTTGATCCTTCGCCTGCCGGTGGTTGCACCAGGCTGATTCGCAGTCAATCGGCTGCGGAGAACTTGGGCATGCTTTTGTGGTCGAGTGCGATTGCACTGTAAATTCCCTGTACGGAGTACTAAACCATCATGACTGCCCCCGACGACACCGGGATGCCGCAGAGCCTCTCCATGCAGGCGTTTGCAGTCTCTTTCCCGAGCCATCATATCTTATCTTGCGGTCAGCTGCAGCAGGCACTGGTGATTTTACTCCGACGTTAGTGGTTATCGCACGGTGATGTCACACGACCTGGGACCTCATTGGGAGATGGCCTGGCACTTGGACAAATAGAGCCAACGGCCCGCGATTAGTCCCTTGGGCAGCGGGACAAGATATCTCGCCCGGGAAAGGGGTTGGCCGGCAATGCTACCTTCCCCGGATCTTCGCAGCGAGAATAGGTAACCGTGCCTCCAGCATCCAGGCCGAGGTTCCCAAACGGGCAGGACCAGCGGACCAAGTCATGCGCCGTTCTCCTTAAAAGGCTGCCAGTCCCCTCCCCGCCTTTGCGAGCAGATGGGAGGGCTGCGCTGTCTTCGGAAACATCGACCATGGCGCGCTCTGCACTGGCTGCCATCGTAGCCGGCGCCTTCTTGGGCCTGGTGGTGATACTGCAGTTGGTTGCGACAATCGGCGAGCCTCGACAACCACACAACTTCGGATTCCAGACTCTGCGCAAGGAAAGAACGGATGACACCATCTTCCTTCTGGGGGCTGGGAAAGCTGATATCACCGGGTGAGTGCTGGTCTTGGAATTCAGCAGATGTCAGTCCAGAATACTGACGGAGAGCGCATCAGACCTGTGGTGGAAGTGGCCTTAAATGGCTATGCCAACATAAGCCAGGTGGGAACTGGTTTGCGGCAGAGAATCTATTCTCGCGCGTTTATTATTGCCGATCCCAATAACGAGAACAACACCTTCATTTACATCGTCTTGGATGCCCACTCCGGCGATACCGCCGTTAGGCATGGTATCTTGCAGGGTTTGGCAGCTTTGGGACCAGAGTATGCTCGCTACGGCGAGCACAACCTGGCTCTGACGGGAACGCACTCCCATGCTGGCCCGGGTGCCTGGATGAACTACCTCCTACCCCAGATCCCTACGCTGGGATTTGATAAAGAGAGCTATGATGCGATCGTCAATGGCGCTTTGCTGTCAATTCAGCGAGCGCATGAGAGTTTGACGCCGGGACGCCTTAGCCTGGGCACCATCGACATTCCCGATGGCAATATCAACCGAAGCCCGTATGCCTACTTGGCCAATCCGGCAGAAGAGAGAGCCCGTTATCAGTACGACACAGACAAGACTCTCACTCTCCTCAGATTTGACCGCGCCTCAGACAGCAAGACAACGGCCATCTTGACCTTCTTTTCCGTCCACGGCACTTCCCTCTACGAGAACAACACCCTCACGGCCGGCGACAATAAAGGGGTCGCGGAGTGGCTTTTCGAGCGAAGCGTGGCCAACGACACAAGATTTGCAGAGAACTTTGTTGCCGGTTTCTCTCAATCCAGTGTCGGCGACACCTCCCCCAACGTGCTAGGTGCGTACTGTGAAGATACCGGACTTCCATGCCGCTTTGAAGATAGCACCTGCAACGGCAGCACGGAGCTTTGCCGTGGCCGCGGGCCTTACTTTTACGAGAATGATGCCGGTTCAAAGAGCTGTTTCGAGATGGGCCGCCGCCAGTATGCAGCTGCGAAGCAGCTCTACGACCAAATGGACTCCAATGGAACCCAGATCGTGGGCAGCTCCTCCGTCGCATCCTTCCACGTCTACCAGGATCTCACGAACTACACCTTCATATCACCGTTCAATTCCAGCACGCTCCGCACTTGCTATGCTGCGCTGGGGTACTCTTTTGCGGCCGGGACTACGGACGGTCCGGGACAGTTTGATTTTACTCAGAATGGCACCGGTCCGGCAGAATCCAACCCGCTGTGGAAAATAGCACGAGCATTCGTCCATCAGCCGTCCCCAGAGCAGCAAGCTTGCCAGGCGCCCAAGGACATTTTACTGGATGCGGGGGCTATCTCGTTGCCCTATCCGTGGGCCCCGAATATTGTCGACATTCAAGTCCTCCGGGTGGGACAGCTGCTGATCGTCGTTTCAGCCAGTGAAGTCACTACCATGTCTGGGCGTCGATGGAAGGCGGCAATTGCCAATGCCTCGGCCGAGGTCCTTTCGATCAAGGATCCGTTGGTGGTCCTGGGAGCTCCGGCCAACACATACGCGCACTACCTGGCTACGGAAGAAGAGTATAGTGTGCAGCGCTATGAGGGCGCTTCCACTCTGTTCGGGCCCAACACGCTGGCGGCTTACGTCAATCTGTCACTCACCTATCTTCCTTATCTGGGCAGTCCTTCGGATGTGGCGTCGCTGCCTCCGATTCCCTCGGGGCCCACTCCGCCTATTGATACCAATGTGTCTCTCAGTTTCATTCCTGGCGTTGTGTACGATGGGGCCCCGATCGGCAAGTCGTTTGGCGATGTTCTTTCCTCGTCGCCCACCAACGTGACCTATGGCTCTGGCGATCTCGTCAACACGACTTTTGTTGGCGCCAATCCTCGAAACAACCTGCGCCAGGAAGGAACGTTTGCCGCGGTCGAGTGGCAAGACCCCGCGTCTGGGTCGTGGAAAGTCGTTCGCAATGACAGCGACTGGAATCTAGTATACCATTGGGAGCGCACCAACACCGTTCTCGGATATAGTGAAGTGACCCTGGTGTGGCGGATTGAGGATGATTACTATAATACTGGGAATCCCAACCCGTTGCAGAGCGGTTCGTACCGACTGCATTATTATGGTGACTCCAAGGATGTGTCTGGCAAGATTTCATCTTTCGAGGGCATTGGCAATGTCTTCACCGTTCAAGTTTAGGAATCTGTTGATGATTGAAATGTGAGCTGATGAGAATAATGTTGATAAGATGTGCAATGTCATAGTACTTGCTGTCGAGTATGGAATGTGAAACAGGATAATATATATCTGATTGGGAACATCCATGCCCCCAGAAGGAAAAATAAAAAAAAAATAAAAGGACATGATATAAAAAAAGCTCACACCCTCAGGGTGCTACGAAAACCCCCGCCTATGCTTTTGGCGGGCAGGGATTTTACTAGGAACCCCCTCTACGCCCTGTCATCGGATGTTAGCAAGATATTGGTATCACCACACCGCTTCACCTCGACGAGAGGGGGATTCGAACTGAGGGCCTGCAGCGCTAGACTTGACGACTAGGCCGCTAGCCCCAGTTTTGTTGACAGCAAGCCCTGTTTTGTGAAACATATGGCATCTGTTTGTTTGCATGTTTGCTTGCTTGCTGGTTGCTCAGCTCACGTGTTGCTCGGTCAGTGTCTGCAGGGTTTCGACGGCAGTTGCCTGATAACTGACAGGTTTCCAATGATAGCTAGCATCGTGGCAGCTTTCAAACTCGCTGAGAATTCTTTTTTTTTTTGCTACTTCTGAAGTGGCAGGTCTCATAAATGCCCAATCTACTCCTACTGAGGCCATTCTTTGGTGTCTGCAGCAAATACTCAAGCCATTTTTCCTCTTCTTGAACATTGCTGAACAACAGGCCTGGACTCAGAATTACGACCAATGAACTGCAGATTCGCCTCTCGCTTCAAAGGAAAATGTATGTACTGTACAAAAAAAAGGATGAAGCGGCGCTAATTCAGCATTGACAGGAGCTATATAGCAAGCTCTAGATCAGTAGACCTCAAGGCATGGATCTAATTGGTCGAGACGAGCAGTGGAGTGAGATTCCGTGAGATCAAATACCGCCCTGGTTTCTCCATCTCTATAATAATCGCCCAAAGTCTAGATTTACAGAGAGCTGTTCTCGTCCAGCTCGACGATAGCGATTTGCTAATGGAGAGAGCATCGCTGACCAGCTTGGTCGAGCGACTCGAGCGATGATTGGCCGTTTGGTATCCTTCCAGTCCAGCAGGAACTCGGGCCAATGAGCGTCGCCAACGCCCAGCAAGCGGGCGGCAGCTGCGACGGAAGGCAACTGTCTCCGCGCTCTCGCTGCAGCTGCTTGCCAACCATTGCGTGCCTGCACAGCGCGTTCAAGACAGGACCTCCACGCTCGCGCTAAGCATGCCGCAGGATGTTTCTCTTTCGTGTAGCTATTTTGGGTTGATTGCAAGGCGACGGTGGCCTGCTGGTCGGGTCGTTGCCAAAAATGATCGCGCCGTGTTTCTACCAGGCTTCCCATATGTACCTGGCTGGAGGACGGGGGTTCTCTCGAATTCTCTGGCTTCATCTTCCTGTAGTCAGTCGTGTTTTTTGTCCTCTCCTTTGTGCCTATCAGGTCTCATTGTCATTCTTTGTCAGGCTGCTAGCCTAAGCTCCCTCTCGTTCATCTAGAGATCCCCGTTCGTTGTACTCTCTTTGTGACTCATAGCGAACAATCTCATAATTGAATCAATTCATTTTCATTCTTTTTTTTTTGCTGTTTCTTTGTTGTTGCACTTACATCTCCTCTCTTGTTGCTGGCAAGAAGAGCGCTTTCTGAGTATCTTGTTTGTACTGTACAACCAACTAATTCATACCACGACTGATTTTCGATTCGAGAAGAGAAAGAAAATTCTACAAGATGCGAATTCTCGGACTCTACGCAGTGTCATCGATTCTCCTGGCGACTACGAGCTCGGCCGGTCCGATTGCTCATGGTCCTCTCAGCCCTCGAAGTCTTCTTCGTTTCTACTCTAATACGACTGTCACGACGAGCTCTCATGCTTCTTCTCCGTCCTCGTCGTCATTCGCGCAGATAGGTCATCAGCTTGATGATCCCATCACTATAATACCTGTTCCGTCTCCTACGGGTCCTGAGAGTAGTCCGTCGACTACTCCTGAGACTAGTCCTACGACTGTTCCTGCAACCAGTCCTACAACCAGTCCTATAGCCAGTCCTGCAGCCAGTCCTACTACAAGTCCTACAAACAGCCATTCTGCGGCCAGTTCTACTGGATCCGCATCTGCTGACGCTCGAGGGCCGGTCATACCTCTCAACAACACTCCTCCGTCATCATCTGCGACAGCCTCCCCGTCAGCCCAACGGAGCACTCCTGCTTCCAGCACTCCTAGTCCCACAGCCTCAGGCAGTGGGTCGAGTCAAGAATCAAGTAGCAGAGGCGTTGGAAGCGGTTTTGCTCCAGGATCCAGTAGCACAGTCGTTCCACCGGTCTCACCAATTGTCACCCCGATAGGAGGGCCATACCGAAATTCTTCCACTGCTGCTCCAAGCAGTCCTGCGACCAGCGCGGTAGCTTCGCCGTCTGGGCAGCCTTTCTCGAGTGCCGCGGTTGAAGGTCCATCAGCGTCGCCGTCCTGCTCTCCAAAACCCTCTTTTCAGCCAACTCCCGACAGCTCGACATCACCCTCTCAAAGGGTCAGTCCCTCTTCTACAGCGGTCTCTAAGGCAACTATTACGCTTCCTGGGCTTGAGAATGGGTCTACTCCAGGGCAGCAGCCAGCCACAACTTCACCTTCCACACCCACTTCTACGTCTACCCCTCCTATACCCGCAGGGTCTGCAAGCCCTACAAGCGCGAGTCAACCTCCAGCTGCAGCTACGACACAAACGGCGGCCAGTCAATCTGCGAGCCCAACATCCCCTCCACCGTTCGAGCCGACCATTGTCTTCGTCACCATTACACCTCCTTCAACACCGCCTGCAGCACCGTCGCCATCGGTAGCACCCGAGCCAAGTGATTCACCATCTGCTGAGAGCGCCTCATCACCTGCAGTCAGCAATGCCGATACCGTAACTGCGACAGCAACTCCACCAACGGCATCTGACAAGGGCGGCTCAGACGTGCCGACGATCCAGCAGACCTCGACGCCACAGCCTTCGGAGCAGACTCCACAACCTGCGCCTGCGCCTGCACCGAGCGCGTCAGAAGGGAGTAGAGCGAATCCTCCGCCACAGCCTGCGTCAACAAACACTGCTGGCCCACTCACTATCGTTCCAGTGACGCCTGCCGGGGTGATCACCGTGACCAAGACTGTGACGGATACGGTTACAGTGACGGTGACAGCGACAGCGACGGTGACAACAACAGTAACCGTGCAGTAACAAGAAGAGGGACAGACGGAGGAACTCTTCTTTTCTCTCGTTCAACAGCCCTCTCCTTGTTGACTTGACCAGAAAGGAGAAGATATATTCAACAGGTAAAGTAAAAAAAAATAAAGAAATGAATAAATAAATAGATAGATAATATGTTGCGGATTCAATCGTTGGATTGCCGTTTTATTTCATTTAATTTCATTTATTTATTTACATTAGTACATACATACATGAATCATTCTTGTATTATTTGTCTTTCTTGGCTTTGGCTATAAACATAACATACCTAGATAGGTAGATAGGTAGGTATCATAATAATATAAATAACACCGTAGTCAGTCAGTTACTTCAGGTATGTAGAACATACAAACAAATAAGGAAACTACCGAACCATGCGCTGCGAGACCTCTTGGAGTGTCATTCGAAAGAAAAAAAAAGAAAAAAGATTAACCGTAGCAAGAGCCTTCTAGAATGCGACGAAAAAAAAAAACACGGAGGTTTCTAGGCATTAATATAATAGGCGCTACCATGCCATCGCTATCGCTATACATATATAGCAAGATGTCGGAGATCTTATTTTTCCCCGCTCCTCCATGACCCTGATCAATTTGACCCTTGTCAATCAATCAATATATTCAATCAATATATGTATTCTGCGCGGTCTGTAGGTGTAGGTGCAATCTGGCATGCTGATTGGCTGCTAGGAAGGAGCTCTCTAGCAATTCTACCAACCTATTTGCTGGCCCTTCCTGTGAAAAAATAGCTGGTTTTTTTTTCTCTTATAGTTTCCTCTCTTCTTACTTTTTTTTGCTTTTTTTTTACTTTTTCCTATTACTTTTCTATATTGTTATTATTGTCTATTTCTGCCTTTTGTGATTACCTTGTTTTTTTTTCCTATTTTCCATTTCCTTTTTATTAAGGAAATACTAATCTTTTTCTGCTTGTTGTCTGTATGTATGTAGATGCTTACGGCAATAGGTACAGTCTGCTAGGAGAACAGTCTAACTAAGTATAAGCAAAATAATTAGTAGCTACTATATATATTATGCAAGTAAGTAGCAATTATATATATAGGATCCTTTATAATGCTAGACTAGAAGGAGACATACTAGTTTTTGTCCAATCTGATGGCACCACCTTGCCGCCAGTAAGTAAGTAACCCTTTCGATAGGTATCTTCCACAATCACATCACCGCCGGATGATCGTCAACAAACAAAACAGAAGGCCCACGGTTTTTCAATTTTCAGGATCACGTTTACCTTTAGAACCTTTCTTCTTCTTCTTCTTCTTCTTCTTGATGCTAACTAATCTCAGCATACAGCTCCCACATGTCTGTCTGCTGCCTGCAAGGATTAAGGACCCCGAGTCCCCCTTGTAATAGTAATAATGTATTCAGCCATTCAGCTATCCCTGATGCATGCATGCATGCAGTATCTTTTGCCAGAGCCCACCGCGCGGCACGCGGCTAGGGAAGATCGACAACAGCTTTTTTTTTCGATCTTGATAATGCGATCGCCTTGAGCGTTTGGCTTAGGCATACAAAAAGACATTCCAGAACCGTGGGATACTTTTCGTCCAAACGGAAGGAAGGATTTTGTATTCATCGGTCCCGTCCTGTCAAAGTTAGTACATACGTTATACCGCCAGGCTGAAATGGGAGCATATACATACAGATGACAAGTGAAATTGGCCCAAAAGCAAGGCTGAACTCACCAAAAGCTTGGTGGGCAACAGAGAACAATATCATCAAATTTGGAGGGTGATTGATTGATGTCACTGGGTCCCAACTCAATACTGGGGAAAGCACTTTAGGTAGTCAAAGTCGCCCATATCTGTGATATCTTATAGTTGGTCCTGGAACGGGGTAACCATAATTAGTCAAAAAAGTGTTTAGGTTGCTTCCTGTCGTTACACTGGCCAATCGAAAAGTGAAGAATGTGCGCTAGTTCTGTAGGGGCCTGAAGCGATGTCATGAGATGACTGTAGAGGCTGTGCAGGACTTTGTCGTCGTCGACTGCCATTCGCAATAATAACCTCAGCGAGGTATCCGTTTCCAGAAGTCGAGAACACTCGACAAAACTTTGATTTTTGATTGTGTGATCGTCGTTACTTCGCGGTTGGTAATAACGCAACACGAGATAGTAGAGCAGAACTCAGGTTGCTTTTGGCTGCTAAAAAAAAAAAACTCGAAACCATGGCATCTAATCTGGAACCTCATCTTCGGGTTGTGGAGTTGCCATGTTGGGCACAGGACACAGGACAGCGCGAGAGCATCAAGAGAGAGGTAATAGTGAGATTGGATGGACAGGTTGAGGAGGCAGGCAGGTGTAGGCAAGAATAGATATTTGAGTCACCCACACCAATATTAATCGAGCTTCACATCAGCAAAGGACAAAGTATTCACTTGTAGTATGTTGTCGATGGTAGGAGAGTTAATCTGTAGAACGGCTTAACCCGATTAGAAAATACCTATCTTCATTCCACTTTGGGCAAAGTTCTAGACCTCCTCGACGTACATACAGCACTTACCTACCAGGTTAGATAACCTTTACTTCGGAGTTAGCCTGTTGCGACGTAAGGAGTATGTTCAATCTCAGATCTGGTGCACCACTACAGTAGGTACATGCACCTAAGTAATCGATCAATCAATTATATCCATAATAAAGAAAAAGAATAACAAATCTATATATACTGATCTACCTATCTATCTATCTAGTCTAGGTCTAGATCTCCTATCTATCCACCCACCCGCTTCTAGAACGAAATAAAATCAAAAACAAAATAAAAAAAATAAGCCTCCCAACTTCCGTAAACCACATACACATGAACATGTATGTACATACTGTACATGCTTATACATACTACAAAGAAAAGAGAAGCCCCCCACTCTCCACGAACCTTCTCTGAAACTCCTTGAAACTCGCCCACTGTCGTAGCTCCTCCTCCTCTTCAGTGACTGAGCCGCCGTAACTCATACCTCGCGGAATTTCGGGACTGGGGCCTCCTGTCGTCGTCGTTGCTCCTGTTGGTGTTGTTGCTGCTGCTGCTGTGGCTGCTGTCGTCATCCCCGCACCAGGTCCAACTCCCTCGAGACGGACTAGAATGTCGAGAAACGTGCGGAGGTAGTTCTCTGCCTCAGCGGTGCTGATCGGCTGCGGACCTGTCGTCGCTGCAGCTTCGCTTGTCGCGGAATCAGCAGGGCCGCCGGCTCCGGGGCGGCGGTTCAGTAGTGTGGACGCGATTTGACGGACTTTGTTGGTCTGTTGGAATTCGTTAAACGGTTAGATATATAGACCAGGTTTGGCGTTGTGTATATATAGAGAATGAGAGGGGGGCGGGGAATGAATATTTACGTACGAAACTGGCGCCGTTGGGCTCGATGTTGATCTCGCACACGTTCCGAAGCAGACGTAGCAGATCCTGGATCACCAGGCCGCGCTCCTCTCGCATCATCTGCCCGATGTAGTCGATCTGCGCGTGGAGATCTGCATCGGGGGTCTCTGGCTCTCCCGTCTCAGGTTTCACCGTGCCTGCTGCTGTCGCCAACGTCGTCTCTGGTGATGGCATCTGCGACGTCGTCTTGTGCAGCCTTTTGTGTCCTTCGTAGAGACTCCAGTACTTGTCAACCAGGTAGGACCGTGTGGATAGCTGGCTGATGTAGATGTTGGCCTTTTGGATCTCGTATTGGATCCTGCGCCGTTCTCTGGCCAGCTCCTCTGCTCCCGTGTTAGGATCCCAGGCCACGCCCATCGACGGCGACGGCGTCGTCTGACCCTCCTGAAGAACCAGCTCCGGCGGCAGATCCGACAGCGAGTTCTTCGCCTTCTGCAGGCATTCCCAGATCAGCTTCCGCTGTCGTTCCCAGTCGAAGACTTCCCCGCCTCCAAATGCGATCTCCCACGCCGACAAAGAGTTGTACGAATGGAAGACACGGACATTGGCATTAAACCCCGTGAGCTGGGAAACAATCCCCGGAGGCTGAGCCTCCATATGCGTCGGGAAGATGTATTCGTCGTCCACTTCGAGCGGCAAGGGAGGGTAGCTTTCCGTAGGAGTCTCGGGGGGAACGTAGTGTCTCCCATCCGACGATCCTAGCTGCTGCAAAGTCTGGAAGCCCACGAGGCAGATATAAAAGAGTCGTCGCCCCAGTTCCTGGCTGATAAGGTCGGTTGCCGAGTCAGATGGGCTCGCAAAAGACTCGCTGGAGCCGGAAATGGATGACGCTGACCCCGGGCTCATTATCGCACTGGCTTGAGTGCCCTTGTGCAAGCCGTGGACTCGAATGATGGTCATACTCTCCCCGAGGTATATTCGACAACGCCGGATGTTGTAGACGTAGCCAGAACAGAGGCCCAGGAAATAGCTGATGGCAGCATCATCAACGGTGTTGCTCCAGTCGAGATACCCGGGCCCTCGAGCCTGAATGGCGACATCATGGCATTTCCTGACCAGAGCCATGGAATGCGGATACTGCCGCTTTTCTGCCTCTGTCCGCAAATGTAGCTTGGGACGTCGAGGAAAAGAAGCTACCAAAGTCCCGATCATGGCCGCCAGCAGGGCCAGGAATCGCTTGTTGGTGACATCTTCTCTTCGCGCGAAAGCTGCTCGGAAGGTGGGTTCATGAGGAATAGGGATCAGTGGGTGGATAAACGTGAAGAAGTCGTCCACAAGGCGTTGCAACGTCGGTAAGGGACAGATGGATTCTCCAGATAGGGCCACAGGGGCGGGTTGGAGGTTCGCATTGGATGCTGCTGTCGCTGTCGCAGTGCTGACACCGACATGAGGCGAGGGTCCTGAGGCTGCAGATGCAGACAAATCACTTTCAATCTTTTGTTTCTTGAGCGCCTCGGCGTGTCGATTGGGAGGTCCTCGACGCTTGCTGGGCCGGTTGTACGTGCACGGGATATCCAGACTGGCACATGACCGACACGGTGGCCCGCTCTCGTCACACTGCGCATCGTAAGAAGATTGTCTTTCTCTCTCTCTCTGTCACAGAATCACGACGGAATGCTCTGACCTTGACCTTTCGGATGCTACATGCATCGCACGCTTTGCGCAACCTGGTCTTGCTATCCATTCGCGCGCGAGACTCGCAAAGATCATCTTCGAATTGCCAATGTGCGATTATTGAATGTGAAGTTCATATTTCCCCCTTCTTCGTCGCAAACTGTTCTTCACTAGTACCTTGAACGCTGATACCGTTGTTATAATCAGGCGAACTCGCGACGATTGATTAAGCCCCGCACGCTATACAGACTAAAACCCCCACAAAATCCAATTAATCAACACAAGTTACAGACAGAGGTTCAAAAATCGTGGGAAGACGGACGCAGCTGTGGACCGGGATTCGACGTAAAACCGTCTAATGATTAAATAAACATATAAACAAAGCACACTCAGGATGTCAATATGTCAATGGGTCTAATAAGGATTCGAGGTATCGACAGCAAAAGAGAACAGACCAAAGAGACTCATGTTTGACAATACGAAAACGGCCTGTTTTCACGTAGGAAATGCCATCCAGCCCGCGCTACAGGACAATTGGGGGACTTTGCCATTTCCTCGTCCGCTGGGAAGCTCTGAGGTTTCGGTGACGGTGGTTGCAGTCACGTGGGTCGAAGGAAGTGGCAGGCAGGCTTTCCATGACCGATGTTTAGCCACAGGGGCGATGTTTAAGCAAGTCCTCCAAGGCCGTATTCCCGGCCTTATCAGATGCCTGCAACTTTATATAGAGTTTGTACCCTACATGGATGCAGGTGTCTCCGGAACGCGACAGTGTTGCCGCAGCGGTTACCTTGCCGCTTTCAGTAGATAAGAGATAGCTGCCCTGATAGTTGAGCTGCCCTCCAGACCTACTGAAAGAGATGCGTCTCCCCTGTCCAGGAGTTGCTTCACAGGTCTATAAATCTAAGAGGAAATCCCGAACGCCTAAACAGGAGGAACAGAATCGATAGAAGCTTCGAATAATCGCAGATATGGCAGATCATGAAGGGTCGTCGCGATATTCAGCTTCTACTCTGTGGGCCCTTTGTTCCTCGATCTGTCTCCTTTTCCGTTCAAGTTCGGATGCCCAAATGGCGGAGCCAGCGGCTGTCGTTAGAAGGAAAAACATCGACAGCATTGGGACCAACTGAAGGACGAGAGCGACTGTTCCGAACCTGCACATAGTTGATGGGTTAATCACGAATCCACAAGTTGCTACCTTCCAAGCTGGGAGAAACTCACGCGGTATATTTCAACTGGCGTCTACGGATAAACTGCTTCCTCTCCTTTTTGGTGAAGTCGAGCAGCTGGAAATACCTCCAATGATGAAATGGACCGGCTCTGTATCCGGTCAAGACGAGGAACATGGGCACTCCGGCCACCGGGACCAGATTCAGCGGGAGCAAGACAATAAACTCGATAATTTGCCGAAGGGAGAAGGGCGCGTAGACAGCACTCGTTGTAGGTTTGCCGAGTTTCTGGACAGGATCTGCGCCATCGGGATGGAGGACCCTCTCTCTTCGGATGAGCTCTTCGTGGCCTTCATTCAGGAGGACAGCGTCGAAGACATCGACCAAGGTCTCGTCCACGAAGAATGCTTCGAAGAGCGCGCCAACCAGAGCCGCCCCTTCGCCTAAAACCAGGAACAAGCCGTTGACCCAAGCACCCGAGCCCTGAAAGATGGCCAGGAATGCGACTTGCGGCAGGTACGTAAAGAGGAACAGGATGGTGTAAATGAAACCGGAGAGCAGAACTATCGGCACCAGGCGACTGCGAAAGAGAGGCCAGAGGAAGGGATGGGTCAGGAAGTAGAAAATTCCCTGGGAATAGCATTATTATTATGGTGTCAGGAGACGCGGGACTGCAAGTCCATCCGGGTTTGCGACTTACTCGTATCGGATGCAACCAAGTTGCATTGCTAAGGTCCAGCGGATCCGACATGCTGCGCATTGATAGCAGAGACTACATGGACAATATCTCTCAAATTGCCAACGCAGGAGAGAGGACAGAAGTCTGGCTGTGCTTCGGAAGTGCCATGCGCGCCGCGATTTTCGCCAGGTGTAAGTTACGAGGCTCGTACTGTACGGTAAGCTCGTATCACGTGCATGGGGCATCTGCCCATCTTCGTCAAAAGAACAAATTAGCTTTTTACAGCTGGACAAGTCGCTAATCAAGGAGCTTTTTGCAATTTGAATAGAATCCATAGCACGTAGGCCTGCATGGAGGAAATACAATAATTAATTAATAAATGTGTTGATGGATCATGTGCTCTGTAATTCTCGTTTTATCGATAAGCACCTCCTGCCAACGCATAAAAGCCCACAAATTTTTCCCTCGCCGGAAACTTTCTTCCCTTCTTTTCTCCCAATCATTCAAAAAACGCCCCCTTCTTATTCACTCTGAATTCCAACATCGCTCCCATGGAATCTTTCTAGAGGGGAAACGGGAGGGGAGAATAAATGCTGCTGGCTTACCCCGAAACTTCCTTTACTACGTGTGGAGGCTTTTTCGGAAATGTTTACAGCGCTACATTCCGTTTAATTTAATTCCATGGCATGGCTGACGGCTTGCGGCAGCGTCTATGCTTGATGAGAATCGCGTTTATAAAATTTGAGGCAAAGTATGGATAGTGGTGATATTTATCTGTCACCGACCGCGCTGTTCGATGATCGCGCGTACGATCTCGTCAAGACCAGCGCCGATCACCGTCGGCTGCAGCTCTGGCATCACGGCATCCTGCCATCCGTGACCTGCTCTATCCACCCAAGCGGCTTTCATTCCAACACTTCGCGCACCTACTATGTCAAAGGGATTGCCGCTTACGAGCCACATGTCTCCCATCTGCGATTGTTGTTTCCCCATTTTCTCCGCAAGATGAAAGTAGACCTCCGGCGCCGGCTTATACTTCTTGACGCTGTCCACCGTCACCATGTCGTGGAACACCCCAGCATGGGGTGACAAGTCCTTGGAGTGAAATACCGAGTTGGAGACCATTGACTGAGTCCCATTGGAGAACACGACAGCAGTGATGTCGGGGTTGGCGGCAAGGCTGGTCAGAGCCGGTATCACGTCCGGAAACGTAGACAGAGAATCATACGCCTTCATAAGCACGTCGATGTCTTCGTTTCGTAGTTCGGCATTACTCTCAGCCAATGCATGTGACAGTGAGTTTCTGGTGACGTTGAAGAAGGTGTCAAATTGCCCTGGAGGACGTAAGGATAGTTAGTCAAATCCACTGCAGCTGTAATCGTCGAACAGACCACTCCGACACACCCATGCTGTTCAATCTCCACGTGTATTCCAGCTGATACTTTCTCCATGCCGTCGCGATTTGAGAGGCTTTTTGTTCCGAGCCAACCAATCCCTCGAGCTGTTTTGCGATAGACCCTGTCGAGAGCAGCGTTCCGTATAGATCGAACGCGATGATGGTCTTGTTTGCTGCCATTCTGTTTTGCGGGAAAGTCCTGTAGGAAATTCAGCAGTAGAAGCTCCCCGTGTGCGTGTCAAAATTGAATCTCTCGTCTTCTTTTAATTCCTGCCCTGAGTCTGATGTGGATTAGTATGGATTGCCATGTGCGATGATGTCAGTTCCTCAGAGGAATTCCCGAAAGCGGGGGCGGAGATAAAGTTAACCTTAAAGATCAACGTCACGTCTTTTCTATGCTGACATACGTCTGTGTCTTGTTTTCTTTTTTTCCTTTTCCCCGTCCCAGTCCTCCACCATTACACAATTGCTTCCATGAGCTTTCAAGGCGACGGTGGAAACAATTATGAAGTCTTCAGAGAATGTGTCTCAGGATCGATAGTCGAAAGGTCAAATGAGGCCAAGAAGCCTGCAAGAGCAGCGAGAAGAAAGAAAGCGAAGAAACGTGCAGACACAGAAGACTTGACGGACAAAGAGCAAGATCCTGAAGAGCTGGCCGATTTTATAGATGTACTACCATCTTTTCTCCTTTAGAAGGCGATTGATCGTGTTGGTATCGTGAAGCTAATACATACCTCTGTTCTGCTCTGTACTAGTTCATAGCTTCGGAGACATTCTCCGCACTGCCAGAAGAAGTACAAACCCTCTCGTATTCGGCCATTCAGCGTGATGACTCGTTGGCCCGTAAATACAAGGATCCAATGATCCCACGCTCACTTCTGGAGTCCCTAACGGCAGCCGTTCCTGTGACTGTGTCTGAATCTCTGGCCGTATATGGCATCATTCCCGAGTCCACAGACCTGCCTGATTTTCTTCGCCCCATTCTGTCGGACTACATCTCGTCCGTGACGGCAGGACCCCCCGTCTGGGCTACCACGCGCACGATGGCCTGTGAGATCTGCGATCGAGACTGGATCCCGCTGTCGTACCACCATCTCATCCCCAAGGAGGTTCATGACAAGGTGCTGAAGCGGGGGTGGCACGAGGAATGGAGGCTTAACAGCGTCGCGTGGCTCTGTCGGGCCTGCCACAGCTTCGTGCATCGCATGGCGAGCAATGAGGAATTGGCTCGCGAATGGTACACTGTTGACCGGATCCTGCAGAGAGAAGATGTGCAGGATTGGGCGAAATGGGTGGGAAGAGTCAGATGGAAGGCACGGTAGAAGACCTGGTTCAATATGCAGCGAGTTTAGTCTCAAATAGGCTTATTTCCTGGTATCAAAAAACTTCTCAAATATGGTAATTCTTGAGCAAATGCCATGATGATTACAGCTTCTAACACGCTGGTATGGATGTACGAGTATTCAAGCTAACATCTTTCCCAAACTGGTCAATTCTTTCTAGTTGAGATGAGACGATAAGTTAGGTACTTTGACAGACACGTCTGCCCTGTTGCTCCTTCCATCTTGTAATCGCTCTTAAGACGTAGTCTTCCAATAGCCTCTGGTCATAGCTTTGTCACTGTAAGCAGTAGATACGGTAAATTTCTCTTCGAGGGCTTCATTTACTGCCGAATCCTAGTCGAATGGATCACATTGAGCACAAATTACAAGTTACTAATCGGGATTCTCCGCTTCTCTCTATCGAGAATTCGCTCTGAAGGCCTCTCGAGGGTTATGTAGCCCCAAACAAGACCAGTTGATAGGTGGATTCTTTTTGAGTCATTGCCCTGCAGCCAGTGAATCCCCCATCGGGATTCACCGTTCTTTGTTGCTCTTGACGATCGCCTGGCGTACTCCCTTTGCTTCATTCATTAGCAGTCGGCTACTGATAGTAAACATCGTGTCGTGTACGAGCCTCTGACAACGTAAATACCCCCTCTAGGTCTCTATTTCTCTCTTTCATCTCTTTCCCCCTTTCCCAACAACTAGATTGTTCGCGCTCTTGTTCGTCAGCCCCTGCACTCTCTATCAAGCTTCAAACTCTCTTTGCTATCCATCTTTATCAAGCTTTCTTCTTCGATCTGAAACACTCTTTCATAAAGCCATCTCGCTGGTCAGCAATCCTTTTCAGCGATCGTCTTCATCTCTTTCTCGAGATACGTTGTTGAACAGCCATCTTCTCCATAAGTGGCTGTTCACAAAGTTACCTTCTTCATCTTTATCTCGTTACCTTGGTCAAACACCTTTCCTTCATCGGCGATCATTTCCAATCTGCTTTCTGGCACAGCCGGCTTTGAAAACCATCTTCTTTGAACCAACCTTCTTGATCGTGTCTCTCGTGATCCTACCAGATCATTTTTCATCCCTCGGAACAAAACACACCACACATTTCCGCAAGAACACCAACAAAATGCTTCGAGTTCAGGAGCTCCATAGGCCAGAATATCAAGTAAGTTCATCGTCATGTCATATTCATCAAGACGAAGAGATCAGACGCTAATATCCCACACAGAACAACTACCTTGTTCAGGTGTACGTGTCCCATGTCAACAGTGTTATCCGCGACAACGCGGCCACCGGGGACCACAGGCTCTCCATCAGAGCCAGCATCGAAAGCCGCATCATCAAGCTCATCCACGAGGCCGACTTCCCCCTGGAGTACAAGATAGCGTGCACCAGTATGGTACGTTCTTCCTCATCTTCCTCTTCCTCTTCCTCTTCCGCTTTCCACCTTCCTCTTCTTTTTCTAACGTTCAATAGATCCTTCATACAGACGCCTTCGACGTCTACTGGATCGGTCTGAAGGATCTGTACCAGCTCCCAAGCCCCTGCATCGCGCGACTCCAGCCAAACTGGGAGCTGGTCAACTCGGTGCACGCGCCGCCGACCCAATCCCCCGTAACGTCGGAATCCTCAGAGGACGAGGCCGAGGCGGTTGGCGCTGACGAGTACGACAAATTCGACAGCGACGAAGACATGGAGCAGTCGCCAACTGCCGAGGCTCCGAGGGCTCCATCACCAGGCACGTCCTCGGACTGGAGCTCCTCGGAGGACTCTGGCAGCCACATCATCTCGGCTGACCAGGTCCCTCGCGCCTTCTGGGAGATTCCCGGCGCAAAGCTGCCCCCTCTCTACGACCCGGGCAGCACAGCTTCCTCCTCTCCCGAGCCTGAGAGGAGAGAAGATTTTACGGGGGTGACAAAATGCAGCATCGACAATCCGGAAGACCCCTCCCTCTTCTTGTGGCCGACGTTCGCAGACGACCCTGTCGACGACGACAACAACAACAATACGCCGCAGCAACAACAGCAACCAGGGTCGTCTGCGGACGCCGGCCGAGGCGGCAAGCGCCCCCGCCGCGCTGCCGGCAAGAAACCCGCCGCCTCTCGCAAGGCCCAAGCACCTCCGAAACCCAAGAAAAAGAAAACGTCACGCGGAGGTGCAGCGGCTGGGGGTCGGAGACGGGTGGGAGGAAAAACCCCGTCTGCGCTGAGAAACCTGCTAGACGGGGGGGACAACGACGGCGACGATGACGACGAAAACAATAACAATAACAACGACAACGACAATGTCGTCGTCACCCCTCGTTCCCCTCCCCACTCCCCTCCCGGAGGAGGCCAGCCAACCCCCAATTCTCCTCCGGAGCCGCGGGAAACCAAGCGAAAGGCGGCGAGGGGAGGAGGTCGCGGTCGAGGGTCGTCGAAGCGTGCTAGGGGCGGCGGCTAGACTCCAGGGGGGAGTCGAGGAGGAAGGAGGCACGGCTGGAGGATGGTGGTGGTATGTCTCAACCATTAAACGAACGAAGTACATGTATCCTCTGCTAACATGACATCTTTTCCACAGTTGACCGTATCGGATTGCGTTTCGCGCACGTCTCGTTTTCACGCCATCCTCCAGGCGGGGCCGTGCCTCCTTCCTCTTTTTTTAAAAAAAGAAATCGTTTGTTTTGTTTTTGCCTTTCTTGTATGCGCTTTTTTTCCCCCTGTAAGTAGGTATTTTTTTTGTTGGAGAGTTGGACCTCCGGAACCGCCTTTAGGGCTCTGGACAGCAATGCGTATCTTGTCCTTTCTTTCGCCCGATTATTTGTTTTTTATTCCTGTACATTAGTATTTTTATTATCGTCTGTTGCCGTTGCTGTCTTGCTCTTCTGTCTTGTTTTCTGATACCTGTACAGTACATTAGTTTTTTTAACTCTCAGATCCTCACAGGCGATACACGGGTCAAGAGCAGAAGAATCCATCCATGGCTTTCTCTTCTCCGCTGCATGAATTCATCACCGAAAACGTATTCCAAAACGAACCGTAAGATCTGGACTTCACAAAAAAATACATTATATTTCCTCTCTCATCGTAACCATGACGCTGAAGGAGTTTCGACCCAAAAAAATGATGAAATAATACTGTACATGGAAGAGAAATCCCAAGCACTCACTCATAAGAGAGGAGAAGAAAACCAAAAAAAGGCTGACACTGTAAGAAGCACAGATAACTCCAGATATGCATGCATGCAACCAGGTGACTCTATCGTATATCCCTGCCTTATAATGCCAGTCGAAGAAAATCTGCTACTACACATACATGAGCAGAAAAAAAATAGACCACCGAAAGAGATATCATTATACAGGATAGATCGGGGGGAAGGGAGAAAAGAGTGGTTGGGCGAGAGGGAGATACGCTCAGAGATATCTCTTTTCGTAGATCTCCTCGTAGCACTGGACGTGGTCGCCAACAGCAAAGTCGGTCCAGCCTTCGAAACCCATACCACATTCGGTGTCCTTGCGCATCTCTGTAACGTCTTTCTTGACGTTTTTGAGGGATGCAATAGCACCTGTGATTATGAGTCAGCATGTATGAGACAAGACGAAAACCTAAAGGAAAAGGGAGTCTCAGGAATGAAGAATGGCAACGTACCATCGTAGATGATTTCTTTCCCTCTCAGAACGCGAACCTTCTTAGCTCGACTGATGACACCGTTGCGGACCTTGCAGCCAGCAATGGGAGTCGTCTCCCGCCCTTTGACGGTAATATGGAAGATCTGTCCGATTTCGGCCTCGCCAGTGACGCGCTGAGAGACAGATGGAGGCAGGTGCTCGCTCATTTTAGCCTTCACGTCGTCGATCAATTCATAGATGATGGTGTGCTTCAGGATCTTCACGCCATGGCTTTCAGCCATCCGTGAGATGGTCGGATCGACAGGCGTGTTGAAACAAATGATGTTTGCGTTTGCCATGGCAGCGTGCTTGACATCGAACTCGGTGATGGGACCAACGCCGGAACGGAGTATGTGGGCAAAGATCTCATTGTTACCAATGCCGGAAACTGCGTTCATCAGCGCCTCAGCTGAGCCAGAGACATCCGCTTTTATCAGGAAGTTGATAGCTTTCGGGCCAGTTGGAGCTTCCGTGGACTCCGATTCACCTTCTTCCTCCTCCGCCTCTCGACGCCGTTTCTCGAGGGTCTCCTTGCGAGCCTCGTTGATGACGGCCGTGTCTTGGCTCAGCTTTTGAGTCTCAGCTTTCTCGAGTCGGTATTCAACAACATCCTTCGCTTTCTGCTCGCTGGGTGCCTGAAGAACTTCAGCACCTGCCTCGGGCTGCTCCTTCCAGCCATCGATCTCGACTGGCATTCCGGGCGTAGCCTTGTCGACTGCAACACCAGCCTCGTTTTTCAGGGTACGGATACGAGCCCAGGTCGTACCTGCGACAATGATATCTCCCGGACGCAGTGTTCCTCGTCTCACCAGGACGGTCGCAACGCGGCCGACTTTCTTCGTGGTAGCTTCGACAACCCAACCTTCTGCGTTTCCATCGACAGGAGCTCGATGGTCGAGCAACTCAGACAATGTCACAATCGCCTCCTCAAGATCCAACATCCCCTGGCCTGTCTTGCCACTGACACAGATTGCCTGGACATCACCTCCATAGTCTTCAACGTTAACGTTGTGACGGGCAAGATCTTGCTTAACCCTCTCAGGGTTGACATTTTCTTTGTCGATCTTGTTGATGGCCACAATGATAGGAACATCTGCCTCTCTGGCATGCTTGATTGCCTCTACTGTCTGCGGCTTGACACTGTCATCCACAGCGACAACCAGGACCACAATATCAGTCATGTTGGCACCGCGACGGCGCATCTCCAAGAATGCAGCATGGCCAGGTGTATCCAGGAACGTGATAGTCTTGCCGGATGGCATCGCCACGGAGAAAGCGCCGATGTGCTGGGTGATACCGCCGTGCTCAGAAGCCGCGATGGAGGATTTACGGAGCCAGTCAAGAATGGTGGTTTTACCGTGGTCAACGTGACCCATAATCGTTACCACCGGCGGTCGCGAGGGTAGAGCAGACTTGTCTTCCGGTTCAGGCGCAGCCTTCAAATCCTCTTCCTCCGTCTCGAAGATTGGCTCAAAATTGTACTCGGACGCGATCAGCCCTGCGGTCTCTGCATCCAGCACATGGGTGTACGTCACGCCTTCGAAACCCATCTCCTCCATGCGCGCAACAAAATCTGTGGGTCGGACACCAAGGATGTCGGCCAGATTGATCACACTGATGAATTCCGGAAGATAGAGAGGCGTCGGGGGTGCATCGACCTCCTTCTGTTGCGACTTCAATTTCTTTTTGCGCTTGCGCTCTTCTCTGCGACGACGGCGCTCATCCTCGTCATATTCCTCGTCTTCAAAGTCAGATTCTTGCTGTCTGGTGTTCTTCGGACGCTTGGACTTCTGCGAGCGGACCTCCTCCTCTTCGGATGGATCCATCCATCTTCCGCTTCTCGAGGAAGGCTCTTCAGACGACGCCTTTGCTTCAGCTTCCCGTTGCTGAGCATACGCGCGCATTGCCCTCTCCCGGGGCGAGAGACGATCGCTCTGGCTACTTGGGTCGTTAAGCTTTCCATCCTTCCAGTCCTCTATCACTGACTGGCCCAACTTTCGGATCTTGACAGTCTGTTTTGAAAGGTCCACCCGCTTGAAATTAGGCAAAAGATCCGGGCGGGTGGTGTAACATGCCGGGCACTTGTCATTTATCCCGAAAACTCTGTAGTGGCACTCCGGACAGTCCCAATCTTCGAGACGGAGATGCCGAGGGATTTTGACCTTCCCTTGCTGTAACCGCTTCCAAGGTTTGAGCCCTGGTTGATCCGACCGATAAGGGTTCGCGCGGTTTATCACGAACGTCAGGGGATCATCCTTGCTTTCCGACGGCCCATTTGTATTCGTATCCTCTTTGGATTTCGTATCTTTTTTGGATTTTGTATCTTCTTTGGATTTTGTATCTTCTTTGGATTGCGGCTCCTGCTTAGGTTTCAGCATCCCTGACGACAAAATAGCCTGTCTGCTTGCTTCCTCACTCGCACTGAGAGTGGAAGTCTTCTTTGGCTGTTGAGCGCCCCATCCTCCGCCGAATTTCCGAGGGAAGGATGACCGGGAGGCCGTGCTGTCTTCCGCCTCGTTTTCGGGAGCGGTCGCCTGGCCCGATTGATCTGCACGCGAGGACAAGTGGAACTCACGGCGTCTTGTCGGTGGAAGGAGCGCTCGTCCGCTCCTGACGGCGCAGGCTGGGTGGACGGCCTGACATCGTCTCAGCTATGGAGCAGTCAGCTGCAACATTCATCATTATTCATCATCACGATCAAGATCGATTGGAGATCCGGCAGAAGGGGCAAGATGCGTACCCTCGCAAGCGCTCTCCTCTGCATCGTGAACTGGTCTCCCAGCAAGGCAAGACCAGCGAGTGTCTGGGGATTGCTGAAGCCAAACTTCTGCGGCTCGATCTTGTTTTTTTCGACTTTCCGCGGGCTTGGCGCTTCGGCCGGCCTGTCAGCGGGGCCGCGTCACGTGGGTCGGCGACGTTGGCGAATCACGTCGGCTGCTGACATCGCGGAGTCTGGACGCTGCGATACCTGGGCCTTGCGCAATCGGCCTGGTGGATAAGAGTGAAAAGATAGGCGGACCCCCAGCCAGGCGAGCACTCACTATCTCTCTTCCCTGTGCTTTCTAGGAGCAGAGACACAAGCAATCCTGCGCCCGACTGGCCTGGTGAGCAGCGTTTGAGCAGCGGTCCTGGCACGTGCACGATGGAGGACTGGGAAAAGACGGAGAAGGACCTGCAGAATGAAGGGTGGGTGCGGACGGCCAAGGACCTCTTCGCAGGGGCCGCGGGGGGCATCACTCAGGTTCTGATGGGTATGTTTGATGTCTCTTTTCAAGGGCATTCTGCGCTCTTTGGAAATTTGCGCCTCTGATTGGCGCGGTCACGTTTAACTCTCAATTGCAATTGGTGATAACGTGACTGGCCGTCCCTGGCTACTGTCGAAGCGTCCCTATATGCCTGCAAATCTCCTGCTTTTATTTCCGCGCAAATTGAAAGATTGCGAGGCTAACTCCAGACAGGTCAACCGTTTGGTACGTTCGCGCAGTCAAGGCATTCCAATGGCCATTGACCATCTAACTCTCCACAGATATTGTCAAGGTGCGACTGCAGACGACCAGCCAGTACTCAAGCGCCTTTGATTGCGCCGCCAAAATCCTGAAAAATGAAGGCCCTCTGGCTTTCTACAAGGGCACCTTGACCCCATTGGTTGGAATTGGAGCTTGTGTAGGTGTCTAGTCTTTCTGCCTCCAAGGTCGGAATGAGAATCGTGGACGCGCTGCCAGGATTCCTCTCTCCCTGTCTATTTGTGTTGTGTATCTATTTGAATCTCGAGTGCTAAGAACTGTCGCAGGTCAGCGTTCAATTCGGTGCCTTCCATGAGGCACGGAGACGTTTCGAGGAAATCAACGCGAAGAAGTCTCCTGCCAATACTGGTCTGACCTACACGCAATATTACCTCGCTGGAGCCTTCGCCGGTATCACCAACTCGGTGCTCTCGGGACCCATCGAGCATGTCCGTATCCGCCTGCAGACGCAGCCACATGGAGCTCAGCGGCTGTACAACGGGCCGCTCGACTGCGTCCGCAAGCTGTCCGCCCACGAGGGCGTCTTGCGCGGCCTCTTCCGGGGACAAGTGGTCACCATCTACCGAGAAGCCCAAGCGTACGGCGTGTGGTTCTTGACCTTCGAGTACCTCATGAACCAAGACGCCAAGCGCAACAACATCAGGCGCGAGGACATTTCCAGCATCAGGGTTGCTACCTACGGCGGTCTCGCCGGCGAGGCGCTCTGGATTGCCAGCTACCCGTTCGATGTCGTCAAGAGCAAGATGCAGAGCGACGGGTTCGGTCCGGAGCAGAAGTTCCGCAGCATGACGGACTGCTTCCGGAAGACGTTCGCTGCGGAGGGATTCGGTGGGTTCTGGAAGGGTCTCGGACCGACTCTGCTGAGGGCGATGCCCGTGTCTGCTGGCACGTTCGCGACGTACGTTTTTCCCTTTTAGCAAACCTCATTTTTTTTCCCCCGACATGACAACTGGACAATTACTGACGGATGAATTACTATCTGCAGGGTGGAACTCGTCATGAGAGCGATTGGTTAAGCAGAAATGAAACAAAAAGAAACAAAAAGACAAAAAATAAGTTAATATTGGAAATGATTATGCAGACGATTTTCATTAACAAGTCTTTTTTTTCTCGACATCGGAAAGCTTTCTACTTTCGCATGATATACCAATCAATCAACCAATCAATATCTCAATGGACGTGCTTTTTTGCATATCAAGATTCAGTTCAGTTCAGTTCAGTTCAACACATGAGTGACAAAGACAAAGACAAAAAACAGAGGGAAGTGGATCTCTTGTTTTGCGTCACCCTAGGTAATAGCTAGATATTATATCACGTCCTTTTACTCTTTTTTTCTTTCTTTCTTCCTTTAGATTCATTAGAAATAGATGCATATCTATATATACATGACCAGATCTCTTCCTCCCCTTCCTGCTTCCCTGAGATTTTCTTTTTGTTGTATTACACATTCAAAGAAAAATCACTGAAAAAATCCTGCCACGCCGTCGGGAAATAGAAAAGGTTGAGGCCTGGAAAATCCCACTCGAAGACGAACTGCCGTAGTACGAAGGACTGCAGGTCCGTCTGCGCGTCGAACAGTTCCCAGAAGGATCCTGTGGCGGTACCGCCTCCACTATCACCACCACCACCACCTCCTCCTCCTCCTCCTCCTCCTCCTTCATCTTCCTGATGGTTTGTCTCAGCGGTGGTGGTGGCGGGAGATACAATGTCGGCAGTCTTGCCGAATTTCTCGATACTGAGTTTGAGGATTTGCAGGTAGATGTTGCTGTCGCTGTTGCCTGTTTCGTTTCCTCCTCCTCCGTGATGATGGGTGTTATTATCCGTCCTGGACGGTATCTCCTCTAGCAGACGGTTCCCTTCCTCGAGGAGATGGCGGTTTTCCTCGGCGCTTTCGGGCATCAGTCGCGAAAGCTTCAGCAGGAGCAGGAAGCAGAAGGCGAATTTGGCCCATACGAAGTCCATGGCGTAGCGCAGTTTCCTGAGGTAATGTTCCGGCTCGGCGGTGATGAGCTGGAGATGCTTTCTTGCGCTTCTCTTGGCTTTGAGGAGGAAATTCCGTTCCGTGGGAGACATGGCGCTGAGGATTTGTCAGTTCGTTCGCCTAAGGGGTTGTATGTAGATGGGATCTCAAACGTACGCAACATTTTCCACTCCCATGTATCTCAGCACTTTGCAGTATACCATCATCTCCGCCCAGCATTTCTGTATGCTGAGGTTGACCAAGAGTGATGACCTCTCGTCTCCTGCGGTCCTGGAGCTTTCTGCCATCAGTGGAAAGCAGAAAGGAGCAAACGTTAGCTAATCCAAAGGAAAAAAAAGGCACTGCGTAACTTCTGTCTTACTCATTATCCTAACCCAATCACTGTTATCGCAAGAGTTAGCAATTACGTCCGGCTAGAAATCGATCTGCGGAATCACCTACTCAAACCACACGTCAAGGTCAAGTTTTGCCTCGCGGACGAAATCATTGACATCCAGTCGCTCGAGACTCGTGTCTCTGCTCAGCGAGTCATTCGTCTTGGCTGTGATTTCATTACAGGAACATCAACTTGTTGCACATTAAAAAAAAACACAAAGTTATTTCTTGGCTTACCTCTGAGAAAGTTCAACTATAATGAGAGGCAGAGATAAAGATATTAGTGTCGATACTCTCTTCTAGAGAATACGTAGATCATACCTCAACCTGAGACAACAGTCGCAAATCCAACGCCGTCGAGGACGGATGGTTCAGCAGTATTCTACACCGACGCGGATCTCCAGTTTCCCGGATCGCTGGGGGTTTGCCTGCATCCACACAGAAGCTATTAATTAATTACTGTCAGCATCTGTGTGTGAAGAAAGAAAGAGCCTTCATGGGAAGACGGGGTCCCTGACATATGCTCCAGAACCAAAAGACCAAACCAGACTCTGGCCTTGCGCATCAGCAACCGCTCCTCTCTGTCGAATTCATTGTTATTATGAATAATATTAACGCCACTGGACGATTCATCGGTATTATCTCGCAGAGATAGTCGTTGGATTAGTTCTCCATACGCCTCGTGCAGTTTCAGATCGAGTGCCATGCGCGTCGCAAAGGACAAGAATAGAGAGCGCTCGGAGGTATAGCACGCTATAACCAGCATTGCCTGGACCGATTCCAAGCAGCTCATTCTCTGGTTCTGGATTACAATGTTGACGCACTTCTTCAGCTCGACATTTAACAGCTCTGACATGTGGAAATCCGATCCTTCGAGTAAAATAAAAAAAAGGTTAGCATCACGGAATCATACAGCAGCCAAGGCGAGTCTTCTCTTACTGTTTGTGACACGGCAGCCTATTGTACAGATAGCGTTGAACAAAATACTGCTGCGAGAACGGACACTTTCAAAGGTATCGCATTGCGGATCGAATATCGGAATAAATCGATCCTATTATTGCAACCCGTAAGCTGACGTTCAAGCAACTATTTCCTTTTTACCAACTTACACATCCTTCGAAAAAGCTGTATGAATCATTTTTGCAATCAGTCATGTTAAACACTACTCACTCGAGTCACTCCGTTTCTATCATATAAGCTCCACTCACGTTGTAAACGCCAAAACGGCCTGCTCTCTACTGATCAATCCCTTCACGATAAAGTCAGGAACAGGCCCATCCTGAATTTCGAAATTGGAGCGTTTCCTTTTCATGCTCGTTGCAGGATGGGGTTCGAGCAGCGACTGGATGGGGATTTCCCCCGGCGTAGAGCCCAACTGCGAAGACCGCTGGTCATGGCTGGCAGCGTTTTTATCCACCTCGGAAGAAGAAGGAGCTGGATGAAAGTACGTCAAACTGTCCAGTTGGGTGGTGGACTGCGGTGTCGGCGTGAAGACGCTTCCGCTGCCATAGACTTGCTGCGGCAAGTTCGACGGATCTACTACGTCGATTTGAGGTCGCGGCGGTATCTGAGACGTTGACGTTTGCGAATCAGAGCGCTGAAGCAGCTGTCGCACCTCGTTCAACTGGTCAGCCAGACGCCGCACCTCGAATTCGAGGTTCTCAATTCTCCTGTTACATTTATGTAGTCTGTTAGAAGAGGGTGAAACATTCTCAGATCCAATTTGCGAATTCATACTCGATAGTAGGATCTTTGGGCACTTCAAAGAAAACGCAGGTTTTTCCAGTTGCATGACATCTGCAAAGGAGAATCAGTATCATTATATGCATACATGTACATGTAGTTCGAAGTCGGAGCTACCGGGTCCACTTACCTCGAGCATGGCCTCTTTCCATCACATTTGACCTGCACCACCATCGGACTTAGTCGCCATTCTTAAAGTTCTGTTATTTCTTATGGAATTAGCATCGTCTCACCTTCGATTGTCGACAAGAACTGCAAGCTTTCTAGGAGTCTGTCAGCTATTCATTCCCATCGGAACAAGTCCGACTCCAATATACATATCGATCGACATCGCGAACTTACAGGAATCCTCTTCTTTCCAGTAACTACTGTAGAAACGTTCGGAGAAACATCCGGTTCCATTTTCTTTTTTTAAATTGAATGGCGCACTTTGGATTGTGGAAGGAGATGTTTGTTGTTCGGAAGATAGCTTTACGAGGCCTCAAAAGGCGGGGCGGAGATGCCTGTCACCTCATACGGAGAGAAGGCCTCGCTTATATACATAGTCTGGGTGGGGATCGACTGTTGATCAATTAAAGAGCTATATATCAAATAATTACATATTTGTTTCAGAAGGACGATGGCAGTTGAAAATTTATGAATCTCGAGTATGGATGGCTACAGACATTGCAAATAGTTCAATGCATTGTCATAGCTTGATTGTTGAACTTTAAGCGCACGGAACTGCATACAAGGCGACACAGAAGAGTCACAGCACATTCATACTACATAAAATAATACAACAATTCCTCGATCCTTCGCGAAGCGCGCCTCTTAGTATACGTACACAAAGTCCTCGTTTTGCCAGTCGGTCAAATCATCAAGCGAATTGTCGTGGCCTTGGTTCTGTGAGGTCTTCACAGCCTCTGTGTCTTCGACTGCACGAACAGCGTTCATCGAGTGATCAACCATTTTGCCTTGTTTGCCCATGCTTACTCGCTTCTGTTCATGCATGTGGTTGAGGATCTTTAAGTATCCCATTTGAATCCTGTGCAATAATCGTTCGTCAGATATGCCTTGAAGGGTTGGAGAAGGTTCATATCAGGGATAACATACGCATATAGCACTATCAACACAATGAATAGCACAAGGCTAAATAATACCAGTCAGAGATCATGTTCCACGTGTAGTTTCAATAGCGGAAGCAACTCACTTTGATATAAGACCACGACGATACAGGGGCGCTTCCCCTGTTGTATACAACGTCGGCCCAATGACCTGAGCCAGTTAGCTGTTGAGTTTCATAGACCGTTCTGCATTCATGTACTTACATTACCAGCAGATTGTCCCACAATCATGAAAGCCGTAGTAATCTTTTTCTTGGTCTCCCCAGCAGTATTTCCTGCAGACCAGGAATAGATCAATGGAGCTAAAACACGGATCAGTAGAATGAACATGGACCAACATGCTGATGAATCTTACTTATTCCCGGGTATACAGATATCTTAACACACACGTTAGTAAAACGAGCTTCCTCGAATATTTGTAAAGGGCTTACCAGATAATACCCCACAAGCAAGGGGCCTCTGTGTGCGGCATCATGGGCGATAATGAGCAGCATAACACACCCAATGATGGGTGGAACCGACAAAAGCATAAGAACCGGTCCTTTCAGCTTCCAGACCATTGCCAACCATGCACCTCCCATTGTTGCTATCAGCTGAACTGCTCCAAAGGGCATGTTGAAAAGAATTGACGTGAACTGATCATAGCCGAAGCCCTTGATGATCAGGGGACCGAAGGTTGAAACTCCCCCGCTGGGAATACTGAAACTCGGTAAGCAAATTTTCATTAAAGATGTTGTGGTCTCATCACTTACGAAATAGAGAATAACATGGCAAACCACAGCCAAGTTTTCATATCCAGAAAAGCCTCCTTCACATGATCCCATTTCCAAACATAATTCTTGATACCCTGCTGGTTCATTCGCAATCTGAAATGACAGTGAGCACTCAAAAACACACAAAGTCACTCAATTTGCTCACCTTTCAATGGCAATGAGTTTGTCTTCTTCTTTCAGGAATTTGGCTTTCAAGGGGGTGTCCGGCATGAAGAATCTAAACCAAGATTAGGGACCACAAACCACACATCTAGATGGATACAAGAGTTCAAACTTACAGCACGATGGCTGAAAATGCCACAGTAACAAGGCCAAAGAACAAGAAGATGATCTGTTTCGAATGTAAGTCAAGCGTCACACATGACTCGAATAAGGCCAACAGACTTGATAAGGAGCAAAAATGGAGGAAGAAATATGCCCAAGACCCCAAGAGATGAGGCTGCCGAACTATGAATACGATAACGCATCAGTATAGGAAAGCCCTATCGACAGGCTAATAACGCACTCACCATGTTCGTAATACCATTCATTGCGTACCATGCGCCCAGCCTCACAGGTTGCTCTCGTCTCCGGTACCACATCTGAGTTATGGCGATGAAAGCCGGTGCTAAACTCCCACACATGGTCAATGTACAGCATCTGAACGGGTTCCAAGAAGCAGTTCTTACCAATTCCTGCTTCAAAAGCCCCAAGAAACATCCGACAGACAAGCAGTCCTCCGAAATTATGCGCCGCTGTCATCGCAGAGAGGACAGCACCCCACGCAAACACTGAAACTGCAAGGAACTTTCCCAATGGTAATTTCACCAGGGTATATGCCACGATTGGTTGGCACACAAGCTGCGCGAGATAGACGACAGATCCCAGCCATGAATACTGTAAGCCATGCAGGTTTGTCTTTTCAATAAGGCCGAAGACAGAAGCATATGCGAGGGTTGTCTTGTCCAGCGATTGCAGGAAATATATTCCCAGAATGATTGGTAGGATCCTGAGGTCGATTTTCCGCAGCACTCGGGCATTGTTCTCCGGGGTCAGCACTGCGCTGTGGCCGCTGTCCTCGAGCAGCTCGACAGCTTTGTCCTTCCTGGAGAGGTCTTCAAGGTGAGTGGCCCGCGGTTCAGCTTCGATGGCCTCCACTGAATCTTCCTGGTGCATTTTTGGGTTATCATGCTTATGAGACATGATGCTATGAACACAGATTTCGCAGAGATCTGCACAGATTTATCAGACAAGTAATAAGATTCTCGACTGTCACCGCAAACCTTTTGATTGAGATTTGATAAATGGCTAATCTCCGCAGAGTCTCTGTTCCAGGAATAACGTCGTCCTTTGGCACTTCAATGCGGAGGACCTGAAATGATCAGACAGAATAGTGATAAGGAGAAAAAGCAAACTCAGGACTTATAAGGCACCCAAATTGTGCCAACTGGGTAAAAGTCATGACAACAGAGTTTCTAGAACACATTAACAATGACGGTCAATTTATCTCCTGATGCAGCTGACGCCGAGGCTCTGAGGAGGCCTGTGTTGCTATCCAAATCGGCTTTCGGCCTTGAGATCCGGTGGCCGCGTCCATGATAGCCGTCTAAGGATATAGCCGGGGAAGGTGAATTTCCGGGGAACACAAATCGCGGGGGAAGAGCATCTGTCAACCTCCACATCGGGCCACATGATTGGAGTTGTGGAGAAAAAGCGCGGGGTTGAGCTTAAGCCGTGAATGGTAATAGCATCGGAGATGCCATCCGAAATCCGATTCACGTCCCCGCAGCGATCTTTCCCTACCCTCCTGGCATCGGACGAGCAGACCGATGTTGGAATATCTGCCGGGTCCCAGGTTTTGTATATAAATTGTTGTAGAGTCAGTAAATCTCTCGCTCTTTTACCTTCTAATAGCAGTTGCAACTGTGTTTTTCTTTCAATTGTCGATGTCGTTAATGCAACACCAACAACATGCCGCAGAGAGAGTTTGTCCCGAAGCATTACGAACCATACAATTCCAAGACGGATGATAATGAAGGCCCCTCCGTTCATCTTCGATCGAGTAACGGAAACCGGACCTTCGAGTTTACATTCGAGGCGGTGCGGTCGAATCTTTTCCGGATTTCTTTTACCTCCCAAGATCACCCTCTTCCGCCATATCCGAGTGTCCCTAAGCCGACGCAAGACCTCAGCAATGTTCATACTGCGAGTTCAACCACGGGCTCGTCAAAGAAGATAGAGGTTGGCGATGTGACAGCTTCGGTCGATTGGAGCCATACTCCGGTGGTGTCGTTGTCTTGGACCGGTTCTGATAAATATCTGCACCGGGATCTGCCGTTGCGTTCCTATGTAGCAGACTCGACAGGTGTTGCGCACTACAGTGTGCATGATAGAAATTCCCTACATGTCGGACTAGGGGAGAAAGCAGCCCCCATGGACCTAACGAACCGGCATTTCATTCTATCGGCCACGGACTCCTTCGGGTATGATGTGTACCGCACAGATCCCCTGTATAAGCATATCCCGCTCCTGATAAAAGCCAACCCGGAAGGCGTCGTCGCGATCTTCTCGAGTTCACACAGCAGAGGAACCTGGTCCGTGGGCTCGGAAGTTGACGGGCTCTGGGGTCACTTCAAGGTGTACCGTCAGGACTATGGCGGTCTCGAAGAGTATTTCATTGTGGGGAAGACTCTGAAAGATGTAGTCAGATCGTATGCTGAGCTGGCTGGCTTCCCCATCCTTCCTCCTCGATGGGCATATGGTTACATCTCTGGCGGGTATAGGTATACCATGTTGGATGATCCTCCTGCCAGTCAGGGTCTGTTGGACTTTGCGGACAAATTGAAAGAGCACGGCATTCCTTGCTCAGCACACCAGATGAGCTCGGGATACTCGATCTCCCACACAGAGCCCAAGGTCCGTAATGTCTTCACGTGGAATCCCCATCGATTCCCTGAACCCGAGAAATGGACTGCAAAGTTCCATGAAACCGGCATAAGACTGCTCGCCAACATTAAACCTTTTGTTCTCGCCTCCCACCCCGACTATCAAAAACTGGTGGAGGCCGGAAGCCTCTTCAAAGACCCCGAAACCAAGGAACCAGGTGTCATGCGTCTCTGGAGCGCTGGAGGCGCCGAAGGTGGTGATGGCTGCCATATCGATTTCAGCTCGGCGTTTGCCTTCAAGTGGTGGTACGATGGTGTCCAGAAACTTAGGCGTGCCGGCATCGATGGGATGTGGAATGACAACAACGAATACACCCTTCCCAATGATGACTGGGAGCTTGCATTGGACAACAAGGACTGTCTCAAACCAGAGCGGTCCCAAGTGGCCAACTCCGTGGGACTTTGGGGTCGAAGCATGCATACAGAGCTGATGGGGAAAGCGTCTCACGATGCTCTTGTTGACCTGGAGCCGGAAAAGAGACCGTTTGTCTTGACAAGGAGTGCAACAGCTGGGACTCTCCGGTACGCAGCAAGCTCGTGGAGTGGTGACGACGTGACCAGCTGGGAGGGGATGAAGGGAGCCAATTCGCTTTCCTTGACGGCAGGAATGTGCCTTCTGCAGGTGAGATGAGAGCCCGCATGCGACTTTTCTATCATACAGTTCTAACAATACTCTAGTGTTACGGTCACGACATTGGTGGCTTTGAAGGTGAGTATCCATTCATCGTACGGGAGTCCTTTGCTAATTGCTATTTTCACAAATATAACAGGCCCCCAACCGTCCCCTGAACTGCTGCTCCGCTGGGTCCAGCTTGGAATCTATTCCTCTCGATTCGCAATCAATTGTTTCAAGACCTCTCCTCAGGATAATTCACTCGGAGATGTCATCGAACCATGGATGTACCCCGAAATCACTCCTCTGATCCGCGATGCAATCAAACGTCGCTACGAGATCCTCCCCTACATATACTCACTGGGCCTGGAGAGTCATCTGTATGCATCGCCCCCTCAGCGATGGGTGGGCTGGGGCTACGAGTCGGACCCAGAGGTGTGGACCAAAAAGCTGAAGCAGGGAGAGGAACAATTCTGGTTTGGAGACACGCTTCTGGTCAGCGGTGTTTACGAGCCCGGAGTCTCCGTGGCAAAGATCTACCTGCCCCGGAAGGCTGATGCCTCCGGCTTTGACTATGGATACGTCAACCTGAACGCACCGTACAACTACCTCGCATCTGGCCAGTGGGTAGAAATCCCCTCTGAATGGAAGACCAGTATCCCCGTTCTGGCCCGAGTCGGAGGCGCCATTCCTGTGGGCAAGAGTGTCGCGACACGGACTCCCGGCGAAGAGAAAATCGACGTTACCGCTGCTGTCCTGGAGGAAGACGACTACCGCGGCGTCGAGATCTTCCCACCACGAAGCAGTTCTCACGGACATGTCTTCTCGACAACATGGCTGGAGGACGACGGGATCTCACGAGAACCACAAATCTCCCGCTTCACAATTAGCTACAGCTCTACGGAAGAGAAAGTCACGGTGGGATTTACTAGAGGCGAACACAACGCATACACACCGGCGTGGAAAGATCTCGATATCATCCTTCCTCACGGTGACTCGAGACACGTTGTTTCCGATCTTGGAAAGCCTCTCGAGTACGTTGGCGCAGATCCTCGTGGACGCCAGGTGTATAGACTTAAGGCGTCGTCGTACGTCCCCAAAATCCACAGTGCAAAATGAGGGACCATAACCCCTCTAGTTAAGTCTCTCTTGTAGATCTAGGATAGAACTCTAGGAGTTATAGAATGATAAAGGTTAGATGATAAGTGAGATCTGAATGGACTTAGACCTTTTTAATATAGGAATGCCAAAAGACAAGTTAGTTAGAATTGAGATCACTGTCACTTGGTGCTGTATAGTGGAGTTTATTGCGCTAAGTCGGTGCGAGTGCTAGCATAGTAGGTAATTCTCAAAGGGCGGGAACCAGTTAGGCAAGCTTGACTTCTTGAAATATAATACAATGATGATCCTATTCCTAAGACAAGAGTATAAAAAGTTGAACTAATAAAGGGGATAATTTCGGAATGAGTATATAAAAATACAGGCACATCATTCACAAAATGGCATGAAGACAGGGGTTTCTATCCTTGCTCAATCTTGCTCAGCCGCGGGATTGTTACGAATCTCCTCTTCGGTGATGGGTTCATACGACAGAATTCCTCTCGAGGCTTCCTCCAAACGACGTCGTTGTCCTTCCTCTCCTGCTCTGCCCAGTACACCAGCAATGAGTTGCACACAGCGCAAGCTGTCATCGTTGGCGGGGATGGGATACGTCACTCGCGTGGGATCCGCATCAGTATCGATAATGCCGATCGTGGGGACGTTGTTCAGACCACATTCATGTAGTAAGACCTCGTTCTCAATCGGATTGAAGCAAACCACAAGGTCAGGTTTCAAGACCGGTCGGTCGACCAAGTTGGGTTTAAACTCGGGGAGCTCCTCGTCCAGTGCATTGACAACCTTCATCTCACAGTGTCCCAGAATCTGCTGACCGTTTGTGAGACTGCCGGGAATCCATCGCTCGAAAACGTGGTATCCCTTGGCCAGCTCTGCGGCCCGGACGACGCATCGTTTCTGGCCTTTCCGCGTGCCCACGAACAGAATAAGACCACCCCGTCTGGCGACTTCTTCCACCACCTTTGCCGCTCGACGGAGATACGCCGCAGTCACATCGAGCGAAATGATATGGATGCCTTCTCGAACACCAAAGATGTATCGCGAATTCTGAGGGTTCCATCGGGAGGTTGAATGTCCGAGGTGTGACTGGGATGCGAGGAGAAGTTCAAGAGTGACGTCGGACGGTCTGGGAGGGTTTCTGATGAGTTCCTCTGGCTCATAGGTATCCGTCACTACGGAACCTAGACTGTGAAATTTGTGTCCTGAGTGATGAAACACATGTTAGCGTTGTCCGGAAGACAACTCGGATTAAATCAATTTGAGCGTCTACTCACGTCGCTTCACAGTTTTCCTCCATGCCTCCTGAGCAGGGGACCTGACTTCCTCCGGAACCTTCAGGACTGGCGAAAATTTGTCGGGCTGCGATTGAGGAGGGTTTTGAACCGCTTCCGCCGTCAACTCGACAGTCGTATCGGTCGAGGAGAAGCGGCTCAGGATGCGAGTCTGATTGAGCAGCCGGAGATTACGGCCTTCCGAAAAAGACCATGTCAGTGCGAGATCTCAATTGTAGATTCCTGGTTTTGACACTCACTTTGTCGCACACACAGCTGTCGCACAATCATTGTGTTGTTGCTCCTTCTGCCGTTTCTCGCAGCAGCGATCGCAGCTCCGGAGAATCTCTCGAACTTTTGATGGAAGGCTTGGCACCATGTCACGACTTGCGCTAACCGTTTTTGGATATCATATCAGCAGCTCTATCTTGAGCACCAACAGGTTCCTATATTATTTATTTTATTGTTCGTTGTAATTTTTTTTTATTTTTTATTTTTTTTTAATTTTTTGTATCTCTCTCTGTGTTTTATGTTTTTTAAGCACATATAAAAGGATAGCAGAGTTCTACACAAAGAAATCGTTACCAGCATCGGGATATTAGCTTCGAGGTCAACAGTATGAAATTAAGTCACGCCCATTAATGATATAGCAAAGTCCCTGAAAACGCCGATGTCCATGTGTCGTAGCGAGAACCATCCCATGAGAATCACCCAGAGAAAATAAGAGGCCGTTGCTGAACATCAAATGAAACAATTCGTCAACCACCTATTTCTTGCCAAAGAAGCTGCTCGCGGCGCCGCTCAGCGAGTCGAATCCACTGCTGGATCCCTGAGGCTGCCCGTAAGAATAAGGACCCTGCTGCTGAGTATGGCCGTGGCCGTGGTGTTCCTGGTGTCCGTGGTGGTGGTGCTTCTTCACCTGGTCCTCGATGATGCTGCCCACAATGGCCCCGCCGATTGTTCCGAGAATGCCGTGGTTGGCCTTGTGGCCAGCGAATCCTCCAGCAAGACCTCCGGCGATTGCGCCACCAAGACCTCGTTCACCGTCCTGAGCTTCGCCGGGCGCACCCTGTTCATGGCTGTCATATTGTTAGAATGACGCTGTGGGAGGTTGATGAATAGTGATTCGGTTGAACTTACTTGGAGCGCTCATAAGACTGCTGAGCATACTGGTGTTGCTGGCCGTGCTGAGGGTTCTGCCCATAATAGTCCTGTGCTTGCCCGTAACCGCCATGCTGGCCGTACGAATCCTGTTGGCCGTATTGCTGGTGGTTGTAGGATTGATCGTACTGGCCGGGTTGGCCGTAGCCTTGCTGGGGAGGATATCCACCCTGGTAGTAACTCTGGTTCTGACCGTATTGCTCGTAAGGACCGGACATCTTGATGGGTTGTAGGTAGGATGTTATAAAGGAAGAACGAGTTTGTAATTGATGGAGCGCCGGTGTTTGATGATGATGCGTGTAGGTGTGTTTGATGGACTGATGACAGACCGTTTGGGAGGGGTCGTCTCCAGAGGCCTTATATAAGTGAGCTTCAGGAATAATGATCACACCATCAGGGTTTGGAGCCAACCTTCTATCCTCCAAATACGGCCTACGGCTCCGCCACGGCGGGCATCTATTAGCTAGGACGTCGGGTAGGCAGGCATTAGATTCGCAGTATTGCCTCCATACAGTTAGGTAGGCAGGCCCTGTTCGTCCACATCATCTGCGCTCTGACGCATCCATGCGCCAGTCAGAGCCACAGGGCTGAGACTGACCTCTTCGAATGGCCAACGAGCATCCTGGTTTGGCCCCAGGAACTCCGCTTTTCAGCTCAGCTGAAATGTTCATGCAACGACCCAGGCCTGTCATCCTATCAGGATCTCCACTCGCAGCTCGTGTTGTTCGTCATCTTGCGTCCCTAAGCCATCTAAGCCATCGGAAATCCTGCACCGCCTCGGTCACTGCCCCGCGGATTGTGGCTCATGCTAGACCCCAGCCAGCCTGTGGCTGAGGATTCCGGGCGTTATTCATAGGGCATCGGATTGGAAAAATATTATTACGGCTTGGCGTTCCACACTGCAAGTGTACGACTACGGAGTAGTTATGCAGCAGCGATCTTAGTCTGAATTTGCCTGCCTGCCCGCATGTACGGAGTACTTAGGTACTTACTAGGTCTACTCCGGAGCAGTAACTGACGTAAGGTCCTTGGTACCTAGTAGGTACCCAGGTACCTGAAGTGTGGATATATAGCTACATATTTACGTAACGGGCAACCCATCTCCTTCAACACAGGCGATCAAATAGGTAGTACATGTACTCCGTAATGTTAAATTAACAGTCTCCACCAGACCCTGTCCTGTTGGCTAATAATATAAATGGAATGTTTAATGATGGTAGCTCGGCTAGAACTCTGGAAATCAACGCTATTATTCCATGGAAGGCAGCAGACCATCTAGCGAACATCGTCATACTACTAAAATAGGAAACTCCTACCCTGCTCTAGGCATACAGCCGTTGGAGCAATTGTTTCCTTGTTGTCTCCTTGTATTCATAATGTTCTTCTATCGCTCTGTAATTGTCAATTTCTTATCTTTTTGCAGAAATGCCTTTTGGTCCAATGCTTTCTTGGTTCGTTCTGTAAGTCATACTGCATAGTCCATAAAAATGCGCTTTCTTGCCAGCAAATTATCCGAGACATGAACAAGTAATAGAGGGCTACATTGTGAATGTTTGAATGGGAAAAGGTCCACATTTTAGACTCTTTTCCCTATACCACTCATTGCCTAGTAAAAAGGCAAAGGAATCAAGTTAGGTAGCTTGTCTTCAATGGGAGCCTACCAGGACATCTGTAAACAGTCTGGAGCTCACGTGTATGGAAAGCCATCTGGCTTTTTTTTTCCCTCTTTTGGGTTTATTACCTTCCCAACTTTGTACATGGTAGTGCTGAGTGGTATAGGGTCATAGATAACTGGCTGATCTTGTTCATCCTTGCAATATTCAGAAACAAAAATTTAAACATGCCTACCCACTCGTATTTTGGAGTAATACCCGTTCGCAGAGTGGCTCCGAGTAGCAGTCTGCCGGCATGTACGCAGCTTGGTCATGCAGGCTAAGGTCAACAGAGCCATCTGTAGGATCTTGCGGGCAACAGCCGCATTGTGGAAAAAGTTTCCTGCTTTCTACACAATATATCTACAGAGTATGTGATCTATCTAGAGCGACCTCTAGGGAGCATGATCAAGTGTCTTCCTTTTTTTTTTACCTTGCTATTCATCTAATTTCCTCCACTTCCTTCTTCCCCGAGTTTAGTTATTATCAGAAAGATGTGCTGAAATTATTGTTAGGCCACCCCTTCCAGCAGCACAACAATGCTCTAGGCTGCCAGTCTAGAAAAGGAGAAGATCAATTCCAGCTAGACACCACACATGGACCGCCCTGATATGTCTTCTGAGATGAGATTCGCACTATTCCAAGGCAGCCATCAATTCCTGCTGGCTGGCCTTAGGGAGCAGCAGATATGCCGCTGAAATGGAATGAATGACTTCGCAAGATCTGCAGCTGACGAATATCGAAACGTTCGTCCCCATGTCTTGGACATCCTCGTGATATCATGTAGTTCTTTTGTCTTTCTGTTTGTCGATTGAATTTTAATTCTTAATCGACATCTGTGATATCTGACTATCATCGGACGATTAGTGCGTAAACTTTTGCAACTTTAGCACCAAACATGATTCGATATGACGTTGTCATCGAGGTGGAGAATAGCACGAAAATATATTTAGTGAATATCCGGATCATGATAGCCAAAGGCTCACTGGCATAGTAGAAGCGCACTCATTCGAATAATACCCATCGAAAAGAAGATAAATGTGTCATTGAATCCATTGTCACTAGCCATATTCATCTTGTTCATTTACTCTGGAGTAGTACTGAATGATGAATTGTATCTGGCATAATTAGGCGGTGAATGCTCCATTTGGTGTCCCACAGCAGCTAATTATTACACGCGCCCACTTGGCGCTTCGGTGCTAGCCGAGCGGAGGTGAGAACGCCAAGATTTACACACCCACCCAATTTTTTCAATGCATTTATCGCCGGTTCTCGTCCGTGTGGGCTCTGTCCAACAGACCGACCGTGCAGTGTTGAGCAGCATCCTAGCAACGCCAATTCCGGATGCTCATGCTGCTCTGATTGTCATCCTCGGCTTCTAGAAACTACGAACGGACGGTTCTCCGACAACAAGTGGGAGGATGGCTGATATTGAGGTTCGTTCATCGCACCCGTTCTGCCAGCCTCCTCAGTTCGAGAGGTTGATGATGGTCTCCTAGGAACGCCTGAGAAGCCACGCCCAGGCATTCGATGGCCTTCTGTCGTTGATTCCGGCCAAATACTACTATGGTGAAGATACCAGTGTATGTAGCCGTTCCATGTTGCTGGCACTTCTGTGTCACCAGGAAGCTGATCGCAAACCGCATAATAGGATCAATGGAAGCGAAAAAAGCAGACGAAAGAACAGGCCAGGGATGCCAAACGAGCAAAGTTGGACCCTGATTCGGCAAAGACGGCAAAAGATGTAATGGATGAAAATGCGCGAAAACGGAAGCGTGAGGAAGACGAAGACAGTGACAGCGACTCATCAGTCAGTGAACTTGGCTCAGAGCTGCCCAGAGAGGGGCTGAAGAGGGGTGACTATAAAAAGAAACCAAGACAATCGGATTCGACAGAAAAGGCTGAAAACGCTGAAAAGGAGGGGAACACGCCGACAAAGTTATCTCAAGAGGCGGAGGAGCGGAGACAGCTCAAGGCCCAGAAGAAGGCAGAGAAGAAAGCCGCACAGCGAGAGAGAAAGAAGGCCAAACAAGCTGCAAAGAAGGAGAAGGCACGAGAGAAGGCACAAGAGAAGGCACAAGCCGCACAACAAGAGTCCCAGAAGTCATCTGAGGCACCCCAAATTGCTTCCAAATCCGAGGAGGAAGAACCTAGCGGGGAAAAGGATCAGCATAAGCCCTCACCAGAGGATAACGATGACGGAGAGGAGGAAGTTGCTCCAGTGGAAGGTTTCTCCTTGGATTCAAACAGCAGATCCCCTGAAAATGCATCAACAGCCTCATCAAATAGAGATTCTCCTGGATTCGATGTATCCAACGATCACTCTGGTAGCTCCTCTATCTCCTCCATCGCCCCATCCAACGACGCCGCAGATGCCGCTCAGAAACCAGCTTCCGAACAAGCTTTCGAACCTAAACCACTCAAGCCCACACCAGAGGAGCTCCGGCAACGTCTACAAAAGCGTCTTGAAGAGCTTCGCGCCGCTCGTCACGCAGACGGTCTTAACGGCAAGCCAGCGCGGAATCGACAGGAACTAATCGAGGCCCGGAGACAGAAGGCGGAGCAGCGGAAAAAACATAAGAAGGAGATGAGGCGAAAAGCCAAGGAGGAGGAACAACGCAAGAAAGATGAGGATATGGCGCGACGCTTCTCGCCCGGTGGAGCGGGCTCTCTCCTCGCATCGCCTCGCTCTCCCGCAGAATCGAACGCCTCTGGCTCTAATAACTACGCATTTGGCCGGATTGCTTTCTCAGACGGTCAGATCACCGATCCTTCGGGTACTCGTATCATAGAGCCGAAGCAGAAAGGGCCTCAGGATCCTGGCACGGCTCTGAGAGCCCTCGAAGCGAAGAAGGCGCGCCTCGAGGCTATGGACCCGGCGAAACGGGCGGAGATCGAAGAGAAAGACATGTGGCTGAACGCGAAGAAGAAAGCCCACGGCGAGCGAGTCCGTGACGACACCTCTCTGTTAAAGAAGGCTCTCAAGCGGAAGGCGGCCGCCAAGCGCAAGTCCGAGAGGGAGTGGAAGGAGCGACTCGAAGGCGTGGCGAAGGCCAAGGAAATGAGGCAACAAAAGCGCGAGGAGAACCTCCGGAAGAGGAGGGAGGAGAAGAAGAAAGGCAAGGCCAAGGCTCGACCAGGGTTCGAGGGAAGCTTCAAGGCGAAGGTGGGAGGAAAGAAGAAATGATCTCTCTAGAGAAAACAAAAAGTCAATTCATGGATCTCCTTCATGGAGGGGACGATACCACTTTATTTTATCCATAGGAGACGGGGGGTGGATCTCTGTCTGTCTCTTGCATGTAGAATTGGGAAGAATGATTATTACTATGGATGTTGTACCTAGGGATGAAGTTAGGACCCTCTTTGGTGGCCTTTTTCTTTTGTTAGGATAGCATAGGAAAGCGATTCCCGTTTTGTGTTGTGTAATCTTCTTTGTCTCATATTGCTGTGCACAACCTCTCCCATCCTCTACAGAGAGAGAGACGGAGCACTGTCCAAGAAGCCTAGAAACAAATCCCCAAACCATTGGCGACGATGAAGGATATTGGCTGCGCACCTAGAAGTGATAGTAAAACCTCCGTCTGGAACTAGGAATTCTATCTCTGACGTTGTCTATTGCCTGCACATGGCTCAAATCTAGATATCCATACTACGTACGTACGTACAGTACATATTGGTATAGCAGATGGAAAGGAATACTTCGACAAAGGAAACACTGAGAGCTTGCAATCGATCGAACGAATACTCCTAACATAACAAGATGTAACTAAATAGCCCGTCCTTTTGCAAACAACAACAAAGGAAAACAAATGAACGAGACTGAGACTCGTGGAAGCTGAACTTCCTTCCATCGCCTCATGCCCCCTTCGTACGCATAATGTGGACAGAGGCAGATGAGCTCTAGATATTTATCTATGTACAGGAATGAGGTTCTCTGGGGCAGTGGAATGCCTGTGACTCACATCGACAGGATGCTTCCCCATCCTGATCAGGGCGACTGAGAACCATCATAGGCTGACATGAAGCATTTTTTTCATCGGTAAGGAGCATCAGCCCGAATCGCAGCAGCCAGCTCAGGCTCCCATCTGTCACCATTTGCCAGCAGCTTCTCCTTGTTGTACAGCAGCTCTTCTCGAGTCTCCGTAGCATATTCAGCGTTGGGCGCTGGACACATGATTGTTAGTTTCATTTCCCTATTAATAACAACATACGCCTCGGCAAACTCACATTCAACAATGGCATCGACAGGGCAGCTCTCCTGGCAGTAACCACAGTAGATGCACTTGGTCATATCAATGTCGTATCTGGTCGTTCGTCGGCTGCCGTCTTCACGCTCTTCGGCCTCAATGGTAATGGCCTGGGCAGGGCAGATAGCCTCGCACAGCTTGCACGCGATACAGCGTTCTTCGCCAGAGGGGTAGCGACGCAGCGCATGTTCGCCACGGAATCGCGGGGAGATGGGACCCTTCTCGAAGGGGTAGTAGATAGTGTAACTAAGCAAACGACAGTCAGATCAACTTCTCTGCCACTTCTAGCGGTGCCAATCTTCCAGAAATGACGTGACAATCGCCATTGATGCAATTCGACGTCTTTTCGGTCGTGCGGGAAAGGACAAACGGGTCACTTACGGTGGTCTGAAGAACTGCTCCAACACGACGTACATGCCGCGGAACATTTCGGCCATCAGGAAGTATTTGCTGGCCTTGTCCAGCGACGACTCCTCAGACTCATCCCATCTCTTCGGCCGGGGCAGACGGAAACCCGAGGGAGGAGGTCCCCTGGGAGTGGCTTTTCGGGACGCAGAGGACGAGAAATTTGCGGTGGACGCGAGGCGCAGGGCCGAAGAGGGCGCGGCCAGGACAGGGCGACGAGAGGCGACCAGCCTCACCATAGATTGCGAGGAGGCCATGGTGGAGGACGATGGCAGAGGGGCGAGACGTGGAGGGGAGAGAGCAGCTGGGGTCTTGGTGGTAATTGAGGTCAACCAGCAGGCCGGTGGAAATGGGCTTAGGTCATGTCTTTCGAGTGGCCTCTGATTGGCTGGCGGCAGGTTTTTGCTCGAGGGAAGGAAAACGCCGGAGCCGCAACATCAACGACCACTTCCTTTCCGCAGCAGCTCTCTTTCCATTCTCCCTCCCCTCAGGCGCGCCCCTCCCTGCTCAATCGGCATCTTTCTTCTGTCGAGTCTCCGTTCTAGACCTTCTTTCCGCCTTCACCATGTTCCGTGCCGCCGTTGTTCGCTCGTTGCGGGCGACTGCTCCCCGTGCCATTCGGGTCCCTGTTTCCCGCCAGCTCAGAAGCTCTCCTGCTGTCCGGCCGTCTCAATTCGTCCCCTGCTTCCAATGCCAGTCTATCCGTCGCTACTCGGCTCCTGCTGGTCTGTCCAAGGAGGAGGTTGAGGGCCGTATCATCAACCTGTTGAAGAACTTTGACAAGGTTCGTGGACGTTGGTGTGTGCGGTTATTCCTATCAGGCTTTGTTGAGACTGACGGAATTGATGAACTTCGTACAGGTTTCCGATCCTAGCAAGGTTTGTCTCCTCTGAATGATGCGATGGAATCTCCATTTCCCGGGGAAAGTCGTTTTGTCTAATACATCTCAGATCACCGGAACCTCGCACTTCACGAATGACCTCGGTCTGGACAGCCTGGATGTTGTGGAAGTTGTGATGGCCGTGGAGGAGGTATATTCAGAACTTATCGCGGAAGGTCCTTGTTCTCGAAGCTGATTGTGTGATAGGAATTCAGCATTGAGATCCCCGACAAGGAGGCCGATGCTATCCACAGTGGTAAGTTTCCTGGCTCTGACGTCGTCTTCAGTTACCTCTCAACATTGACTGACTCCCGCAACAGTTGACCAGGCTGTCAACTACATCCTCTCTCAGCCTGATGGTACGTTCCCCGCGTCGCAAAAATTGAAGCCGAGATGGATTGCTGACGACACGACTCTAGCCCACTAAACGACCCCACAAAGTTTAGACAGAGGTTCAAGGTGTGGATTTGGGTGTGGATATATGCGAAAGATGTTAGAGCTTGGGCGCCGTTTGATGCCAGCGCTGCTTTGTACGCTTAGTCTACGCCGGTGCTTCTTCTCTCTATACTACTAAATCGTGTACATCATCTGCAAAATGAGCATTTTGATTGATATCTTCTGGACCAATTGTAATTGACGAATCTGATTATTTTTTGATGGGAACCCCCATTTGCCACAACTTGTCTCTCAAGATATCTGGGGGTATTTAATGAGTTGGATGTACACTCTTAAGCTTTGCCTTTTCTGTATTGTTTGCCTTCGAGCTTCAGATTGATCGTAATCTTGCAAGACGAGTAATTTATCTGATCAATTGGACCAGTCGATTTTGCTAGGTTGAGGCGGTCTTCCAGTTGAGATGGGCGCGTGACATGTACCAAGCTATCGGTATGGTCAGAATCGTCTCTTTTCGTAGAGATGGCGTTAAATACAACATACGCGATTCTGGAGGAGAACAGACTGCAAATAATGACTCCAGCTATTTTTCGCCCAAACTTTCCACAGTTATTTCTCTGCGATTAGAATTTGTTTTCTCATTGCATGGGGTTGGTTTTTTGTTATCAGAAAACGTGATCGATCGGCCACGGACCAGACCGCGCCAAGGCCCATTTGCTGACGCCCGTTACCTTGTCAGCTCCGGCCAGGCGCATCACCATTCACTCGATTGTCCCTGACATTCAGAAGCGGTGCTCGTTTCAGAAACCATTGACAACTTACAGAGGGCGGCCTTATTTGATAGTCCCTCCCCTCTTAGGTGCCTCTTCCGCCTTTTTACCTGCGCAGGAACCGTGTTCCCAGGCGTTCTCGTGCAGATTTGCGGAACCAACAATTCCATGCTGTCTACGCCGCCCCCAGCCCAGCACTCCTGAGCATCTCCTCCTTCCTACCTCTACGTCCAGGATACTCGCACCTACTGATTACTCAGCTGCTTCCTCATGGCCTCAGCCGGTGGTCTGACGCGCCGAAGAGGAGGCGGTCGAGTCGGCGGAGATGACGATAACAGCAGCCGAGTGTCCTCCCCGACTCCCCGAAACGGGACATACGACAGTCGAATACCGGAGACCTCTTATACTGGGGGAGAAAATGGTCACAAGATTGCCTTTGATCCCAGAGATATCAGTGAGAGTGAGGAGCGGAGCAAGCAGCCCAAGCTGACGCTGATGGAAGAGGTGTTGCTGTTGGGACTAAAAGACAAGCAAGTAGGTTTCTTTTTTTTCCCGCTGTAGCCTTTGAAGTAGATAAATTTCTTTTACTGATAAGTTGTCTCTTCTATCTCCGGTGTAGGGCTACTTATCTTTCTGGAATGAAAATATCTCGTACGCTCTACGAGGATGCATCGTTATCGAATTGGCTTTCAGGGGCCGCATAAGCATGCAGAAGGATTCTTCTCGACGACGATTTCCGTTGGCCGATAGGGTGATCGAAGTGATCGACGACACACTGACTGGAGAGGTCTTGCTGGACGAGGCGCTAAAAATGATGAAATCAAGCGAGAAGATGAGCGTCAGCTCTTGGATTGACCTGATGAGCGGTGCGTTGACTCGAGCAGGAATTTCTTTTTTTTTTTCGCGAGAAGAAACCCCGCCGCTGACCTCTGGCAACTGATATATAGGCGAAACATGGAACTTGATGAAGATTGGCTATCAGCTGAAGCAAGTGCGCGAGCGTCTCGCGAAGGGGCTTGTGGACAAAGGCATCCTCCGTACTGAGAAGCGCAACTTCCTGCTGTTCGACATGGCCACCCACCCTGTCGCCGACTCAGGTGCTAAAGAAGATCTCTATCGGCGGGTCCGCAGCGTGTGTAGTAACCGCACCGTGATTCTGCCTCCGACTTCGTGGCTCCCAGAAGACGTCGAGTTCCGATATTTGCGGACGATATGCATGGTTTGTGCTGCCTACGCGGCCAATGTGCTGGAGAACGCACTGGTCACGATGAGCCATGAGGCTCGAGAGCGGGCCTTTGCTCAGGTGGACGAGTTACTAGCGGAATACTCACAGTGGCCTTTTGGCCGGCGGAGTGGCGGCTCGCAAGGCATTGGCGCGAACCTGGCGCAGGCCGTCAACGAGGAGATCAACAAGGCAAAGGACCGGGAGCTCCAGCTGGAGGTGCGTTCTCTGCGTGACGGATCCATACTGCTCCCTCGAATACTGACAGGACCTAGGTCATCGCTGCATGTTTAAGCGTATTTACCAGGCTCGATTCCCTGCTTTGAGCCAGCTTTGATACACCTTTATTACTTGTTCTCAGTATTCACACGCACAGGTTATATGAGGGATCTGGATCTTTTATCTCTCATTTTTATGTGATTCCTTTCCAGCAGGCGGTTTGGAACAATGCTAAGCCTTTTTTTTTTCTCTGTCGTTAGTTCTGCAAAAAATTTCATTGTGACATTACGGTTTTATTTTTCTTCTTTTTCTTCATTCTAATTCCAACTTACGCAGGTATCGGATGCCTACAGTCAAACTAACCCCAATTAACAGAGAAGAATTGATGGATGTGTGTACTGTACAAGTTGATAAGCCACCGAATTGCCACCGCAAATTGCTGCGATCATGGAGTGAGAGAGGTCCTTTATTTACTATACTTGACTGACCACCAAGTTTACTCTTTCATTTACGCTGTCAATTATTTCGAATGTTCTGTCCATGCATGACCGACCGCTTTTGACATTTTTTTCCTTTTCGTTTCCTTTTCGTTCCTGTTCTTTTTTTTTTTCTAATTCACATCATCATCATCAGAAGGCACCCTTCACTCACATGTGTACTCACACAGACACAAAAGACGCAGAGAGAGGAAAGAAGAAGGAAGGAAGGAAGGAGGGGAACAGGAAGAGAGAGAGGGAGAGAGACGGGGAGACTATCCACGGGAACAATTTCCACTGCTTGAATCAATCTCCTTCTCAATCGACTCGTGCAGGTTCATATCAGACCCTTGTTTTTGTTTTTGTTTTTGTTTTTGTTTTTGTTTTTGTTTTGTATCCTTTCTCCCTTCCCTTCTTCTTCTTCTTCTTCTTCTCCTCTCTTTTCACTCCACTATTCTACTACTGACGCTACTTGGCTTTATTTTTCCCCTCTTTTCTCAATGTACCTTGCCCTGTGTCTATCTATCTATCTTATCTATCTATCTCGTCCCCACGGAGGCAGGGTAACTGAACTGAGTCGAACTTGAAAAACGTCGGGCAAGGATTGGTTTGATTTACTGCTGCTGCTGATAGTGCGACTACTACTGAGATTTACTTGACTGACTGGTCATCGGCTTACTTGTTATTCTTGCTACTGAATTTGCTTTTTTTTTGTGTTTCTCTTTCAATGAACATGTTTTAATTGGTCTTGTGGTTGGTTTGTTGTTTTTTTTTGCCTTTTTTTTTCCCCTCTTGTGTTCTATTTTAGCCTATTTAGTGTGTGTAATGTCATACGCTTATGATTTGAAAAAGAAAAAAGAATCAAATTTATCTTAGATTAATACCGCTTCTTTCTTTTTTATTCTTTTTTTTCTTTTTTATATATCTTAAGAAATCGCAGGATCTACCCTTAACACAACCTTCCCTTTCCCTCCGCCCTCGTTCTCTGCTCGGATCATCGCATCCCTCCCCTGCAGCAGGTCCACGACCTCAAAACGCGTCACGGGCTTCACGTCCCCCTTTTCGATCAACTGCGCGATCTTGGCGAGATGGTTCCCGTTCGGTCTCGCGATGACCAGCTCGCTCGTCAACTGCCGGCTCTGGATCTCTGTCCGCTCGTCCTGTTCGGCCGGTCTCTCGGGATGCCCCGAGGGCGGACGGCAGATGGATAGGACGTGTCCGTGATCATTCACGACGACGGGCGAGTGCACCTGTCGGAGCGTCGCGCCGCCCCTGCACTCGATCACGATGTCCACGGGGTCCCATCCATTCTCGCGGAATGCTGCCGGGATGTCCGTCGCCGCCGTCACCGCGTTGGCCCCCAGCTCCTTGCGGATGAAATTCAAGTCGTCGCGCTGGCCCATCGCGCAGACCCAGACGGTGACGTCCCGTTTCCCACCGCCCATCATGTGCGTGTTATACTCCGGGAACAGTTGCTGAGACTGCAGGAGCTGGAGGGCATGCATGCCAACTTCGTCCAAGGCGTTGGTCACCAGCACCCGCAGGGGCCTCTCAGCCGGTCGGTTGGAGATCCCGTCGTCCGGGTCGAGGCCCGCGTGCACGAAGAACGCCTGGAACGCCGTCAGGCCGGCGAGAGGCAGGGCGGCCGCTTCGGCGAAGGACAGATTTCGCGGCTTGAACGCCAGCTCGCCCTCCGTGGCCAGGGTGTAATCTGCCGCTGCGCCGTCCCGGTCGAAGCTCAGCAATCCGAATACCTCGTCGCCGACCTTGAACTTGGGACCGTTGGAATTGAACTGATCCTCTGTCGGGGTGCTGATGACCTTGCCACTGAATTCATGTGCGGGTATGAGTCCATGTGCTTGGCGCTCTGTTGAGCTGTTGAGGACGTTCCTACAGGCCAGTTCTCCGGCACATGGAACTGCGGCTTGGACTTTGATCAGGTACTCTGTCGGCGAGGGCGTCGGGGTTGGGAAGGCGGTATCGTAGATTAACGATGACGCTGTTGGGGGGTTCTTGCTGTCGTATGGCCCTGGTGGAAGGTGGAGGGCTTGCATTCTCTCCGGCACGTATGTCTGTTCCGTCATTGTAGTTGGACTCCTAATTATACTCAAATGGTATTGTTGTCAGATATAATTCCAAACCACTCCTGCAAGATCCTGGCATTAGACGAATGATTCAAGGAGCCTTCTCTGCCCTGTTCCCGGGAGCGGAATCGTATAACTGCTGGGAAATTGCGTTGTTTGAATTCGACTATCCAAAGACTCTCACTCCGTTCGTATCATGGCATGCAAATTAGACTATGTTGTATAACATATTCCTCGCAGATAAAGAGAGATCTGTGTCAAAAGTCCCACGAATGGTACATCAGTCATCAAAACTGGTTGTGTATATATTCAAGAAAAAAGAATCAATCAGTCGAAGATATCTAGATATGGATCATTCACTGACTGGTGTTCCCCGGATTTCTTAATACTGACGTAGATCTGTGATTAGGTTAGCGCCGCCACGACGTCACATACCTGCAGTAAGAGCACGAAAAAGAGGATATAAAAAGGTACAACGTGAATCCAGGCCAGCTGGAAGGAAAGAAAGTGATACAACAAAATCGATTGTAGCTGACATATTCTCTGTTAGTGCCATTGTAATCGCACCGAACCGTGCTGTTTATGAAAAGCCCATTAAGGAAAAGAACTGCCGTATACGGCGTACTCATTGGAGGAACCACAGCCCGTGCGGCCTATGCTTGTCGGAAATGTCACATGACAGTAGACTGTCTATATTGGATTTCTTGTTAACTTTCGAAATTGAATTGACTCTGTTGACATAGAGGTTCCGAGCACCACTGCAGAGTAAGATGTCTGCCTCACCTTTAGCCCGTCGACGAACTCAGAAAGTTCCTCAGAGCGTTCAAACAAGCTTCCAGTGGCCCAGGAACAAGGCAAACGGGTGGCACCAACTGAAGGTTCGTTTAGACCACGTGGCTGGGAAATTTACGACACGAGAGAGATCTCCGGCGATTCGAGATACACGCTCTCGTGGAGTCTTGGGCTTGGGGCTGAACCTTGTCCACCCTTAATCGCTGATTGGTTTGGCCTTGGCGACACAAACAAATCTGCGGTCTGTCGGCTATCACGGACTCACCAGCCTCTGTTCGGCTCGGTGGCTGCAAGGTGAGTTATCTGTCCATGTAGTCACTGTGGGCCAAAGTATACTAACAGAGAATGGCAGGGGTTGCAAGGCACGGCAGAGAAGCGCTAAGAGTGAAGGCTGCGGATTCCAGTTCTTCAGCACGGGGGCATCCCAGCGGCTCTTTCAGCAGTCCCGAGGTCGTAGCCAGTCCAGAGCCGGCAAAATACGCCGCGAGTAAGTGTAAGCGATGAAAGTGAGACATTGTGCGTACCGTCATCTTTTGGACGAGTCAGGAGAGCGCAGTGCCATTTGTGGTAGTTGCCTCGATGGAGACCGCTGCTTGGCTCTCCACGCCCTGTACTTAGGTCTTGCAGCGACGACCCTCAGCTAGCCAGAGCCAGAGACGCCATTTCCAGCCTAAGGGAGCTTTTAGTAGTCGGTCGCTGTGAAGTCGCGGATGGCGCTTCTCACCTTATAATATGCCTGCCTATACCTGGAAGTTATCCAGCCGCTATACTGACAGTTTTGCGTGTACGGAGTATCGCATCAAGAAAGATCCAACGGAAGAGGATTCGAGAGAAAGCTCCATGCTCTTTCGACTGATGCGGAGAGCATCTATCCAGGCGTCACACGACCGGAGAAATTCTGCAGGGCGCACAACCTGGGGCTCCGTGAACTGCAAGGGACGCCGATCAGATGACGATGGAAATAGCACGTTCTGGCAAGGTGAGTAGAGGATGATGTAAGGCGTGATGGATATGGTATGAGAGTTGTTACTTATCTCGTTGAATTATGTGCAGGTTATCAAGAACCGCTATCCCCCACTGCAAGGATAGCCATATCGTATCCTAGATATTCCATCTCCTGTGACCAAAGCTGGGGTGATTACGTGCATGAAGAGGAGCAAGGCGCGTCAGCGGATGCCTCGAAATTGAAGGTATGTACTCCGCACATAATTAGGACTGTGTATTAGGAGAAAAGGTTGTGACACATGGATGCCCGCGACTCCTCGTGGGTTGTTGCTTCTGGATCTGTGGTCAAGCTGCCCTCCCCCTCCTCCCCTTCTGCACGTGCTTCTTGCCCTTGCCATACACGATAGACCAGCGGATGGATTCAACCCTTGGCTCCTTTCTTCGTCCCTTGTATGACTACGACAAGATGGATGTGCTGAGGAATTACTCCCTTAATTTCTTGCCTGGACATCCTACTATGTTGGACCCTTACAGTGGCCAACATCCTTCCTAACTCCTATGCAGAAGCATAGGAGCCCTCCATCTCTGATTTATTAGGGATCTTCTGTGACCACCCTCGCTACTTACTTCTCAACTCAATTTACAATGCGATAAACCTCAAGTCACAGCCATTCACTGAAATACATTGATCGATTTGTTTCGCGCATCATGAGTGTCCTCCTGACTGACGCTCATTATTCCCCTTTCATCGTCAAGGCGCCAACAGCTATTATTCATCCACCCTCACGGCCATCGCCACGAGCATCCAATTCGAAAAAATCAACAATAATCCGGAAGAAGAAATCGTCTCCGCCACTGTCACTGCCACTGCCAGCTTATACGACTGCCAATCCGTTTCTCTACCGGGTCTCTGCCCACTCCTTTACTCATTCGTGGCCGACGCACAAACTGGTTTCGTGTCCACGGTGCAGCGGTAACGTCCGCGACGAACAACAACAATACGACGACGACGACGACGACGACGACGAATCCAGTGCTGAGAAGAAGAAGGACGATCTCCTTCTTCTTAGCTCTTCGTCTTATCAGTCGCGGAGCGTTCTTGTCAGATCTCGCGTATCAGCCTCATCACCATCGTCATCTTGTACTTCTTCTTCTTCTCCCTCATCACTGCTCGGATATGAGCCAGACGAGTTGTTTGATTTTTAATTGTTCAACCATCGAAAGAAGTTAACTTTCCATCCAAGGCATATGTTTCCAAATCTGCGGACGGATAAAATATTACGAGGACGATGCGGGTCAGGGTCGTTCAGGACTATGTCTATATATCCTCGCTGGTATGGAGCACGAACCGACAAAAGGTCTCTGCCTTTCGTTTTTGCATTTCAGACTTCTTGCATTGCATGTTACGGCGTTTGGGAGGACTGACAGGCGCACATCGGTTTTCTTTTTCTTTTTCTTTTCTTTCTTTTCCTTCCAAGAAAGGCAAACTTTAAATACATCTTATTTATTGCTTAATGAAGCAGTTGACTTAATGATAGTCACGGTTAATGGACATATATATATCACTCATCATCCTCAACAAGATCATCAATTGGATTGCTGAACAAAAAAAAAGTCAAGAAGAGAAAACGTCCAAAGTCCAAGACCCACCAACCAATAATGACCGTCAATTCAATCACCCAAACAGAACAGAGAAAGAATAACGAGAGTTTCACACCGAAGTGTGAAAGACAAGAAAAGAATAGACAGCAAACCCAGTCTGCTGCTGCTGAACTTTGGAGGAAAAAAAAACAAAAACGTCCAACACTAGGATTTCTGTTTCACAGTCGACGACCCCTCTTCGCGGGAGGTCCGCGAGGACCGCTGCCGTCTTCTGGCTTTTATCTTGCTGTCAACTGCTGAAGGGCTCGGTATAGGTAAAGGAAGTTCCTTATTCTTTAGGTCGTCGGATGTTACTGTTGTTGCTGCTGTTGCTGTTTGTGTTGGTGCTCCTGGAGTTTGTGTTGTCGTCGACTTTGACGTCGACGTTATCGTCCTCGTGATGGGCGAGGGCGAGGGCAAAGAGCCAGAGTTTGAATTGCTCGAGGAAAGCTGGCCGACCAGCTGGGCGATCTTCTCGTTCAGGGCGGCGATCTCGGTGTCCTTCTCCTGCAGGGCGCGCAGGTAGCGCTTCTCGTCCTTCTTGTAGCCCTTGACGTCCTTCTTGAAGAGCTTGATCTCGTCGCGGTACTGGCGCAGCTTGCTCTCCAGCGTGGCATTGTGGTATTCCAGCTCCACGATGCGGAAGTGCAGCGCTGCCGTTTCGTTCCGGTGACAGGAGCAATCAGACATGTGGGAGAAAGTGCTGGGGCGGCGGCCCTTGGGAGGGCTATAACAGGGTTCATGACTGTGATGGTGATTCGCTCGACAGCTATCGTCATGCGAAGCGTGTTGGATCTCCTGGTTCATTTGACTGTGGAAGTTCTGGAAGTTCTGGAGGCTGTAGCCGTTCTTCCGCATGCATATCCGGGGATCATACGGTTGTAGAAAGTCACTTTTCTCTTTCTCCTTCTCTTTCGTTGCGGATCCTGAATCCTGACCTGCCTTGACAGTCTCCTGAGTCTCTCGCGAAACAAGGGTTAGTTGAGCCTGCTTCTCCTCGCGTATGGTTTGTAGATCTCCTGGTGAATTGAACCAGGGTCGCCAGCCCTGAGGAACACGCAAAACATTAACGGAAGAAAACCTGAGGTTGATCCATGAGCCGACTTACATGCGGATCGTCAATCTTCAGCTCATTGAAGTTCAATTGCAGACCCTTCAGCATGTCTGTCCTTTGGGAGACATATGTGTCCCCCTCTCTCCCGTCTCGATCCGGGCTTTGGTCTCTCCGGAGCATGTTCCCGAAATCGCTCACTGTCAACACTGGTGGTTCACGGGCATAGCCCGAAATCAAAGATAGCCGCGGATCTTCCGATGCTTCATCTTCCTTCTTCTGCGAAGGGGAGAGGGGCGTTGATGATCTAGGAGGGTCGGTATCGTTGGGATTTTCGAAAGAGAAGGACCCAGGCAGCTCGACGCAGAACTCCTTGCTCGGCGGGCTTTTTGCGTCAGGCAGAGCCCTGACTGTCCCCGACTCGGATTGCTCGCTCGATTGAAACCGGCCCCGATCCAGTTCCGGCGACATTATGGGACCTGCTGGTATCGTATTTTGCGAGGCAGGCGCCGAGGAGAGAACGATGTTTTCGGATTCATAGCAGATGGAAACCTTGCTCTTGTGAAGGGACACGTTGGTCTTGCTGTTGCCGTCTGCGCTGTTGTTGTGGCCGAACATTGCGCTCAGCTGTTCAAAGGACTTTATACCCATGTTGGAGCCGATGTTGCGGAAGCCACTTTTCAGCTTCGGCGATTTGGGGGAGAATAAAGACATTGTGTCTCTGGATCAACCGACACAATGAGAAAAAATTGGAGAGGGCAGGAGGGGAGAGAGCGTGTTCCAGATCACTGCAAGCAGGATGAAAATAGAACAAAGTGGAACAGAGGAGAGAGATGCCAAACTGTTCTTAGAAAGAAGGAACAGAGCCCTGCATCCTTGCGCCACGCCATATGCGAGGAATTGATAACCGACGCCAACACGGTGACGTGTTAGGGGCGATTCGTCCCACGAGGTTCGAAAATCACGGACTCTTTCTCGGGATTCGGCGTCGGGTTTCGAACGTGCCTCTGTCGCTCCGCAGGAACATTTATTCAGCCTTGGCTACTTGAAGGTTCTTTAAGCTTGTAACTCCGCAGCTGAAAGAAACAGCTATACACGCAAGCGCACGGATGATCAACTCCACTGGGTGGGGGTGGTCAATATGAGATCAAGAACAGGAGAGAGGTTGGAATGTTGGCTCTCAGCCTTGCGGATAGTAACTCGACTGTTGGCACTATACGGTAGTTTGCATGTGTTGGAGTAACTAACTACATGGACAGGCATTTCAATCCAACAACTCGTACTGCCTGTCAAAGGACCTATCACCTCTCCTTCTTTGGCCATGATCTGGGAAACTGACAGACACGAGAAGTTGGAAGACCAAGGTTTGTGGGGGCGCTTTCCAGAATCCCACCGCGGAATCCTTCGAGGGCCTCTTGTACGGAGTGCTACGTGCATGGCTCAGTAGCTGCAGTCGTTCGTATACTCTGTTCGGTATAACAGAGGCTTGCCCGGTGGGTCCAACATCGTAGCCCACCCCGGGGCCCTGCCATGGGGGCCGCACAGTTGTCAGAAGGCTGACAGCCTAGAATATGTCAGATGTAACATTTACACCTGTGGCTATATCACTTGCATCTTATTACAATACCGCATCCCATAAATCCAATGCTGTGTTGCTCGCACTCTCAGAATCGCAAGTCGAAGAGCTCCCAGATTGGCGTGATGGAAAGAACCAAATCAGGCAGGTGGGACCGTGGGGGCCGTCAACAAACATAATACTAACCTTAATAGGATATCACGTGATACACAATAATCACGGGATTCCGGCTTGTCCGGCCACGTGGGTGGTCAGCTGAATCTCAATCAACAGGTCGGATGCCTACCTCTGGACAGTGACCTCTCGACTGAACTAAAGACAGAAAAGAAAAAAAAGAAGAAAAAGAGAGAAAAGACATATCAACAAGGTAACTGTATATTCTGAAATGTAGATCTGTCGTCGTTGTAATTATCATTGGTGGATTTGAAGTCCCATGAGAAGGCGCAGTCACGTGCTGGCTCAGCTGTCCTTCCAATCGCTTATCTAAGAGCTTCCTGACAAGCAACCACACCAGATACATGTACTCATTTCGAGATGTTTTCCACGCCAGACGACCTATTTGACATTTTGCTGTTAGCATAAATCATTGCCAATGAATATCGATAAATACGTCACGACATTTGGTTCTCGCAATGCCATTGGCAGCGCTTGTTCTTGCCCACAATCACCAGCTTCCAGCTTTGATCTTTCTGAACCAGCATCCGGTTGAGAATGTCAGTATACCGAGTCGACTGGGCCAGTGGCCAGGTTTACACGGAGAAGGAGATGGCTCCGGCCGTGGGATTCGCCAATGGCCCGTCCTGGGTCCATGAATCCCCTTTCCTGCACGTCGACTACGAGGAACGCAGCCCGTTGGGAGCGCCGACGCTGAGGCACTTGGCCACGAAGCAGACGCTGCGGGACCAGCGGAATCTCACTCCGTCGCATTTCGTAAATGTGCCCTGGTCGATCGCGAGGCATTTGTGGGATTATCTAAGCAGGAGGTAACTCCCCTTCGACATGTGCCTGCTGGAAACAGTCCTGAAAGTGTGACTCTACAGTGGCAAAAGGACGATGTATATGTGGAAAGTGTTCTGCACCGCGTATCCTACAGAGTTCAGGAAAGTCTCCAAGTACTGCGAAATGGTTATAGATCCTCCAAAAATGCCCATGCAAGAGTATCTGAGTCTGGTGAAAAATGACGCTTGCCGCTGGGTCGTTGGGCTGACCGTCTGCACCGAGTATGCACGCACTCCGGAGCTTGTCGAGGTAGCCCATGTCGAGAATATCGTAGCTCTGGAGATCAGCACCCCGTTGCAGACCCGTCTGGTGCTAGAGGATGAGGAGGTGGAGATAGCGGCCTTGAGTGACCGAATCGTGCGCACTTGGAGCGAGCTCGCAGAAGGATCGGGGGCATTCAAGCACCTTCGAGTGCTGAGGCTGTGCGGTCAGCAGAACCTGTCAGCAATCGTCTTCCAATACTTCAAAGCCTTCCCGTCGCTGCGGGTGTGCATCGCTGCGCGCTGCAGTGGGCTTACGACCCAGTCAGCCATGGAGCTCGCCCGGACGTACGGCTGGCAGGCAGAAACAGAAGGAGAACTATGGAAACTCTACAAATGCCCTGCTTCGCGCTCCAGCCAGAAATCTGGAACTGTGGTGAGTTGGGATGGCGACCCGAAGAACATGATCCCGCCTTCTGTCCAGCAAGATACTCCGGTTCTGGATTTCAAAATTGGACTCCGACGGGGGATTCCAAGAAAGGATTCTCAACGTGTGGTCTTTTGGCGGGAGGAGCTTGAGAGTGGGACAGGAGTAAAAAGGCGCAAGGATAGCAATGTCGCCGTGGGCGAGGAGATGGAACCGAGAAAGAGGAGCAAAAAACCCGTCATGAAGAATGCCAGACAAAAGGATCTGTCTGGACTTTTAGCAGAATTTTCATAGCAGGGAGTGTGTTGGGTTAGGAATTGAGAACTGTACTCCGTAACTAGATACAACTGCTTATCAATGCAACGGTCCGCATTGGAACCGCGGGACCGCGCTCCGCTCCACCGGCGATTGTTATTGACCGACTGCAGATCTCCGCATCCCAGCTCCGCCGCAAGCTGCTCTGCGTGTCGCGTCGTCTGTCGTCCGCTCGCGTTGCGATACCGTCCAGTCGACCGTCTCTCTTGCAACTGCAGAGTTGCATTCCAGCCCCTCCACCCACGGAGCGGCCATGGCGGACCAGCCGTCTTGCGCGGGGCAGGACCTCCCAGCCGAGTCTGCCATTCCCTCTCCGCGCTCCAGCACCGACTCCCGCTCCTCTCACGCGCGACACTCGTCAATGCGTCTTTCGCACCTCTCGTCTACCACGTCTCCTCACCGACAGAGCTTCAGAGACAGCCTGCACGCCATCCCCCAGTCTCCCCGGGCGCGGCGCCCGCAGTCTTTGACCCAGGCGGCCATCCAAGATCTGATCGACAATCCCCCAGTCCAGAATCCATCAGACCCGGCCTTTTCGGGCCGTGACTGGCGGCAGATATTGATAGGGGAGCTCGTCAGCCCAGACGATCTCAAGTTTGTGGAGGTCGATACCGGAATTGAGGAGGCTACCAACGTGCGTCTTCGTTTGCCTTGCACCGGCCTAGGAGGGGAAAAAAAGACATGAATATATATCATTGGAGAAATCCAACTTTTGCTAAGTCGTTCTGCAGATTCTGATCGATTCTGACGCCCCGGTACTGCTGATTCGGGAGACTCCTGAGCATACCTCTGCCGTCGGCACCTTTGACTACACGGATCTCAATGCGTACCTCCTGATGGTTGTGGGCTTGGCCCACCCGGCCGACGACCAGGTCACCGCGTTTCGGGAATTGGCGCAGAAGGCAAGGGAGGGAAGCAAGATACCATTGAAGGATGTCAAGGACCTCGGGCCCAAGGAACCCCTGACGACACTTCCCGTGTCGGCCAACCTGACGACGGCAGTCGAAACGTTTGGCAGCGGCGTCCACCGCATTGTCGTGGTGAAGGAGGACAGTGATGAAGTGGTTGGGATAGTCAGTCAGTCCAGGCTGGTCAGGTTTCTGTGGGAAAATGGCCGGAGTTTTCCGATTATCGACCAGCTGTATCCTCATCATCTGAAGGATCTTCGGATAGGTTCGCATAAAGTCATCTCGATCAAGTGGGTTATATTTCCTGTTTGTGAATTTGGATCCAGCTGACTTTGGGTGCAGTGGAGACAAACCTCTCTACCAGGCTCTGCAGCTTATGAGCAATGAGGGCATATCGTCTCTGGCGGTGGTGGACAATCACTTCAACGTGATTGGCAATATATCCACTGTGGACGTCAAGGTATGTTCCCTGCAGGTGTTAACAATACTACATTAAATAGATTCTTTACATTACATTTTGTATTACCTTTTGTTTTAGCGTTGTGACGGTTCTGACGTGTCTCTAGCTGTTGACGAAATCAACCTCCCTGCCCCTGCTGTATAACAGCTGTGTCCATTTTATCTCGGTTATCCTGTCGACGCGCGGGATGAACGAGGGGAAAGATTCGTTCCCGGTGTTCTATGTCAATCCGACCTCGACTCTGGCACACACAGTGGCTAAGATGGTAGCTACCAAGTCGCATCGGTAAGAGACGACTCTTCCAGGTCGAGCAGTCGACAGCGACTGACAGGTGCAGACTGTGGGTGACGGATCCGCAATCTCCTTCATCGTCAGGCCCGCCGACGCCTTCTCATTTCGCGGTGCATATGCCGGTGGGGGCGCCTCCAAGCAACTCTACTCAAGCGAATAGCCAGAATACCGCTCCTCCGCCTCAAAACTACACCCATCCCCATCATCCGACAGCGCAAGGCTACTCAGGCGGACAGTCCGCGCCGTCGATTCCGTCGTCGTCTCTGCCAGGGTCGCGGCTGTCGGGGCGGCTCGTGGGGGTTGTGAGCCTTACGGACATTCTCAATCTGTATGCGCGGGCGAGCGGATTGAAGCCGACCGATCCGGCAGAGACGCGGAGCCGCCGGCGTCGCAGCAGCAGCGCGAGTGTCAATGTTCGAAAGAGCGGTGATATTGGCAGGCAGCTAGAAGCGGCACGAGATAGATAGTTATCTGTCGTACTATCCCTAACCAGTCCATTTCTTCAGAATTCCATGGGAGTGATTCATGGCAGTCGCAATCAGTTGTGTCAGTCTGTTGTTCATTCGTTATTCATTCGTTATGGCAGTCAGGAATGAGATGAGTTTCTCGTATATATAGGACCAGAATGCAACGCAGTTGGCTATGGATATAATCTATCACCACATTAGTGTACAGTACGTAGGAGAAGAAGGTAGATGAATAGGTCTTCTACCTAGTAGGTAGGTAGGAACTCGAGCACACGTATAGGTACTGTACACTCGGATAATTCATAATTCAGTTAAGGGAGATTTATTTTTTTTCGTTTCTTTAACACAGACAACAAAGCACGCTATATCCATGATCGCTAGGTACATACAGTACAGTACATAAATGTAAGTAGTAGTAGGCTTAGTAGCCAATATACATACGCTCATCATCATCTTCTTTGAATTAATATCGCATCATGCGGCGGAAGCAGTTGAAGAAGAAGATTAACTGACGTGACTCAATCTCAATGAGATTATGTGATGTGATTTGTGAATAAGGAATGAATAACATGATTGATCCAGTCCATGTTAGTGTATTATATATATATATTATATATATGTAACCAGTACCTCGAATTAGTAGGTATTAGATGTTTGTCTGGTTGAGTCTACCTACCTACCTACCTAATCTATCTTACCTAGGTATTTTCGTACCTACTTGTGAGTTAGTATTAGCTAGCTAGCTAGCTAGATAGATAGATATAGATAGATAGAAATATACCATTCAATTCATTCAATTCATTGAATTCCACTGATCACACACACCGCATGCCATGCCCAATTCTTCAGTCTTTCTTCCGATTCAGCCCGAGGGCATGTATCCGGGAATGGGATGAGTCGGTCTGAAGATAGGTGTCTTGATACGATATATCTTAATAGAGTGGATCGATGGCTTAGTTCCATCGATTCGAAGAACCTGGTATTTACTCTGATGAAGGATGGAGGATATATAGGTATTCTTTTATTTTTTTAAAAAAAGGACTATTGATAGCAAAAATAAAAGGGACAAAAATTAAGGACCCAAAACTAAACGCAAATCACAATCCGATTAATCAATATAATAATAATAAATACAGTGCCTATCAGCGAAGAACTTGATAATAATACAATACCATGAACGACAATAAGTAAGACTAATCATCAATCCAAAGATAGCTAGCTAGCAATGTACATATGTACAGTACGTATGGACATGAATAGAATAGATACATATCATACATATTGTCGAAAAGACAGCGCAGTTTAGTTTTTTTCTTTCTTCTTTTCTCTTTTCTTTTTCCTACTCACTCCCTCGTTTGCTCGCTACATAACTCCCATCTGAGTATAGTTCGAATAGACGAATTGTCATGAATTGTCATTGTACAGGGTTTTTTTTTTGAAGGGTGTTGCAATGTGTGGTACGTGGTACGGGGGAATACCGATGTCGATGTCGACTTGTCGACCGGGGAAAAAAGGGGGAAAAAAATGACGTATGTCAGTTAAGTCACCCTTTACCCTGCTGGAGTGGACTGGCTTTCTTTTTTATAATGTAACTTTTATTAACCGCAAGAGAAGACATATCTTGAGGGATTGGATTTTGCAATCGACATAGGTACCTAAGGAAGTAGGTATAGGTAAATACATACCAAAGAACTCCGTAGTAGTTAATAATAGTACTGGTAGGTAGTACTAGTAGCATTCCCAATCCGACAAGTCAACCCCCATCCCATCGTGCCCAGTCACCCAGTCACCTCACCCAGTGGATATGACCGAGAACGGCAGAAGATCTTGATCCGCGATAGATCTGCAATGGATCTGCGATCGGAGAATTTCTTACTTACAGACACAAACTACTGAACACTATGTACATACACCTAGGTAGGTAGGTATCAGAATAATAATTCTCCGAATTGTAACCTTAATCATCCTCCTTTCTTCCTCTTCCTCCCGTATACTACCTAAAAGAGTAATTATGTAGGTTACCTACCTAGCTAGGGAGTTGCCTAGTCCTCGGAATTTTTTTTCAGTAGGATAGATAGAACTGATTCAAAAGTTAGCGTCAGTTATGTAACATAACCTCCCTCTACCTACTAACATACCTAACTCAGTCTCATTGCAGCTAAATACATCGATCGATACCTGGATAGGAAGGTACCTGGGTAGGTAGGTTAGGTTAGCTGGCTATGTAGCTAACGAACAAGCTCAAGCTCAAACTCAAACTCGAACTACAACTTAAAGCGTCCAGTACAATGCCTACAAGTATGTACAGTAGGTATGTAGGTATTAGAGTAGTAGTAGAGTCAAGAGGAGGTCCGTGCAAATGCCAAATGCCAAATGCCAATCTCCACTTACTTGCCTTGGACACCTAAGGTCCATCCTTGCCACACCCTGCCATGCTTGCCCCTGAATGGCTGGAACTTGAATCCTGCCTATCGTGTTAATTTACTTAGTAACCAACCCTATGCCTTAGGAACCTAACCTACTATTACTGGCTATAACCATGCCTACCTATCTAGGTAGGAAGAACAGTACATACATATCTGCAAAAGTACGAGTACGAATACGACTGCTGAGTCTAACCGTGTACGGAGTACATACCTACGACAGCCTATCTTCCTATCTAAGTAGTTACTATGTCCACTATATATGTAATGTCTGTATGTGCTCTATTACTACGTTTCTAGTAGGTAAATTTCAAGGAGTCAAAATAAAGGTATCTTGCATATACATGCATACGCAGGATCTAAGTATAGATAATAGGTGCTACGACTGAGAGTAGGCTTGTGCTATTCCTCTCTGGGTAGTAAATCGCGAACCTGACATGGCTCTGATCGGCAGTAACAGAACCTTGGTTCTCTAGCGGGGAAAAAAAAAAGCTAAACGCTTCACAGAAAAGTTAGACACTGAACCAATCCAAATTCATCTAGCGCTACCATAACAATACAGTTATCAGCAACCCACTTCCAGCAATCAACTCGTAACTTCATCGGGTATTGAGTTCAAAGAACGCACGCCGTCAAAAGTCCAAGCCTGCTAATCGTCGCCTCGCCAGAACAAACACAAGCAAATCTCAGTTTGTACACGAAACATACAAATATAGAATTACACGAGAAGACCTAAGTATAAGAGCAAGACATGCAGTATGCTGTAGAGGAAACGCAGACATGTGCATGTAAACGCTTGTAGACGCATGCGTAGACGCCTGCGGAGAGAAGACTCTACGCCGCCAACGTCAAGTCGCCGTCCAGCGTCTCCAGCGTCACCCAGTCATCAAACGTAGTAGTAGCAGGATCAGCCACCGGCGCCTGCCATTGAGGCCCACTCTCCAAACCCAACGCAAACCGTGTGAACTCGTCGTACTCCGGATCCACCTCGTCCGTCGACACCAGCACCGGCGGCTGCTTCACATCACTGTCTTCCTGCGTAGCCGAAGACGGCTTGTCATCCCCCGCGCTTGCCGGAGACGAGTTGGACGTCGGAGACGGCGACAGCTCCGGGGTTGGCCAAGTCTCCTGGCCCAGAGTCGTCAGGAGGTCGCCAGAGGACAGCAGCTGACTGTCGTCTTTCGAGAAAACTGGCTGGGGTTGGGCAGACTCCGACCGAGAGCGCGAAACAGCAGCATCATTGTTGCTGTTGCTGTTGCTGTTGTTGCTGTTGTTGCTGTTGTTGTTGTTGTTGTTGGTCGGCGTCCCCGCCCCGGACCGTTGCTGCTGCATCATCATCAAGGCATCAGGCGCAGAGGCCAGCCTTTGACGGAAGGGATGGCCCAGCCATGCGGATCCTGCGCCCATATGAGCCCGTTGCAAAACCTGCTGGCGCCAGGCCGCCACGGACTGCGCCTGCGCCTGCGGTGTCATCTGTTGGAACTGAGTGGTGGCAGCCGTCGTCGACGGCCAGGTTGGGCTCTGCGATGGAGTCAAGTACCCGGGGAACTGCTGCTGTAGGTTTGCGAAGTTGCCGTACGAGCTGCCAGGGCTCTGCACGTACGACGTCGCCGGGCTGCAAGCCGACGGAGACAAAACCAAGCCAGCCGCCGAATTGGCCGACATGGCGGAGACGGCGCTCATGGAGCGGTGGTGATGGTGGCCGGGCAAAAAGTCCCGAGCAGGGGGAATGTCGATGCGCATTTTCTGGACCCCGCCATCCTGAGAGACACGACCGGCCTGTCTGGTGCTGTTGGCACCGGCAGCAAAGGCGGCGAGCAACTGGCGCTGGAACTGCTCCTCGATCTGCATGTTCTGGGCCTGCAGCATGCGGAGGCGCTTCTCCTGATAGCGCTCGTCGACCTCTTCGTACATGGCCTCTTTCTCAACGATCTCCTTGGTGATGTTGAGGGCCTTGCCGGTGCGCTTCTTGTGCAGCATGGACGCTCGATTGGCCGACTCCAAGCGGGCATCCAGGCTGCGGTCCTTGCGCCGCGAGGCGGCTACAAAGGCGCTGGTATAGACGTCAGCATCGAAGATCCAAAGAGAGAGACGTTCAGCAGGGTGCGTACCGCTCCTGATTCTCCTCTCGAGACCGGGTGACGGGAGCAATGTCCACGTCGCCATCTTTGGTTCCCGATGACATGACTGCCCAAACCGGTCCACGTGCACTGGACCAGAAGCCTTTATGAGAGAGTGAAGCGATATATGTATGTATAAGATAAGATATACTCAATGTATCCCAGAGCCCGCAGCCCTGGTATATGTGAATCGAGAGATGGGAAGAATGAGATGAGAAAAGACGGGAGATGAGGTAGGAAATCCCACAGGCAGAGACTGCTGCAGCCTGGAGATGTGCGGGTTCAAATAGAGCAGGCACGTTCTGGGCCCTGCCTTCCTGGCTGACCCCGGATCGAGGACGCAGGCCTGGGCAGGCGGTCGAGAACCCTGGGCGGGGCAGCGGCTGTCAAACACTGACCTCGAACCCGTGGGTCGCCGAGGAGCGACCCAGAATGGTGCAGATTGGCCATCTCTGGGGAGAGTGTTGAGCCGGTGTCTTCTCAGTCAGCCTTATAATTTGAATAAATTATGTGTTCCTACCAGGATAGTACTGTCGAGCTCACCAAGCAGAAGTACGAGAGATTTCAGAAAATGACTCTTTACAGTACGCTGAGCACTGCAGGTATCGTGTACTGTGTCTGCAGGAGGAGTTGCTACTCGCTGCCCGGGTTTTCCCCGCGGACCAGCAGAGTTGTAACTGCGTGCCCTGGGAGGCCTGGCTGAGTTGCTGCAACCCCAAGAGCAGCAACCGCGGATCGGCGGCGCGCGAATGGCCGGGCAGCCGCGGTACCGCCGCCGCATCGGGCTTAGCGGCGCCTTTTTTGGGCGTGCGGGCCTTGGCTCCTGCCCTGTGCGCAAGCCAACGGGGCAGTCGGAATCGGAATGCGTGACCCTGCCTGCAGCTTGCGTAGGGCTCAGATCTGCCCCGCACCTGCCCACCTACGATCTGCACGATCCCCGTTGGCGTCGGCGCCAATCAGCGGCGGCCTGCTGCACGTCAGTCGTTATGACACTGGCCTCACTTCTGACGTTCGCGGCGACAACAGCGATGCGACCGTGTCCAACAGCTTTCCGGGCTCGACCGCAGATGAACATGCTCCGGAAGAGAGATAGCCCCGATCGCAGTCTAAAAAGTTGCAACGGCAGTGCGCGAACAGAGTACGACTGTACGAGAGATACGGCAGCTGCCAAGACGCGATATTAGGTACCTTACCTAGTGAAGAGAGATACCTAGGTAAGGAAGGCACTTTGGAGCTACAGTAGGATAGATTAGGCAGGTAGGTAGGGCTGAGCAGCTTGGCGTGTGCCCTATCCTCGACAGCCTATTGGCTCAGCGCTGCGGAAGCTGAGGCTTTCGTATTCGCCGCTCGCTCTCCACAGCCGAAACCCCAATCGTCCGTCGTTGGCCGGGCTTGGCTGGCTGGCTTGGCTGGGCTGGGCTCGTCTGCTGTAGGGTGGATTTTTTTTCCCCGGACGCCCGGAGGGGATGTCTTCGCCACCACTGCCACGGTCTAGCCTTTGCACGGTGTCTAGAACAGTGGCTGTAGTAGCTATCTCGAAGTAGACCTATTCGTCAAGATCTACTTGTTGCTTTGTGATTCTTAGTAGATATATTGATTGTACTGTAGGTATTGTATATACAGTACAGTACATAGACTTGTACAATCTCAAGTACAGTACCATCAGAAAAATGTACTGTATGTACAGTACCTAGATAGATACCTATCTAGGCAGGTATGAGTATTCTAGAGTGCACGTCCTGTACCTAGGTAGGCAATGTACGTAAGTCACCTTCCTAACTAGGTAAGCAAGCACCGTACCGGACCTAGGTACTTACAGTAAGAAGATTCAAATTTGAGGCAACCAGTCCAGACCGCTCAACCTACAAGACAATGCAGGGCACATGACCTGCCATTCTCCATCCGCCCAGCAATTCTTTATTTTATTTATGTAAATCTTAGCTTCTTGGCCGATCTGGGGTCGACCGGCCGTCGATCCCGAGTCTGCCCTAACTTGGGTAACTTAGGTGACTAACTGAGTAGATACCTATATAGGGAATTATTTTTACCTAACGGTATATATCTAGGTGTAGATAGGTAGTACCCATATCCAGCAGAGTGGAGCAGCAGGACTTCAATCCTCAAGGTCGAGACCATCCCTCCCTCCAAAAAATCAGTCGTATGTGAGTGTGGGGAGAAAAGAGAGATGGAAATCCCCCATGACATGATCTACATCGATCGATCGATCGATCAACATATCCCCGAAGTCCCCGACAAACCCTCCAAATTTTCGCCACAATCAACACAATCAACAAATCCAAAGACTTCACTCAGCCCTGTCGGAAAGTCCCGAAGAGGGCTGAGAGGGCTGAGCAAAAGCCCCATTATATAATGTGGCTTGAAGTTTCCATTTTTTTTCCCAGCCACTGGTGACTGTCGTCAGTGGTCACCTGATTCGATCGAGGATTTTTTTTTAGGTATGTGTGTTCCATTGCTCATTGCTTATTCGCCGCTGATTCTTCCTTACCTATCGGAAATTCTCCTTGCTACCAGGTAATGGACCTAGTGGATCTAGGAAGGTCTTACTTAATAATGGATAAGAATAACGTTAGACGCTTTCTTTCTTTCTTTTTTTTTGTCTTCTTTTTGGCCTTGATGATATGTCCTCATTCTCTGATAGGACGAAAACGCCGAGATAGATAGATACCAGGTAGATACCGAGATTGAACACCGAGATCGAGAGATCGGTCGAAAGGTCGATCGGTCGACAGGAGGTAGATACCTAGGTACTTTGTTGTAGTGTACTTGCACATAGTATTTCCCGTGCCGTTCCGGGCCAACAGATACAGACGAATTGATACTGGCGTACACACAACCACCTGTATGTAGCCCTGCACGGACTTCTGAGCGACTCATGTCGGATGCCGCCGAGCACCGCGGAAAAATACTGCTCGCTGTTCGCGACAACGGGATGGCGAATCACTTGCCTAGATAGGTAGGTAGGTACAGACGGTTAGGTAAGTACTTTAGGTAAATTGAGATCCTCAGGCCACGGTAAACGAAAGCGAAGGTATTGACTAATGACAATGATATCAATGCTGATATCCAAGATTCAGATTCAGACTTCAATAGAGTAGAATAGAATAGATAAATATACTGAATATACTAGCCAATGCCAAGGATAGTATACTGGTGACTTCCTCGGCCATGCCAGGAGACAATAAATGACAAGGAAATTGGACTGCGAATGGGAACAGGATATCTTTGGCAGAACAAGAGTGTGTCAGTGACTGAGTGTGAGAGAGCGGACCGCTGGGAATCCGAACCCATCTGTTCCAATATCAACATCATTCCTTTCCTTCTCTCGCATCTTCATCCCATCTCTCATCGGACGGCCGTCATGTCATGAGATCCCCAATGGCGGCACCATCCCCTGATCCTCCTTCAGCTCTCCTCCGATCCGGTAGGACACTTTGAACCGGATCTTCACCGAGCTGCCTTTACCTGCATCGACACCGTCGATCAACATCTCCTGCCGCACTCCATGCTGTTGAAGCGGCGAGATATCCCGTCCTGACTGCGGCCGTAGTTGAAGAGTGTACGCCTGCACAAATCCTAAGTTAGCAGATCTTCAGATAGAAAATATGTAACCGACATACCCGCTCAACGGCCACCTGGAAATGCAATTCCGTCAACGGCCGGCTGGTGCTGTTGGAGAAGAGTGCTACTATATGAATCTGCCGATCATGCCCAGGATTTCTCCGGGCCGCAAAATCAATCACCAACGCTGAATTCAACACCCTGACCTTGTTCGTGCTGGGCAGCGTCCCCTCTGGGAGCGATGATGTGAAGGTCCACTCTTCATCGCCACCCGAGTTGTTGTTGGCTTCCGTCTGACCGGGTGCCGATGATGACGCATCCCCGGCCAAATCCAGCAACGACGACGATGGCTGGCTGGGCTGCTGGGTGGCAGGCGCCGGAGCGGCAAAAGGAGATCCAGCCCGCGGGCTGGCGGAGACCAGAGAAGCGAACGGGTCGACCGGTGCTGAAGTTGTTTGTTTTGACGGCTGTGAGACAGAGGGAGCCGGAGTCGCAGACTGCGATCCCGGTTGGGACGAGGCTAAAGATGAGAGAATATCGTAATTCGAGCCAGCCTGAGCCTGCCCGGACGGGGGCGCTGCAGGGGCTGTAGAGGCTGTAGAGGCTGCAGGGGCTGCAGACGTGGCCGCCGGTTTGTCCTGAAAAGACAGGCCGAGGAGATCATTTTCCAACGAGCTCGTGCCTTGCGCATCGCCGTTGGGGCTGGGCTCGGGGTCGAAATCAATCAGGGAAAACTCGTTGTTGGCGTTCTTCGAAACTCCCGTAGTCGTTCCCAGAGTGCCCTTGGGGATCTTCGCTGCTCCCTCTATGTCACCCTTCTTCACTAACTTGTACCGCTCAATCGTCCGACGGATGCTGTCGTTGATCTGTTTCAGCTTCTCGACCGCCTCCGTGTCATCCGACTCTTCCTCACACATCTTCTGGATCTTTGGATAGGCGCTCTGGAGCGCATTCGCCAGCTCCTAGACATAGTAAGTAATGACCAGGAAGAATCCCAAAGGGAGAGAAACTCTCACCTCAAATACATCCCCCTCAGCAATTTTATCACCCGGCTGGAGGCTCTGCAGCATCTCCTCCAGAATCTTGGCCTTCTGCTGCACGTAGGACACTTCCTCGGCCGCTTTGGCCCGGTAATCCGTTTTATTTCGGGTATCATATCCCGCCATCACCTTCATCAGTCGATTGGCTTCCTGCAGGTCCTGTGGCGTGCCCTTCGAATCAGCTCCTGCAGCTTCGCAGACTGTGCCTCCCGCTCTTCCTCTTCCATCTCTTCTGCCGATCGCAGCGTCTAAAGCACAGTTAGTCTGTATTTGAATCCCAGCTTGGAGAAGCAACGCATACGTCGCTCGGATTCAGCACCGCCGCATCTTCGCGCCGTATCTCCGGGAAGGTGTAGCCCTTGTAGAGAAGAAGACGGTGCATATCCCGGATATGCCCCAAGTCCTCCTTGTACCGTGACGTTTGACATATTGTCTGGCGCCATTCCTCGATGAATTCTAGAATGCGATGTTGTACCCGCGACGGTCGCAAAGGCGGCCGCTCGGGAAATCGTCGTACCAGCTCATTCAGGAATTCCTTGGTGCTTATCTGGAGATGGAAGGGGTATCCGCAGTTCTTCACGCAAATATCAAGCAGCTGCCTGTCCATCAGCCCGCCTGTGTCCTCAACCACGAACCACCTAAACACGTACCGCTAGCGCCAGGAGGGCGACATTCTGGTTGCGAGAATTGATCAGACGCACGATTGTGAGGGCAGCTTCGCGGGGACTGATTCCACGTCAATAGTTAATCAGCGATCAACTATGGTAGCGCAGTAAAAGACGGCGGCTCTCCACTCACGCATTACCCTTCTTCGAGTTTATCAGATCGACGACTTCGAGGTTCAGGGCAAGGTTGGGCTCGTAGTTGGCGGGGTCGCAAGCATTGTCTATCGTAGTGGTCAGCAGTCGAAGAACTGACATCCAAGCTTAAGAACCATGGCAGGGGGCCATACGTATCGCTCGCTGCAGTGGTGATAGTGATGGGTCAGCATAGGCACCGAAACGGTCCCTAGCTGCCATGCGTGCCGACGTGGCCTCCAGTTTGGCAGAAAGGGGAGAGACGCGAACTGAGAGACAAGAAGATCTCCGAGATCGAAAGGCTGACAGCTGTCGCACCGCGTCTGGGTGGGTATGGAACTGGGAGCTGCTGAGGAGTGGGATTTGATAACGACGGGCCTCGGACGGGTAGACGAAGCCACACGGGACCCGCCTGCAACGCGCGGTGCGGCAACAAACCGCCCTATGTCATCCGACGATTTTTGCAGCTGTCCGCCTTCCCCGCGAGAGGCCAAGCAGGAGATATTTTTTTTTGTCTGCTCTTCTTTTGGAATTTCTCTAGGATTATATTTCCTACAACACCCTCTCGATGGTGCGACACAAGAAAGACAATTTCTCCCGGGGGAAGAAGTTCTCCTCTGCGCCCCGCCACCGCCCCGAACCCCGCGGCAACGACGACAATGAGGCAACGACCGGCGCCTCGAGACCGCCATTCAAGGCCGCCTGCTGGGACCTGGGCCACTGCGACCCGAAAAGATGCTCGGGGAAGCGGCTGATGCAGTTTGGGTTGATGCGAGAACTTCCGATCGGTCACAGATATCCGGGCGTGGTTATCTCGTAGGTCTGCCTTTTTCTTTCAGCTTAATGGAGATCTCACAATACGGTCACCGCCAGTCCCAATGCGAAGCGTGTATTGTCCCCAGCCGATCGGGATCTTCTCGAACAATACGGAGCCGCGGTGGTGGAATGCTCCTGGGTCCGGGTAAAGGAGGTACCATGGTCTCGAATCGGCGGAAGGTGTGAGAGATTATGTATGTCTGTCCCTCTGGAATGATATTGGGCTCAATGTTTCTTTGTGCTGAGTCGTAGCTCAGTGCCATACCTTCTCGCCGCCAATTCGGTCAACTACGGTCGTCCCTGGCGATTGAACTGCGTCGAAGCGCTCGCGGCATGTTTCTACATTTGCGGACACGAGGATTGGGCGGTAGAGGTGCTCAAGCACTTTTCCTACGGAGATGCATTCTTGGAAATTAACGCGCAGTTGCTGAAACGATATGCCGCATGCTCGAATGAAGAAGAGATCAAGAAGGCAGAAGAGGATTGGTTGAAGAAGATCGAGCGCGAATACTCTGAGAGCCGGGCAGAGCGTGATGCTGGCGGCCCAGATGATATGTGGACGCGCGGGAATACTAACAGAGAAGAAAGAGTGGATTCCGATGATGATGAAGAGGGTAGCGATAAAAGTGAGAAGGACGAAGAAGAGGATGAAGAAGATGAAGCGGAAAGGGACCCGTACGCGATTTCAGACGACACCGACGACGAGGAAGAAATGGCAGAAATACGGCGCAAGATCCTCAATTCCAAGACCTTTCAGAATCCTACACAGCCTGACAAACCCCAACCAGAAAGGATTGCCCGACCGGAGCCGTTGCCTGTGGATTCTGATGCCGAGTCAGGTTCTGCTGGAAGCGATGATGAGGCGTTCGATAACATTATCAATGCCACACCGGTGACAGATCGAACGGGGATTATTGCGAAGCAGCAACGAAAGGGCAAAGACACAATCACGGCGTCATTTTCGCGAACTGTCATCTCCGCGCCGAAGAGAGGGTGAGGCGTTTCACCGGAGTATAGCTGTCCAATGTCGAGCTATCCACTCTCGAGTCGTCATCGAGACGGTGATGAACCAGCTTTGCAGCGCACTCGTCTTGTAAAGCGACGTTTCTTGCTGTAGTGGAGCTGCTCAATAGCATTCGTCGAAAATCTGCGTGGAATTGAAAGAGTGGCTGTGCTGCAGTTTTCTTGGCAGCCCTCTTGATAGGATTGCAGCCCTTTCACCACAACTGGTTATTCGCTCAGATGGCAGGCTCATCTCTACGACGGTGATGATGATAGACACAGGATACCAAATCCACGGCATACAAGTTGATTATAGCCATATCCGTGGAGTGATCAGGAAAGCCATGTCGGACCGAGAAGCCATGCACCCGTGATTGTGGAAATGACACATCTAGCCGGACAGTCAGATTCTTTGAACAAATTCTATACGGATAGCGAGACCACAACCACCACCACCACCAATACTGCTCGATATGTAGCCTCAATGCATATACACGGTACACATCAATCAATATACCACCAAAAAAAAGCGCATTCTCAGTACTGAATATGAGACCAAGGCTATCTGCAAAGAAAGTAAATGTAATGGTTGAATTCTGCTGCCGGAATTGGAATTGAAATACACAATCACCGACATCAGTCACCAGCTTACGGTAAATACATACACATATACTCTGTAGATATTATAAAGTAGTCTTTTCATCGCCGTAAATTTTTTTTAAAGTATCCAGCAAGCAGTAGTCAAGGTTTAACTTTATTCAGGATTCTTGTTGAGTGAGTGAGTGGGCTTCCGGAATCCGGACAGATGGAATTTATTTATTTAATTTTCATTTCATTCATGTTCCACCTGACTTATTATTAACTTCCTATGAGTACAGTACTGTACATACATACACACCCAAACAAGAATTGAATTGAAAAATATTTCCTTTCCTCCTTTCTTTCTACCCATTTCCTTCTTTCTATCAATGACGCCTCCGGACTTACAAAAACCAGAATCTAATAACAACAACAATAATAATAATACCGGCGAACCGCCAACGCGTCTAGTCAGTCATTTTCAAGGACGGTGGGTGGGCACACACATCTATTTATTTATTATTTTTTTTTCTTTCTGTGCGAAGCTGACGACTACCAACCAGCCCAGTGGAGGGCCACGGCACAGCATGGTCTGAGCTGTGGGACACGGACAATAGCCATCTCTGGGATCGAGGGAAGCCATCTCCGGCACTGATCGATCTCATTGAGCAGCGGCAGCATGATCTCTTTCGTCCTCTGACTGCTGCTGATGGTAATGGTAATAAAGGGCGAAGGAAGAAAGTCCTCGTTCCGGTGTTCATCAACCTGATACGCATGCACATATTTTGTCTGTCTGACTGTGTGTATGTGTGTGATTGCTAATCCTATGACTGTTATGTATGCGTTGTATATATACAGGGCTGCGGACGGGGCTACGACGTCGTCATGCTCGCCCTTCACGGGTTCGACGCCTACGGCCTGGAGATATCCGCCACGGCGGTTGCGGCAGCTGAGAAATATGCCGCTGCGGAACTGCAGCAGCCGAAGGGATACAGTTATGGCGATGGCTATGACAGCAACCGCTCCTTGACAGTGACAGCGCCATGAAAGGCAACGTTTATTCAGGGCGATTTCTTCAAGGCGGACTGGGTGAGCAAGGCGCTGGGTGATGAAGATGATGATGAAGAAGCGAAGTTTGATGTCATATATGACTATACGGTGAGTTCTTCACACCCACAAATGCACACACACTTTTTATTGACTAATGACGGACTGACTACGACACAGTTTCTATGTGCCCTCCACCCAAGCCTGCGCCAGCAATGGGCAGCGCGAATGAGTGACCTCCTGCCCAGCGGCGGCCTGCTAGTCTGTCTCGAGTTCCCCATGTACAAAGACCCAACGCTTCCCGGTCCGCCGTGGGGCTTGAAGGGAGTGCACTGGGATCTGCTCTCGCGAGGCGGCGATGGGATTGCCAACATCGTCGGCATAGAATCTGAGTCGATGGGGGGTGGCGGGGGCACCGGCGGTGGTCAGTTCGAGAGGATCCTCTATGTGAAGCCGCGTCGGTCGTACGAACAGGGAAAGGGGATGGATATGTTGAGTGTGTGTGTTCGTAAATAGTTAACTGTCTGCATGTAGATAGTACAGTAATGTTCTCTCTGGCTGGCATGGTCCAGTCGATGATGGTCCCTGATTAAAATTACGTATCTATCAAAGTAGAAACACTTGCTAAACTGGGAATGGATATGGTATGCGCCAGCCAGTCTGCTGCTCAGACACGGTGCCAGGATCGATTTGCAGGGCTTTCGAAATTTCATGGCTGATGGGGAATCTTGCTTGCTTCTGTGAAGGTGCTGCTGGTAGAGTCGGTCCCGACCGCTGTGCATGAGGCTAGACTGGAAAGTTGGCATTGCGAAATCCTGGATCAGATTGCAACAACTATAAAAAAAAAAAAGTAGACATAAAAGCTCCTAGTTAACATAAGTACATTACATATGTAGATATGATTCCTTCGTTGCTGTATGTACAGTACACGTCAATCATGTGCAGGGTAAATACAAGCAAACTTCTATATCGTCCTTATTTACGAATCGAATAAAAGCTTATGAAAACGCGTACTTGCTCCTCTTCCGAATCACAGGCCCATACTTATAAAACACAAACGGAATCGGCACGAGCAGCGCGCTGAGCGATCCCATTATGGTCAGCGTGTACGCCACGCCCATGTTCTTGTAGAACGGGATCGAGACCTCGATCATCGCCCCCGACGCCACGTACCGGATCAGCGTGACGCTGGCGAGCGCGCTGGCCGCGTAGATCTCGTAGCTGTCGATGACGTACTGATAGCAGCTCATGAACACGCAGATGATCCCGAACCCGAACAGCACGGAGGCCAGCAGCGGCGACCACAGCGAGATCGACGGCCGCGCTGTCCACCCCATCCAGAACAACGAGATGGGGATCGACGGCGCCCCGAACATCGCCCAATACAGCCGCGACTCGGGCGCCACACGCGAGTGGCCCTGGGCCTGCGCGCGCGCAATGTCCCGCTGTCGCAGACGCATGTTGAACGGGATCAGGGCTGCGCTCGACATGATGCCCACTGCGATGCCCAGGAAGCAGACCCCCGTCATCCCCTGCGACAGGTGGTACGTGTCGGTGTAGATGAAGGTGTACCCCGTCAGGAAAGTGAACAGGACGATGTAGATGACGGTCAGATACAGCGCGACGAGCATGATGATCAGCTCTTGCGCCGTCATGATAAACGGCCGGTAGAGCGACCGTGCCAGCCGCCAGATCAGAGGCACCTTGCGGATCTCGATCGCCCCGCGATATCGCTCGTCGCCCGTCAGCCGCCGGAGATGTTCTGCCTTCCACTTGAGCAGGATCGGGCCGTACGTTTCCGGCTGGAAGAGCACGACGATGGTCAACACCACCCCCGAAAAGATGAGAGACACCCACTCGACCCAGCGCCAGCTGAGGACGCCAGTTTGGCCTATCCACGAGCCAGCGACGGGCCCGAGGAGAGGGCCCAGAAAGGACGCGCAGGCGAACATGGGGAAGGCGTAGACACGCTCCGCCGGCGTCCAGAGATCGGACAGCGAGCCCCCGGCGCAGACGAGCGGGGTCGCGCCGAACATGCCTGAGATGAAGCGACAGACGAGCAGCGTGCCAAAGTTGCGCGACAAACCTGCACCCATGAGGAACAGCATGTAGAAAACCAGAGTTGCGATGTAGATGGGATTCCGGCCCACCGTCTCGGAGAAAGGACCGCTTATCAAGGCTCCGATTCCAAAGCCGATCAAAAATATCCCTACAAGAGGATTAGTAAGATCACCACGTTAGCAAGGTCCAGTACAAGTCGAACGAACCAGTCGACAAAGACGCCGCGACATCGCTGACGCCAAACGCCGCGCTTATCTGGGGAATGGCGGCCGAGTCGATGGCGGACGCCCACCCGACAACACCACCGATCAGAGAGAGCACGAACGTCGCCGCAGCCCGGCGCGCAAAGCCCCAGTTGTGCGGATTCATCTTGTCTCTGTCGCCCTCGTACGACACGACGAAGACCTTGCCCAGAGCCGGGCCGCCTTCGTTGGTGGTCCGCTCACGAACTTCGATGCCCGTCAGAGCCAGCCCCAGCGTGGTGCCAGTCGTCTCGTGCGTTGTCATGGTGTCCAGGTCGGCACCACCTACCCCGTCAGGGACATCAGCACGCTCGAGGTCCTCTTCCAGAGAGGAAGACGATCTCGAAGAGACAGCATCGTCCTGTTGTTGCTGCTGCTGCTCCTGTTGCTCCTTCTCATCGACTGCTTCGCTATCTAATGGCGGAGACTCGCCGGACGCATTGTTGGCCTGTTGACGGCCCTGGCGCCTCTGACGGCGTTGCTCAGCCAGCTTCTCGGCATTCCGCTCCAGCTGAGCTTCCAGCTGCTTCCCAAAGCGCCGGTACTGGAGAAACGACTGCATGGTGAGAATCAGAAACCAGAACACAGATCAGCAGGAAATAGGAAGTAATTCGTCTCATTCAGTGATCCATCCATCCATTCATCCATTCCCGGTAACAATTAGATTAGATACGGAGTAGTGAAAGAAGAAGAAAAAGAAGAAAAGAAAAAAAAAGCAAGCAGATCCCGCGATAAGCACGAAAGAGACCGCCTCGAACAGGGAATTGCGTAAATGCTAATATATGCCCCACTGCGGATTGGCGGGCTTATTGCTAGTCGCGAGGACTAGATAGATGAGGATGTCATGTTATCATGATCGTCTGAAAAATGTGTACATACAGTACATACACATTATTGTACTGTACTGTCGTTCGTTCTAGAGATTGCATTGCATCGCTCTCCAATCCGACTGGACTAGCTAGCTAGTTAGTTATTGTCATTCGATTACCAGACTATGAATTCATCACTGTTGAATAATGAATTCACAGCATACCCTGTACAGTAAGTAGAATGGATGCAGAAATTCAGAATGGCCGCTGACTTGCTCGGACTTCTGTCCGGCCTCCACGGCGGGTGGGCCTGCCTAACGGAGACCCATCGCTCGGAAGGAACGTTGCCGGGAGGAAAGCTTGTTTGGTACTAACTCTTTGCCTCCGGACTCTCTCTTCATTTTCTCTTTTCAGTAGCTTGTAAGATATGATACGAACAAAGATGAACGTCACAGACATGGCATCAGATTGTCATTTTTAATTATTTCTTTAGTAGACAGCTGTATAAAACACTTCGTACTCTAGATCGTAAGTTGATCACGAACCATGGGTAGGGTTAGGTACGAAGAACAGCCCTATTAGTAATCATGCCGCACGGAGACCGCTTGCCGACTCGGCCGATCCCGATCGCCCAACTGGGCTAGTTGCCGACATGTCCTCTGCACCGCCACTATTGCACCAGCCACGAAGAGGCGTCAGCTGTCAGGACTCTTGCTGCATTATTTGATCTTTTGTCGCAATTAAACTAACTGCAATTTTACTACATGGAAACCCTGTGCCTAAAGACTATATTATATTGTCCACCGAATACTGTAGCAAGCATCAAATCGTAGAAAACATGTCAAGTTCAAGCGCATCAGGAAACAGTAAGACCTACATATGAAACTGGAGATAACGCCATAACCCAAGCGCACGCAAAAGAAAAGAAATGTAAAGTAAAAGCCAAGCATAACACATATAACCACTCAAACAACTCAAATCCACCCGCGTCATCATCCGTCACGAATCGTCCCGCGAATCAGTGTCTCGGACTCATCATCAGAGAATCATCAGAGTCATAGCCAAAATCATGGAAGGGGTTCTATTTACATGACGTAGAGAAGATTGGTATCTGACGCACGCGGTTAGCTCCTGCTCCGGCCCTACACGACAATACAATGGCGCTTACCAAGAGGGTGGCTGCAACTCAGCTGCGGTTTCTGGCTGTATTTCGTCGCTAGCTCGTCCCGGATGCTGTTCAGCAGCTGCACGTAGCTCTGCTGAGGATTCTTCTTCAGAGCCGTGATGAACGCCCACGACATCGCCCCCGTGGCTTCGCCGTTGATGTTCGCGTCCGCGCTGGTCTGCTCGTCTTTGCTTCCGGACCACATGATCACATCCGCCGGGCTCGTCTTGGTCTGCTTGGTCTTCTCGTATGCCTTGTCACCCTGCGTCGCCTTCTTGAGGAAGTCCATCGCGCTGGACACCATGCCGCCCATATCTCCACGTGCGTACGCGGACACAACGCCCAGCAGACCTTGACCAGCCTCCTTGGCCAAGTTGGGTTCCTTGAGGACACCCGACGTCGAGTAGATGTATGGGAGATCCAGAGCGGAGCCGGAGTGGCACGAGTCAAAAATGGCTGTCAGCCGAACGCCAGCCTGCAGCGGTTTGACCATGATGCGGTGCATTTCGTCGTCGGTAATGTGCCCTGCGACGCGGAAGTCCACCGGGTAAATGACTTCGTCGTATCCATCCTCCTCATCGCCGTCCAAGTCAGGAGTCTGGCCACCATGTCCTATAACACATCGCATTAGCACCGCGAGCAAGATCATCCCCTGGCAGCAATTCAGACCCACCTGAGTAGTGGAAGAAGAGAGAATCGTTGGGCTGAGCGTCCTTCACGAGCCAATGCATGGCGCGGAGGATGTTGGCCTTGGTCGGCTGGCTCATGGGGTTCTGCTGGTCGTCGGTGAGGATGACCATGTCCTCTCGAGCGTAGCCAAAGTTCTGGTTCAAATACGTCGACATATTCCGAACATCGTTGATGCAACCCCGCAGCTGCCCTTTTTGGCCAAAGTAGTTGATTCCAATCAGCAGAGCCTTTCTCTTGCCCGTACAGTTCGAGTACTGGAAACTGTATCCTTGTGGCGCTCCGTTCCCAAACGCCACGGGATGACTAGGCGGGGGAGGCGGGGCATTGGGGTTCCCTTGGGTGTACGCGTTGTTGTACACAGTCGGAACACCTAGATAGCGTCAGAAGGTTTCGATACTTTCGATCGCTCGTTTCAGCGATTGCGACAGACCTGATGATGGCCCGTTGTACGAGGGCCCTCCGTTGTGAGGCTGAGGAGAATGGGATGGCGGTGGATGGGGCGGTGGTGGTCCATAGCTGGGCCCCGGGGGAGGAGGGGGCGGGTGACGCTGCGAGAAAAAAAAAATGTGTCAGCTTCCTTGTTAGACACCTCCGCCAGGCATAGAGAAACGTACATTATATCCATCTTGGCCGTTGTAGGACTGGGGTGGCTGGTTTTGACCGTAGCCGTAGTGATTATTCGGGGGAGGAGGAGGAGAGTGATGATACTGCTGCTGGCCCTGGCCCGGGTAGCCTCCGTAGTTATGCTGTGGTGGTCTGTCAAAAGTCAGCACGAGGCAAGCGAAATTCAATCAGGTCAGGCTCACGGATACTGTTGAGGCGGCGGAGGGCCGTAGTTTGGCGGCGGGTATTGCGGCGGGGGATAAGCGCCGTACTGCGGCGGGCCAGAGTAGGGAGGATAGTATGACATTCCGGGAGGGTATCTGAGAAAAGAGAGGACTGTTCAGGGAGGGAATGGGAGCTGGTGGATGATAAAGGAGACCGTCTGATGGACGGGGTCAGACGGGGAGCAAAGAACGCGGGGTGAATCGAGAAAGAAGAACTAACAGTTGGTTAGTCTGGAGCGACGATCGGAAGCCGGCCACGGAACAGCCTAACTTAATACCGGCCAGCCGGACACGTCTAAGCCCTACCGGAGTATTAGATTACTCGATGTCGATGCAGCGAGCAGTTAATTAATATTAATAGCTGGCCTGGCCCATGGCTGGTTTCCCACGCGTTCCCCAGAGCAACCACTTACAGTCACCACACACGCAGAGGGACCAAAATAGATGAAGGCGCCCAAGAAAAAAAATTTCATTCTCTGCAGATCTGTCATCCCAATGGGAGGCAGTGAGCAGCAGTTAAGATGACAATCCCATGGAGGGAGGCAGTGTCATGCATGCAGATGCAGAGAGGGAAAAAAAATGTTTTCCTAAAGGATCTAACGGCGACGCCGACAGCCTGGTATTTGAAATTTTTCTCCCGAGCTACATACAGGGAACGCCAGTTCGGAGATGGAAGATCAATAGGAATCAACTATTAATTAATACCAGGGGGAAGTCGAGATCCGACGTTGCAGGGCTCTATTACCCAATTGCCAGCTTATGGCTTACATCCATGTCAGCCCTAGGCCAGAAGAACCGGGAGTCTTGATCCAGTAGGCAGGTAGAGCCAGGATCATCACTATTACTCAATATTACTACCTAATGCACTGCCATCACACTGTGGTTGTGGACAGCCAGCCACAGTGAGATTGTGCTGTCATTTTTTTCCTACTTTTTTTTCTTTCTCTGTCTCTCTCTCTCTTTTTTTTTCTTCTTCGCTCCTAGTCTACGGTGTAAAGACGTCATAGTATATTCCCTTGACTGATTGTGCATCAATCTCAATATTTTGAAGTCCTGACAATAATAGTAACAAAGGTATGGATGATGGATGGCATGCATGCTGTGCGGCCCGTCCGCGGAGACGCTCCCGAGTCCCGACTCCCAGCCCTTTGGTTCCCACAACATGACCAAGTATTACAAACCGATAAACTAAACACATCGACGTAGAATTACAGATTCGTTGCCTTTTTTTTTCTAACAATGCTGTGGCTTATAATCATGCCTGAATTATTGCCATTGGAATGATAAGCGACTCAGCGTGAAGCTAGGTATTTCATAGAATAGACAATGTATCCAGGTCTAGGTTATTATAATAGGCGATATTAAACGGCGCACTTCTCCATCTCACGTTATATAATAGTAGCACGCCAAGTCAAATATCCTCAGTGCGCCTGAAGAGAAAAGGATTCCGGGCTATCCTACCCGCCGTCAAACGATCCGCATCTATGGATGATTGCTACTTCAGTAATTTCTTTTCTTCTTACTTGCGATATAACATCTGTTGTGTTGGTAAACAACGTCTTGTCGTAGAAAGGTTTATTTAAACTATAAACACAAATTATATTGCAAAACCTTTCCTAGAGTACGAGCAATTACTTTTCGTAGACCTCTTGCGGTTTCGTTTTTATCCTTCCCCTTTCCTCTTCTTCTCTCTACCGTCTGGGAATGCCCCGGCCCCGACCGCGGAGAGTCCGCTGTGCGGCGTCCGGAGGAAGACCGCGTTTAGGAGCTTGTGGTTGCTGGGATTCTTCGTTCTCTGTGGAGAGTATCTCGGTTAGCAGAGCAAAAAGAAAAGAAAAGAAAAGAAAAGAACAAGGATAGAGAATACATACTTATCGTCTCGTCGACGCTCAGAATCAAGCAAGCAGCTTCGACTGCAGCCTGGATAGCATTGACCTTGACAAGACTGGGCTCCCAGACGAACGCCTCCATGTTGTCACGGACACCCTCGTGATCAAAGTCCACACCGGCCCACACGTTGCCCTTGCGGTGCTCAGTACGCAATCGGTTGAGGATGTCGGTAGCGTCGAAACCCGCGTTGTCGCACAGCTGACGCGGGATCACCTCCAGCGCCTTGGCAAAGGCCTTGACAATCGCTTGCTCCTTGTGCGGCACGTTGCGGTCCGCAAACCCGTGAAGATAGCTCGACAGTTCCATCTCGCAGGCACCGCCACCAGCCACGATCGTCGGATTGCGGATCGCACGCTTGACAATCATAATGGCATCGTGCAAGCTTCGCTCCACTTCCGCAATGAACTGTTCTGCTCCACCACGCAGGACGAGGGTACATGTCTTGGCGGCAGGGCAGTCCGAGAAGATGTTGAAACGCTCCCCACCAATTTGGCGCTCCTCGAAGTAACCGCAGGTTCCCAAGTGATACTCCTGAATGTCGGAGCACGTAGATTGGGTCGACGCACCGGTCGCTTGGCAAACACGTTCCAAATCTTCAGAGGCGACCCGACCAGCACAGAAGATGTCACGGTCTGCGAAGTACCTGTTCAGACAGTTAGCTGATGCTAAAAACGTCTCTTTCGTATGAGGAACAAGCATACTGTGTAGCCAAGTCTCCGATAGGCAGTTTGCTCAGCACCACCTTAGCGCCAGTCTTGTAAATGGCCTCCAGTTTGTTGTAGATGATCTGCCATTCTGCGTCCACGATGGCCTGGTATTCCGACACCTGGTCGACTCGAACCTCCGCATTGTCCTTCTCAGCCTTCAGCTCCAGCTCCACATTCAAGCAGACGATCTTCGGGTTCTTGAACGACTTGGGTTGCTGTTCGAAACCAGCGTAGGAGAACGTCTTCTTGAAGGCAACACCGTTCACGAACAGTGAATCCTGAAGAGCACCACCGTTGACTTTCTTGATGCCAATGAGTTTTTCGTTCAAGTCATCCTGATCAAGAGATAGTACAGCATCCACGACCACTTTGATTTGTCAGTATCTCCATTTGCCTTGTCTGGTTCGACAATAAGTGCCACTTACTCTTTGTGAAGAAATCCGCATTCCTCTTGATCAGCTTGCTGTTCATCGCCGTGCCAGCCAACCGTCTCAGTGTTTCAATCTTCTTTTCTTCGCTGCCCGCCGCCTCCAACATATCGACCGAGATTTCCTTGATCTTGTTGACAGCCATGGCGCTGGCCCTCCGAAGACCCTTGATGATTATCTGTGCACTGACTCCTTGTTCGACAGCATCGCGAACCTCTTTCAGAATCTCTCCGGCAAGGACAACCACGGATGTTGTTCCATCACCAACTTCAGCATCTTGTGAACGTGCAATATCGACCAGGATTCGGGCGGCGGGGTGGACGATATCGAGCAGCTGGAGACGATCAGCATTGATAAACGCATTAAACTGACACCATTTCGTAGAAAAGTACCTTCATTACAGTCGCCCCATCGTTTGTGATAGTTTGCTTGCCGCTGCTGTCGACGAGAAGCAGGTCACCGCCATACGGACCGAGCGTGCCCTTGACCGTAGACTGCACGGCAACACAAGCGTTGATGTTGGAGATAAGCTGCCCCTTTCCTTGCGAAGCATCCGTCCCTATACATCGCATAGACAAATCAGTAAGAGGTGCGTATGCCAAAGCGCCCGGTTGCCGCACGAACCCTCCTTCAACACGATGATCGTGGGTGCTTGGCCGGAGAAGGCCATAGTGGTGGGAAGAGAAATTTGTCAAGCGTCGGAATCGAAGAGGGAGAGAAGAGGAGGAAAAAATCGAATAGAGCAACCAAAAAAGACGCCCGCTCTGGAGGGAGTCGGTTGTTCTGTCCTGAAGAATCGCGGGGTTTGTCTCGACAGCTCGTTCTCGACCAAAATTTCCCTGGAGCTCCCGCGTTGGCTGTCGGCAAGGCACACAGCGCCAGCCAATCAGGTTTGCCGCCGCAGTACCCCTCGAATCTACCAGCATATACACCCATGCTTTCTTATTCAACACCGATTCAGGAAAATCTACAGATGGCTAGAGATTAATATATGATTCTACTGGGACATGAAATATATGTGTATATATACATGCAACTGCAGTATGACGGGAAGTCCTCAGTGCAACTCCAAGGCACAGCACACCGCCCTGATCCCATCTGGATTCCTCAAACGCCTGCAGTCCCTTTCAATTGAAATCCAACTCATCGTCCGATCGATCGACATATCTGGCGAGCATTTCTTGATCATGCTGTGGTTCGCTCAGCTGATGGTTCACCAAGCCTAGTGTATCCCGTCGTAACGCATCGGAGTCAGACTCGTCGTTCACCATCACTTGATAATCGTTGGGCGCATGTCCTCGTAACTCCTCGTCAAATTGTACGTGGGACAGCCCATGAGACTGATGCTCATATGGGTCTGCCATGGTTTGGTGATGTTGGAACCGAGGAAGATGCGGGTTAATGTCGATGATCTGGGGATCTAGAGGCATGTTGGCGTAGTCGGTCATGCAGTCCTCCGGGGCCTGCACCCCTGGCGCATGGGTTTGCGTAAACGGACTTTGGTGCGGGGGCGGCGCATCCGTCATCAAGTGATCGTTCGAGGGGACCACACCGTTCGAGGCTGACATATCAAGGCCATTATTATTGTTATTGTTAGTATTACTATTGGTGGTAGTGGTGGTGGCAGTGGTTGTGGTGCTGGTGCTGGTGCTGGTGCTGGTGGTGTTGTTGGTGTTGCTGCTGTTGCTGCTGCTGTTGTTATTGTTGCTGTTGCTGTTGCTGCTGCTGCTATTGTTGTTGCTGCTGCTGCTGCTGTTCTCCTTGGACTTGGACGACTCCTCAGCCTTGGAGCCGTTCAAAACAGGAGCCTTGGATGACTCTCTACATTGGGGACAGTCCCGGATGACCCGACTCACGGTCTCCTTGATCCTCACCCAATGATACTTGACCGCAATCGTGGCAGTGGTCTTGTTGATCCCGCCATGCTGCTGACAATGGACCCGGCGAGCGATCTCATATTGCTGCTGGGGATCAGAGACAACCTCCTTGTCCTTCAGCATCAGCTTCTCTGGTTCTCCATTTTGTCCTCCAACAAGCTTGTAGTGAGTGGCAGCACTTCTCAGCCGGCTCTTCTCCGCCCTATCAGCCCCTCGAGGGTACTTGGAATGCTTGAGATAGTATCTGATCTTGTCAAAACGCTCCTGCGTCACAGAATCCTCACCTTCCGGCCCCAGGTCTCGGCCGTAAATGATGGCATCGACCAGCTGGCCTGGATAAGAGCGCAGATTCCCGCAGCCGGGAACCTTACCGATACGCTTGAAACCCAGGGCATCCCAGATACGACACGACGCTACGTTATTCTCATACACCAGGTTGAACACTGAATAGGTGTAGCCCTGCGAGTTGTGTTAACCGTGATGTCCGACAGCCAGGAACAAAGCAGCACTGACTAGCTTGGGCGCCCATTCGAGATAGCCTTCTCCCATCAGCCTTCCCACACCCTTGTTTCGGGAAGCATCGGTGACGAGGAAGGTGCCATTGCAGACATGACTACTCCGCCCGGGATAGTTGGGCTTGATGTGAAAACTGCCCAGACATATCTTGGACCAGTCTACCCCATTTTTCTCCATGGCCTGCACATCCTCCACGCTCTTGATGTCACCCAAGAGCATGACGGCGCCGAAGTTGGAAAACCAGTACGGCCCAAACTCATGGAGGGGGATGGGATCAATCATGGGATAGGTATCTCCCTTCTCGATCTCCTTGTTCAGCTGGTCCGACAGGTAGCTCAGCAGGCCCTGTGGCACCTGGTCTGCGGACGAAAAGGGGACCAGCGTCGCGACGGTGACGCGGTCCCTCAGAGTAACCTGCCGCGGCGTGATGCTCGCCGGCAGCGGCTTCGGGCTGGGGATCACAGGGGCCGCTGGGTCTTCATGGGTGGCGGGCATCGTGCCCTGCCATCACCCGCGAGGCGGGTCACGGGACTGCTTGCCGTATTAGTCCAACATCCTAGAAGGTGCTATATAGGCACAGAATCTGCAGGAACGATGGCGCAGATACGGGGGCCATTGCGGAGGGCAGAGCGCAAAAACGGCAGGTCGACTACGGCCAAAGAGGAGGGCTCTGGGGTGGCATGGTGAAGGCAGACTTTACCAGGAGATGTTGGGTTGCGCTGGCGACACTAAAGCCAACTTTCGAGGCGACAAAGGGCTCGCTGGCCAGTCCAACGGCCGTTGGGATAGACGCAAAGCACTTCAAGGACCGCTCTGGGTATTCTCGAGACCGGAACAAAGAGAACGCAGCGGAGAAGTTGTCGTCCCGGGAGGTCGCGGCTGCTGAGTCATCGCGGATCATCGTTGCCCCGCTCCGCCCGCCTTATGTCATCGTCCATCCACGCGCGATGAATTCAGCGCGACGTAGGCAGTGCTGCCTGGAAGTCAGAGTATTGTCCTAGATAGCATCCATGTATGAGTGTTCTATAGAATCAATCAAGGGATTTACTCCTGTCTAGCCTGCACATTCCATCCATATACTCCGTACAGACTCTGTATCGAGATCAGTCTAGATTGAGAGCACATATAAATCACAGCACAATGCCAACCAGCCGGCCACAATACTATAAAAATACACTCCAGCCTGTTGAGATCAACCGAACAAACCTAAAACGAATCCTGAAAGAACTGCAGTTGGCAGTCAAACAGGGGACGGAGGTGGTGCGTGCCGGCTGCCCGTCTCCAGTGGACCCGTTCGACTATGGCAGCATCTACAGCGGCACTCCAGGTACAGTCCCATTATTACTGCCTGATATTCCACAAAAGAACTACTATTCTAAACATGTGCGAATCAACCCGCACCAGGCATCGCACTCTCATTCCTTCGACTGGAACGTCAGAAGGCATCTCTCGTAGACGACGAGCACCATGATGCCAGCCGGCTTCCTGACTTTGCCGGGCTTGCTCGTGAGAGAATAATCCCCACGCCCACCGACCTCAGGATCCCGCCAGGACGGATGTCGCCCATCGGATCGCCCTTGGGTCCAGTCGTCCTGCGGATCCTGGCTGCCTGTGAAGGCCACGGCAAGGCCGCCGACGGAAGTCTTTCCATCTCCAGAGACGATATCACCGCGCTCAATGAGGCTGTCCAGCGCTCACTCCAACACGGTCATGTGATCCCTTATAGGGACCGCGACATGGGCGGAGACGAAGTCCTCTACGGCCGTGCAGGACTGCTGTGGGCGATCCTGAATATCCGAAATCACGTCTTTGATCAGGACACCCGGGCGGCACTGAGACCCATCTTTGAGGCCGTTCCGAAGCTCGTCGATGCCATTGTCGAGGCGGGCAAGCAGGGAGCGCGGGATTTTGTAAAACGCTATGGTGCAAAAGACGCATTTCCGCTGATGTGGCCATGGATGGATGAATATTGCGGACTGGGAGCGTAAGTTTATCCGTTCTTGTCGAGATTGGATCTCTTCTTGGAATTGAATTATTGACTGGACTGAAAACCGGAGTACAGTGTCCACGGAATCGGTAAGTAGTAATAGGAGATCTGGGCTTTTGATCAATTCATACAGCCTCCCCTTGTGCCACGTTTCATGCGCTAATGTTTTATCTAGCCGGCATCCTCACCGTCCTCCTGGCGTGCGAGCTGGAGGAACTAGAGGATGGGGAGTCCCGGAACTACCTGCCCCTGATAGCAGGGACCATCACGAGCCTCTGCAAGATCTGCATCGCCAATGACGGACACATACCCACCGCGATCCCTCCACGTCCGAGCTCACGATCTTCCCCCCTCGTCCAGATCTGCCATGGGGCCCCGGGACTGCTGGTGCTACTAGCCACAGCCAGGAGAGACTCCCGTCTGACATCCAAGTTCTGGCAGCCTGAATGGGACGAGGCCATCCGTCTCGGAACGGAGAAGGTCTGGCAGGAAGGGCTCCTGTCGAAAGGGGGAAGCCTCTGCCACGGGCTTACCGGCAACGCGTGGCCCCTGCTCATGTTGCATGACTGCTTCGAGTATGATGTCGAGGACATGAAGAAGGCCAAGCAAGCCTATCGGGAGAGAGTATCGGAGCGTGCTGGAAGACACCCTACAGGGGAGGAGGAATCATTGTCCAGCGACTACTTCCTCTCTCGGGCACTGGCCTTCATGCTTCTGGCGCGAGAAAGCCCACCCTACAGCACAGCGTTAGGTTCCAAGACTTCTTATGACTTCCGCATGCCGGACCGGCCGTACAGTCTCTACGAAGGCCTTGCAGGCGAACTCTGTGCGTGGGCAGAGGCATGCGTTGTCATCAAGGCTCGGCTGCGGAAGATGGAGCTTGAGGATGAGAAAGGGTCGTCCGTGGATATCAACGAGGATGACATTTTCGGAGAGTACATGTTGCAGCAATTGGGGTTCCCAGGGCTGGGAGGAAATGGGCCGAGAGGGCTCCTTTGAAGCCGTGTGTGTATACACACTTCAGGCAGACTTCGGCTAAGGCGCTGTGTAATGAGAGAGAATGTAAATCAATATAAATCGTTACTCCATCATACAACATGGCAAACGTCAAATCGTCCAACCTGCGTGATCAATAATTCATACAGTATGCGCTGCATGAGTTAGTTCTTCTTGTAGAAGCAGTATATACCAGAAATACTTCCCTGTTACCAAATATAACTCGATCGCACTTACTGCTCCGGGAAATCTCGGCGCACCTTCCCGCCTGCTGCAACGACCGCGGGGTGACGAGCGTGATTGGCCAATCTCGAGCCTTCAATCACAAGACAAAATCGCCCAGCCGCACCGGCGCGGACAACTGTCGAGAAAAAGATCGTCGTGGGAGTTACTTAAGTGTTCTTCCTCCGTGGTCCTCGTCCTGTTGAGCATGGCCGAAGATCACCGGAAATCAAACCATGTAGAGGGACAAACAATAGCCCATCATGGAAGCGATTCCCCCGTCATATGAACTGGCCACTGTGAGAGACGCCTGGTCCATCATCGCTCATTATATCCCTTCCGCCGATCTCTGCGCGGCATCGCTGGTGAGTCGGCGATGGCATCAAATCTTTGCCCCGTTCCTCTGGGGTGACCCTGCATCCCATTTTGGAACGGATAACGACGCGGTATATGGTGAGACAATCCAACATGTCTCTCCTCTATAGCGCTTTCCCACTAGCTGACCATGAACGAGTTGCTCTCACTCGGTTCAGACGGACGCTGAAACGAGCCCGACTTGAGGTCCGCAGTCTCACTCATACCCTCCATCTTCCTCCTGCCTTGTCGGAGATCTATGGTGGCCCTCGACCGGAATGGCTGCGAGACATTCTGGACTACCTGCCATGTCTCCAGTCGCTGATGGTCTCGAGCCTGCCATTCTTTGACCACAACGCTACCATGGCTCTCAGGACTCCCTCGAATCCGGCGCAGGTCCAAGAGTACCGGCCGTATAATCTTCGCTTGCTCCTGGCAGAAAGGGAGCCGAATACCACGTCCGTTGGAATCGCACACGCCCTGTCACGATTCCCAGCATTAATGTATCTCGATCTATCGTACACGTCCTCTGCCAGAGATCGTATTGTCTTGTCCACATTATCCGAGCTGCATGAGCTTCAGGTTCTGAAGCTTCGAGGTATCGGTCTGAAGGACGCAGATGCTGAATTTCTGGCAAACGCAATCGGGACACGAGTACGGTTTTTGGATCTGCGCAATAATTTGCTTACCGATATGGCCGTTAGATCATTGTTGCAGGCTTGTTTTATGTCGCCAGGAGCGCTACCGAGCCAGGTGAGCATGGCACGCGGTGGTTCATCCTTAGGCGCCTATACTGCAGACATTCTGAGACGGCCGGATCTGGATGAGATATTCCTAGAGCTACTCACCCGTCCTCTGACAGGCCGTTCGGTGTTGGAGAACTTGCCCCATGTGGGAATAACCCACCTGTGTATTTCCGATAACAAACTGACCGTCGAGGGTGTCGCCAGTCTGTTGGCTTCCAAGAGGCTGCACTTAATCGATGCGGGGACGGTTGACACTGCCAAATCCCTGAGACAAGGCCAGCATGCCTTGTCACCAGATAGCCCGGTAGATAGCACGGGGATATTCCCGGGGGCAGAGAAGCTGGTACCCATTCTCGGCACCTCCGCCAAGGACAATCTCACCTATCTCAGGGTCCATCACGCAGTTGTCACTAAAGATGCGCCAACCAAGGATCATATATCGTCAAATGACCTCCTCCCCGAACTTCCGGGAGATATGGAGCGGGTCCAGCTCGAAGACACTCAGTTGCGTTCGGAGCTCGATCCTGCGAACGAGATATTTGAATTGCCATCGGAGAGAGAGCCCATATTTGAACTTGCAGATACCTCAGTATCACGATCCGATGTCTCCTCTCCACCGCCGCCCACAGCAAAAAACGTCACGTGTACTTATGAGGATGAGCCACTGCCGGTGCGACGAGGCCCGGCCTTCGCACCTGAGGTGTTAGACTGCACGCGGTCGCCAGATGTAGAGCCTGTCACCTTAAATGATAGAGGATCAGGGCTATTGCAATCGCAGCCTTCACGGGCAGCTGCACCTGCTGAGAGCAGTCTGCCAGCGTCCATATCAAACCCCCGGGCTAAGAAGATACAAGAGTTGTTGGCGAAGAGGCCTAAAAACAACACCCTCCCACTTCGGCATGGAGATGCAGCGTACCCGTACCTTCACCCTTCTCATATTCCCCATGTGGAGACATTTGTTCTGACGGATGTCCCGTCGCATGTCCCAGCTGACTCTCCAATTATCTCATCTCTGATCCGCTTCATCACTGCATGCTCGGATGAAGCATTGTTGGCAAATCTTCAGGCCCGAGCAGACTACTCTCTTCCCCCTGGTCGAGATCGAAAGCGGGCGGAGCAGGAGCATGCGAGGTCTCTCTTTGCTCTTAAACGTCTTGTTCTCGAAATCACGCCTGTGTCTAAGAAAAGCGAGCCGACAAAGCCCAGTCCCTGGAGACCACAGCGTTACGAGCATGTGGCATCAATGTCTGCAACCGGAGATCCCGATTCCGAGCGGTTGTGGTCGGCAGCCATGGATGACTTTAGCTTCTTTGGCAACGAGGAATGCGGCGTTCCAGACGATGACATGGGCAAAGATTTCCCCATGACATTTCTTAATGAGAAAGTGCGTCTGATGCCTGAAGATAATGACTCTACGCACTCGGGGCCGTCGGAGCTGGAGACACCCCTGTCCCCCAATCTAAGACAACCAAGCCCGCGCCTTGCTCAGCACCAGCGTCCATCTCGACCTAGCTCTATCCATTTTTCACCGACAACAATGAGTGCTGGTCATAATCAATCTTCACCGTCGCCTCAGTCGACGAATTATATGAGCGGCAACAGGGATCAAGCAGTTACCCCGGAGGCGCCTGAAGTTGACCTGGTGGCCACGTTAGCAGCCTTTCGACGCAAGAAGAAAGCCGAGTTCAAGGAGCTCGTGAGAATAGATCGAGAACGGAGGATTGCCGCGGCTCAAGCAGCACAATCATCTTCCCCGTCCCCGTCACCATCAATATCATCGTCCTCGGAAAAAGTCAGGTCCTCGTCTCAGTCACCGAGAGACCCTATTCCCCCTTCTTCCTCGATACCATTGCACGTTGAAGGGCATTGGAAAGGCGAGGTGAAAGTGGTTCGGAATGCCACCCCTAAGGGTAGAAGCGGCGTGGTGGATCTGTATGGAAACTACTTTGAGAAAGGCTATCTCTATCCGTGACGCCTCCGGCGATATATATCATCTATCTTATATACCATTCTTGATATCGTATATAGATTCGCGATTTAGCGGTTCCAATCTACATGTTGTTGCATTCAATTTACCTTAGTCCGATCTAGTCAGCCGGCGAGCCGCGCGTGCAGACTGAACATTAGTCCGTACCCTTCTTAATCTGTAAAGCGATGGCGAGGACCAGACATAGGCAGGTAGATAATTTCTGAATTTTTTTTTAAAAAAAAAAGAATATAGAGCCTTCTCATGAAGTATTCTTTCGACTCATTACGAGGCTTTTTTATCCTTGCTTTTCCCCAAGTCATCTCTATTGTCTTCTTGTTTTCTCGTTTCTCGATTTTGTTTGGATTTTCATTGCATATCCTGGCCTAGCCTAGCCATTTGTCCAGGCGGCATGCTATGTGTATGAGAGAGGAAGGGAACATTCCTCTTTATCTCTTTTGCCTTTTTGTTTCGCCCATTTATTTCCCTTTTTGTCATTTATTTTATTGCGCTCCTCTGATAGCCGACATCTCCATGAAAGAACCCATCATCATTGGAAGGATAATAAGAAAAAAAGAAACCTCTCGGACAGCGGCAACCAAGCACATTAAAACATAAAGAAAAGAAAGGGAGCTTTTTTGAATTGGACACCCTCACTTCCTTTAAGCCGTCTTGGCGGCCTGCTGGGGGGTAATCTTCTTGCCATCCTTGTTGTACCTGATACGGGGCGGCGGAGCACGGTTACGACGACCCTCCCGGGAGCGGACACTGTGAAAAGAGGAAAAAACAATCCGTCAGCATGGCATTGTCCTGGACTTGACTGAGACAAGACGACAATCGCGACTGAGACAAAGTATATAGGAAAGCCAGTGCATACCGGACAATCTTGCCGTGGATAGCGCAGGAGACGCAGTACTGCAGCTTCAGGTACATCTTCGGGACGGCGTAGTCGGCGAAGACGGAGGCATCAGAGATATCACCTGGAAAAACAACAATCACGAATTAGCCTCATTCCCGTTTATTTCTCGAGCCTTGTTTTCCCCCATCCCGGGTTCTCGATCGAAATCGATCTTCGTGTTCATATCCAGGTGTAGCGGTGAGACATACGGATGGCAGCGGACTCGACCATGTTACGGATGGTGAATCTCTTGATCGCCTTGTCCTTGGGCGTGCATCGCGCGCAGTTGGAGCAACGGATGGGCTTGACGTGGCCGCGGCCCTTCTTGTTACGTCCGCTGTGGAAAACGCATCGCGGTCAGCATTTTTTTTTTCATTTCCTTCGCTGGAGCGCACAACGATGTTTGGAGTGCAGCCAAGGCGCATATATCGAATAATCAATCGTTCCGCGGAAACGATCTCCGGTTCGCGGACAGCTGCAATTCAGAGGAAAAAGGTGGTCTTACTTGTTCGCCCGCTTCTTAGGCATCTTGACGGTGTTGTTCTGCGACCGGTCAGACAAGGAAGGAAGTCTCTGGAGAGAGGTTGTCGCGGCCTTCCAATGCTGTCGATGTCGGAGGTGGATGGTCGAAGGCTCGCCGGGAGGCGCTTTGTGGGCGGAAGCCCTAGACCTTAAGCGAGGGGCCAGTCACGGGACGTTTCCACCGTGTTTCTGCCTCAGGCGGCAAGGGCGCCATCACGTGGTGCAGCCAAGAACCGCTGGCGTCAGGTGACTGTGGATCCTCGGCCTAGCGTCGCCTGCGGCCGGAGCCTGAACGCCCACGGCACTGCAACCCCGTCCGTTCTACCCAAGGTTCCGGTTTCCCAGGGATTGTTTATCCCGCGACCGCTCCTCCAACCCAGTGTCTCACCATCCCTTGGCTCGTGCTTTGTGAGCCTGTCCGTTTTCTTTCCCCATTTCCTGCCATTCAAGCTCTCTTCCCTTTCTCCCCATGTCGTCTGGTGGCACGTTTCGGGGCAATCCCAACAAGACCATTGGGAGAGGCAAGATGCCGGATTTCGACTACAACCCGTCCACCTCTCACATCCCCCGTCCCAAAGATGCCTCGCATCAAAGCGATGTTGGTAGCAGCACGGCTGCCAGTAGACAAAGGCAGAACCAGTCGAAGCGCGATGAGGTAAAAAAACCGCCCGCCCGTCGGATGGGCGCTCTGATTTATCTCCGATAATGACGGAGCGCCTTCTTTGTCCTATGGCTACGTCCATCTCGTCGTTGGTTTTGAGCTAATATTCTCTTGTTTTGGACAATCAGGCCATTAGGAGAAAAATGGAGGCGGATCTCAGCAAGAAGAGGCACACTGTCCAACGGACCCGGCACACTCGCAAGGCTCCTCCGGGGACAGTGCTGGCTTTGAAACCCAGCCAGGCCCTCCAGATCAAGCCCAACACGACGGTGGCAGAGGCGGCTCAATTGATGGCTGCCAAAAGGGAGGACTGCGTACTGGTAACTGACGATGATGACCGCATTTCCGGTATCTTCACGGCCAAGGACCTGGCATTCCGTGTCGTGGGTGCCGGTCTCAGGGCTCGCGAAGTCACTGTTGCCGAAATCATGACCCCGAATCCTCTGTGTGCTCGAACGGACACCAGCGCTACTGATGCCCTCGATCTGATGGTCCGGAAAGGTTTCCGACACCTTCCGGTCATGGATGAAAACCAGGATATCTCGGGTATCCTGGATATCACCAAATGCTTCTACGACGCAATGGAGAAGCTCGAGCGGGCATACAGCTCGTCCCGGAAGTTATACGATGCTTTGGAAGGTGTGCAGTCCGAGCTCGGACAGAGCCAGCCCCAGCAAATCATTCAGTATGTCGAGGCTCTGCGTCAGAAGATGTCGGGACCGACTCTCGAGTCTGTCTTGGACGGCTTGCCTCCGACTACCGTCTCGGTTCGCACTTCGGTGAAGGATGCGGCTGCTTTGATGAAGGAGCACCACACCACTGCTCTGCTCGTTCAGGACCAGGGCTCGATTACCGGCATCTTCACCAGCAAGGACGTCGTTTTGCGGGTCATCGCTCCTGGCCTGGACCCCGCAACCTGCAGCGTCGTCCGCGTGATGACCCCTCACCCTGACTTTGCTCCAACTGACATGAGTATCCAGGCCGCTCTTCGCAAGATGCATGGTGAGCGCAACTCGTCTTGTGGAGGAGGCCCCCTTGCTAATTTAATGGAACAGACGGCCATTATCTCAACCTGCCCGTCATGAACGAGGCTGGTGAAATCGTAGGCATGGTCGATGTGCTCAAACTCACCTATGCCACTCTCGAGCAGGTCCGTATATTCGTTGTTTGCTACAAGACGGATCGTCGTAATCGCTGACGGTTGCATTGTACAACAGATTAATTCCATGAACAGCCAGGATGATGAGGGCCCTGCGTGGAACAAATTTTGGCTGTCGATGGACCACGAGTCCGATTCGATGGTCTCTGGTGGCAACAGCCATCGCCCACACACTCCTCATCACTCCGTCCTTAGCCCCGACCACTCGAAGCCTGGCTACGAGAGAGGGGACAGCGTCCTTCCGAATGAGTCCGCCTCCCATATCGGGGATGAAGCCCATTCCGAGTTGTCACATCTCCACGAAGAAAACACTCCATTCCCTTTCAAGTTCAAGGCCCCTAGCGGCCGTGTCCACAGAGTGAACATCCTTCCCGCTAGCGGTATCGCAGAGCTTGTCTCCAGCGTCACCGCTAAACTTGGACCGGAAGTTGAGGCTGTTGGTGGAGCGCCGACCGTTGAGGATGGCAAGCTCAGCAACACGGGCTACGCACTCAGCTATCTGGACAACGAAGGCGATACGGTTTCTATCACGACCGACCAAGATCTGGCAGATGCAGTCAGCCAGGCAAGGAGGCTGCACCATGACAAGGTCGACCTGTTCGTTCATGACCCAGCCCATCCACCGGTCCCGCCCACGGTTGAGCCGCAGCCCGCTCCGGCCAAAACAGCTGCTTCTCCCGAGTCGGAGCTGAGGGAGAGGGTTCATACGGCCGTTGAGCCTCATGAGCCCGAAGAGTACCCCAGAGCGACCAAAGAGAGAAGCCCCACCGTCACTCACCGTCCACAGGAAGAACAACTTATTGCAGGAGTACCGAACGAGCTTTTGCTCCCTGGTGCCATCGTGACCCTGGCGGCAGTTATTGTTGGGGTCTTTATCCTCAGCCGCTCCAGCAGCAGGTGATCACCGAGATCTCCAGACGTATAACCTAAGATGTTCTTTTTCTTTTCTTCTTATTGCCCTTCCCTCGCGCGGGATTCTATCTTGAGAATGTCCCCGACGACCCGCGCATACACTGTCTTGCGTCGTAGTCTTATCCTAATACCAATTCCCCTCTGCCCTATTCCGAATCGCCCTTCGCTCTTTGCCGTCGTGATTCCTAGAGTTTCATTTTAGAGATAACTAATTTATAGCTCTGATTCAGTGGACATATATTATTATATTCTAAGGCGAGTGTCGCGCAGAAGGGCTGTAATATTAATTGTCGATTGTCGATCGTGCTCCTAAATAATCTCGTTCCGCGGCATCACGCCCCCGCCCGTTCTAGTCTAGCGCGTCGTGTCGGCCGCGCCGAAAACCAAACAGCCAAAACACGTAATTTTTGGTTTTGGCTTCACATCCCACCTTTCTCGCTGCACTGTCTCGCGGTGTGGACACCTCCACGCCTTCGTCCTCCTTGAGTCTCCGGAACGCCCTTCTCCCCGGCTGGGATGCAGATCCTGCATCTGAGCTGCATCCTTGATTGAAAGATCCAGCACTTCGAGGCCATTACAGACCCTGCAACCGTACGAAGCGTCCCACCCCCGCCTAAACGAAAAAAAAAGACACCAAGACTCACCCCTCACCGTCAGAGAGATCCTGCACTTATTGACCAATTCTTCCGCAAGCGTCACCAACTCCAAGAGAGTTTTCTAACCGGCACACCGCAGCAAAATGTCATTGCTGCCACCAGAAGTCCATTCTGCGCTCTCTCAGCTGCTTCGGGCGCTGACCACGCCCGACAACGCGGTTCGGTCGCAGGCGGAGGACCAGCTGAACAATGATTGGGTTCAGAATCGTCCAGATGTCCTTCTTATGGGATTGGCGGAGCAGATCCAAGGTGCTGAGGATGCCGGAGTAAGCGCTTTCACGGCCCTTTTTTTACGAACCTCGAATGCCTGAATGGTGGTGGAGGAGGTTACAAGGTGGATGCTGACGGGGACTCCTCTTTCGCATACAGACGCGATCATTCTCCGCGGTTCTTTTCCGAAGGATAGCCACAAAGACAATCAAAGACCCGCGCACGAACGAAACCAAGGAGGTGTTTTCCAGTCTTAATCCAGATCAGCGGGTTGCCATCAGAGAAAAGCTCGTGTCCTGCTTGAGCAGCGAGTCGCTCGCTGATGTGAGGAACAAAATCGGAGACGCCATTGCAGAAGTTGCACGGCAATACACTGACAACGGTACGCCGCCGCGTCCGAAAAAAACCCTCGGCGTGATTGCTGATGTGTGTGATCTCTTCAGGGGAGCAATGGCCCGAACTCCTTGGGGTTCTTTTCCAGGCTAGCCAGTCTCCCGAGGCAGGTCTGCGAGAAGCGGCGTTCCGCATCTTCGCGACGACTCCTGGAATTATCGAAAGGCAGCATGAAGAGGCCGTTAGCGGTGTCTTTACCCAGGGTTTTAGAGACAGCAACGTTGCTGTAAGTCCTTCGAAATATACAGCCTTTGGCTGAGAGAGGATGATCTTTTGTTTTTTTTTCTGACCAGACCACGCAACACTTCAGGTACGAATCGCGGCCATGGAGGCGTTCGCCGCGTTGTTCCGCTCTATCCCCAAGAAGTCCCAACCCAAGTTCTTCTCTCTGATTCCCGATGTCCTCAACATTCTGCCGCCGCTCAAGGATTCCGATGAGAGTGAGGAGCTTTCAAAGGCCTTTGTCTCCCTGATTGAGCTCGCGGAGATTTCGCCCAAGATGTTCAAGGGCCTCTTCAATAATCTGGTCAAGTTCAGCATCAGTGTCATTGCGGACAAGGACCTTAGTGATCAGGTCCGACAAAATGCCTTGGAACTGATGGCAACCTTTGCCGACTATGCGCCAAACATGTGCAAAAAGGATCCCAACTACGCCCAAGAGATGGTCACTCAATGTCTGAGCTTGATGACGGACGTTGGCATCGACGATGAGGATGCCTCTGAATGGAATGCTTCCGAGGATGTGAGTCTTCACCCTGCTGCATACCGCCATGGATTTATCTGACAACTCTACACTAGCTTGACCTCGAGGAAAGCGATCTCAACCACGTTGCAGGCGAGCAAGCTATGGATCGTCTGGCCAACAAGCTCGGCGGCCAAGTGATCCTTCCTGCGACATTCGCTTGGATTCCACGAATGATGTCGTCTTCTGCTTGGCGCGATCGTCATGCCGCGCTTATGGCCATCTCCGCCATCTCTGAGGGTTGCCGTGATCTCATGGTCGGTGAGCTTGACCAGGTGCTGGCTCTTGTAGTCCCCGCCCTCCAAGATCCTCACCCACGGGTGCGCTACGCTGGATGCAATGCTCTCGGCCAGATGAGCACCGATTTCGCCGGTACGATGCAAGAGAAGTACCATGCAGTGGTGCTGAACAACATCATCCCTGTCCTCGACGCCCCGGAGCCTAGGGTTCAGGCCCATGCCGCCGCTGCTCTGGTCAACTTCTGCGAAGAAGCAGAAAGGCACATCCTCGAACCGTACCTTGCGGAGCTGCTGAGACATCTCCTCCAGCTTTTGCGAAGCCCGAAGCGCTTTGTCCAGGAGCAGGCTCTCTCCACCATTGCCACCATTGCAGACTCTGCGGAGACCGCGTTCGGCCAGTACTATGATACCCTGATGCCTCTGTTGTTTAATGTCTTGAAGGAGGAGCAGTCCAAGGAATACCGACTACTGCGCGCAAAGGCGATGGAGTGCGCCACCTTGATCGCACTGGCAGTTGGGAAGGAGAAGATGGGGCAAGATGCGATGAATCTGGTTCATCTTCTCGGAAACATTCAACAAAACATTGTCGATGCGGACGATCCTCAGTCGCAGTACCTTCTCCACTGCTGGGGCCGTATGTGTCGTGTCCTTGGCCAGGACTTTGTTCCCTACCTTCCGGGCGTTATGCCACCTCTTCTGACGGTGGCTTCCGCTAAAGCTGATATCCAACTATTGGAAGACGAGGATCAGGTCGACCAGGTTGATCAGGACGAAGGCTGGGAACTTGTCCCGCTCCGAGGCAAGCTCATCGGAATTAAGACCAGCACTCTTGAAGATAAGAACACGGCCATCGAGCTCATCACGGTCTATGCTCAGATCTTGGAGGCTTCGTTCGAGCCGTATGTTGCTGAGACGATGGAGAAAATTGCTATTCCCGGTCTCGCCTTCTTTTTCCATGACCCGGTCCGAGTGTCATCTGCGAAGCTGATCCCCCACCTCCTGAATTCCTACAAGAAAGCTCATGGCGCTCAATCTCCGGGCTTCGCTGAGATGTGGAACAAGGTGGCCGAGAGGATTATTGAAGTCCTGAGCGCCGAGCCTAACATCGACACCCTTGCGGAGATGTTCCAGTGCTTCTACGAGTCGGTGGAGGTTGTCGGAAAGAACTGCCTTACCCAGGAACACATGCAAGCCTTTATCGAGTCTGTCAAATCCACCCTCGAAGACTACCAGAACCGGGTGAAGGCGCGCCTTGAGGACCAGGCCGAGGCGGAGGACGGTGAGGAGGACAACCTCGAGTATGAGTTTGCAGTGGAGGACGACCAGACTCTGCTCAGTGACATGAACAAGGCGTTCCACACCATCTTCAAAAACCAGGGTTCGTCGTTCTTGCCGGCATGGCAGCGTCTTCTCCCGATATACGATGCATTTATCAACAGTGACGACCCCACGCAGCGCCAGTGGGCAACCTGCATCATGGACGACGTGCTTGAGTTCTGCGGCGAGGACTCGTGGGCATACAAGGACCACATCCTGCAGCCGCTGGCGAACGGATTGCAGGATGCCAATGCCGCGAACCGGCAGGCTGCGGCGTACGGCGTTGGTGTTGCGGCGCAAAAGGGCGGTCCGCTCTGGAGCGAGTTTGTTGCCGCCAGCATTCCAAGTCTGTTCCAGGTGACGCAACATCCGCAGGCGAGATCGGAGGAGCATGTGTTTGCAACGGAGAATGCGTCCGCCAGTATTGCCAAGATCCTGCATTTCAACTCGTCGAAGGTGCAGAACCCTCAGGAGGTGGTGGCGAACTGGATCAACACTCTGCCCATCACCAACGACGAGGAGGCAGCACCATACGCATATTCTTTCCTTGCTCAGCTGATCGATCAGTGAGTGTGACCTGTAGTCTTGCGCGTGCTGTATATGAGACTAACGTTGATGTGTTAGGCAAAACCCGGCCGTCTTCTCCAATGCCGATAAAGTCTTTGGTTATATCGTTCAGGCACTCGATGCCGAGACCCTGCAGGGCAACACGGCCAAGAAGGTGGCAGAGTCCGCGAAGAGACTTGTAGGGGCGACCGGTCTCGACGCGGAGCGGATTTTGGCGGGCGTGAACCCGGACAACCAGATGACTGTACGGAGCTATTTTCAGTGAAAGCGAAAGCAAAATGCGAAATATAGGGATTTGATGAATTTGTTATTTTCCATGTCATTACCCCTGTCACTTTTTTTGATTCCAAATCTCAATTATTCCCCTCACACCCTTTTTTTTTGTCCCCTTTTGCCCAGTTTTGTCTTCCCCGAATATATCAACAAACCTTCAACATTCAATAAATAAACCCATTTGGACAAAGGGAAGGAAAGGAAGAAAACATACGTATTACTGGGGTAGTGGGAACCAAACCAAACGTTCGAACAAATCAATGAATGAAACGAATGGGTTGATTTATTGATTGATGCTTGCTTTCTTGCTTGCTTGATTGATTGATTGAATTGAACTGAATTGACTGATTGATTGAATCGAATTGAGAATCGAATCGAGTTGAATTGATTATTAACACTGAGTGACTGCCTGACTGATGGACAAATGCATGGGAAGTGAGTACTTACTTATATTACCTTATTTCTTATCTCTTAACTTCTTGCCTATATGTGCTGTTCCGTGCTGTGCCATGCTCTGCTGTGCGCTTTGCTTTCTAAATTAATTAAAAAGAAGAGCGCTATTATTGTTTTTTCTTTTCGGGCCATCGATTTCAACCCCCGGCTCTTTTTTTTTGCCTTAGAGGAGACAGATGATTTTTGTTGTTGTTTTTTTTTTTGCTTTTGAAATCATATAATAAATGATCGATCGATCGATTGATTGAGAAATCAAGAATTTTTTTTTTAAAAAAAAAGCCCCCAATCAGTAGGGGTTTCGTAGCCTTTGCTGGCTGATGAGCTGTGTATGTGATCGTCAACCATTGTATCGTACACTCCGTATCTATCTCTCTATATATACATACATACATGAACGTAAAAATAAACATAAGATATGTAATATACATACAATATGGGTATATCTGTGTGAACTGAACTGTATATGTAATGAAGGAAGGTCTAGACCAGGATCAGGATCAGATTGGTTACGATCCCGATCCCGACCCTGACCCTGATTGAGGGAGGATGGCCCCAACATCGAACAGTTGCAACTCTTCGGCTTCGGACTCGTTGTACTGAGAAGCTTGCGATTTGCCGTTTCTGCTGATGCTGTCGTTGTTATTGTTATTGTTACACGTATTGTGGTTGTTGTCTTGGTTAACGTCTTCGTTCGCGTCCTCGAATTCGATAATGACGTCTTTCGTCTGCCAGATACAGATGGGCCCGGATGCCATGATAGGATGGTCTCCTCCGACGTTGACAGGGATTCGTGGTGGTTGTGCGGATCCTCCCTGGCTAGAATTGCCGTCGTCTCGCATGCTGGCTCGGGAAGTCCTACCACTGGGCGGTGTCGATGACAGAACGGACAGAGGCACCGAAGGCGGCACTGGACCGCCCCCTGAGATGACCGTCCGGTACGTCATGCGCGGGGACCGCGGTGGAAGAAAGTCCGGGGTGTCCGCCCTGGACGTGAGGTTGGTGTCTTCCGAGGGGCATCGACCCCACTGCCTGCTGGATAGCCGCGACAGCGACGTCAAGGAAATGTCGCCGCTTGGACGGCGAGACCGACGAGACCGAGACCGGCGCGGGAGGCTATAGATGCTGCGTTGTCGTCGTGGTTGATGATGATGATGATGATAGTTGTTGTTGGTGGCTGTCGTTCCGGATAAGGAAGTATAGTTTGGAGTCAGAATGGTGGTATTTGAGGAAAGCTGAGAGTCTTTGGCTCCAGATCTGGAGTTGCTCCACAAGGATAGATACTTGGAGAGCCTTGTTGGTGGCAGCGAAGAACGTTCTACGTCCCTGCGAGCCCTGCGTCTATGCTGGTATTTAGACTCTGCGTATTTCTGGCGGATAATGATGAACAATGGCCGGATCTTGGATATCGAGGCGGTGACGATGACGACGGCATTCTCCAGCCTGATATGCATCCATTAGTCGAACATGGGGGCAGAGAGTTAAATACGGCAGTAGATGGAAACTCACATATACCAGTGAATCCAAAAAGCGAAATGATCTATATCAACAGGGTAAGTTAGCTTTTTTCTTTTATGAAAGAAAGAAAACTGTTGAGAGCATACAGGTAAGATCTGGATAGGTCGTGTCCTGGATCTTGACCGTTTTGAGAATGGCGGCCACCATTGCTCTGGCAGATGTTAGCTGAGGTGATGATTTTCTTCATCATCACTCACATAATGCTCAGTGATAGCAGCAGACTCAAAGTGATTTTGGCATACAGCCGAAGGTTCAACGACACAACGAGGGTGATTCCCATCACGGTGAGACAGAGATCCGTCGCTGCGTTGACACCTGCCAGACAAGCCAATCAGCCAGCCCTAATTATGCGACGGGCAATGTCGAATTACCTCCTTGCAGATATCCAAAATAAATGACGACGGGTGAATCCCAGCAACTGCCTGAGTTCCAGGGGTCCCACAGGTGGGAGGGCGGCTGACACTGCGCAAAGGTGAGGATGACGGGGATGATGTTGAAGATGACCTGAGCAACGATCAGAGCCCAGAGGAGGTGTTTGCGAGGGCGGGACACGGCCATGATGAAAACGAGCAAAAAGAGAATGAAGGAGATGCGGCCGAACATGGGGCACAGAGCGGCCCAGGGGACAGCCATGACGTCGTACTTCAGGGCGTTGACATATTGCTCCCGGGTGAGATAGAAGGCATGACGACCGATGCCCCAGTGGACCGAAACGGTGTTCAAGGCCGAATTGACCGTTTGACAGATCTGTAGTTGCTGGACGTCAGTACCACTCGGTCTACCACTCGGTCTTTTGGGACGATTTTCACACTCACCCAAGCTACAATCATCAGGCCATCATCCAGCCCTAGCCTGCGGAGAACGGAGACCTGGGCGAAGAGGCGCAGAACCATGACCACACTGGAGATGCCGAATAAGACCCAGATGGCTACCAGGGCGCCGGTTTGGCGACTCACATCGCCATCGGGCGGTGGTGATTCGTGAGGGAGAGCCATGTATCAAGCTGAGCTCGATGGAGTATAGAACCATCATCCCATTGTGCTCCAGCACTCTCTATCTGTCTTCCCCTCTCTTTTTCGAAAGTCGCACGACTTCTCTCCGAACAACTAGAAAGATGCCCGGAGAAAAGTCTGCGCAGGAAATCCGCTAAGAAGAAAGCATGATCATCGGTCTGTGACAGATAGCAGCGAGCCTCTCGTGGCAAATCCGTTCTTCAGGCTGAAGTGGGGATTGTCTCACAGCGAGCACGAGGGTTGCAATCCATGCTACCTGCCTGAGGAACGTCCCAAAGCGGGGTGATGGACGATGATCGACCGGAATGCTCGGTGGTCACCAAATACCTCGAGCACGTCAGGCGAGGAGGGACGGCCAATGAAGTCGCCCAAGGGCCAGCAGCATCCATGGACGAGTGATAGTGCTCTTGCTCTCTGCGGCCTCTTCTGGAAAACTCAGCCGCTGAGCCAGGCGACTGGGTTGGTTATGACTGACGGGCGTGGCCGAGACCGCATGGCATTTCCATATCCGGCGAGATGCCATGACATTGGGGGAAATTAGTCTCGGTGAGTAGTTTTTTCTTCTTCTCCTCTTCTTGTCATGACACATCAAATCGAACAAGAGCGCCAATAATGCGATAGTTCAGCAATTCGATCCACCTGGACGAGATAAAGGGAGCGAGACGAGACTGCTGGACATCCAAGGGAGATGCAAGGCACCAGGCCGGCCAATCGGAAGGCATCTCACATTCTCGCTGAGCACCGGAATCCAGCAGTTGACAGGCTGCGCTAGAACGAGAACAGGAGTAACTCACGAGGGGAGACATGTGCAGCATGCAAGTTGTGACTTGGCAAGTTGGCAGACTGTCTGGTACGGAGCAGAGCCCTAATATCAGGGAACAGCCTGCAGATGACCTAGGTTGCACGCAGCCAATAAGATTGGGTCTCAGGAACACTCTATCCATGCAGTCTCCTTCTCTGAGTTCGAGTCAAGCATCGTCCTTGCGTCCAGCGATTTTCAGCAATATCGTCTCGTTTCGACGTTTTCTGGCCGTAGTTCATCTCACAGTTAGTGATCCTGTCTCTGTGCGGAGAAAGATGCCGTAGACAAGGAAAGCCCCGCCTCCGCAATCAACCCTGTCCAGGCGGGGCATCACCAAGCATCTATCACTGCTGAACAGAACACAATACAGGCGATTCTGCAATTGATTCATCTTCTACTTGTTTTGAAAATAGCATTCATTGATCAGCACTACACAGCAGAAACAGCACACAGCTGCAAGAAGGACAGTACACACATGCACCTATAGGTGACACCTCTCCACCATATATATATCGCGTACATACGTACAATACATCATGTCCAACTCATCATTTACACCCCGCAATATCCTCCTCTTCGGCGCCACGGGCACCATTGGCCGCTTCATCCTCGACGCCATCGTCTCCGCGCGCTCGGAATTTGACCGCGTCGTCGTCTTCACGTCGTCGGCTGCCGCAGCAGGGACCCCCAAGGCAGCCGTGCTGGATGACTTGGCAGCCAACAAGGGCGTGGAAGTCATCAGGGGGGATATTGCGGATGAGAAGGCTGTGGAGGAGGCTTATAGAGGTGTGTACTGCAGAAAAAAAAACACCATCAAAACACTATCAATGGGAGAGACAGCGATTTACATAACTACCTTCCTTCCAGGCATCGACACCGTAATCTCCTGCCTCGGCCGCACCGCCATCGCCGCCCAGATCCCCCTCATCAAGCTCGCCGCCGCCCCCGGCTCGTCGGTGCGATGGTTCCTCCCGTCCGAGTACGGTACGGACATCAAGTACGGCCCTTCCTCGGCTCACGAGAAGCCGCATCAGCAGAAGCTCAAGGTGCGCGCGTACCTGGAAGAAGACGACGCGGTGCGCAAGAGCGGGCTTAAGTACACCTACGTTGTGACGGGTCCGTATGCCGATATGTACATGCGCGGGTTGCCGGCGGGTCGAGAAGCTGGCGGGTGGGATGTGCGGGCGAGGAAGGCGACGCTGTTGGAGAGGGATGCTCCCGTTAGCTTGACGACGATGAAGGAGTATGTCTGATTTAATTAATTTACGGATATTCTTATCTGGCTTCCTGCTAACTGGTATAATATCTAGTGTCGGTACCCTCGTCCTAGCAACCCTCCGCCATCCCACTGCCTCCTTCAACCGCGCCCTCCGCGTCAACTCCTTCACCACAACCCCAGCCGCCATCCAGGCGGAATTCGAGCGCCAGACGGGCGGATCCCCCTGGTCTGACGTCCAGGTCACGTCGCTGGCCCGGCTGCGCGAGCTCGAGCAGGAGGCCTGGGACAAGAGCAGGCCCGAGGCGACGGTGCTGACGCTGCGGCGCATCTGGACCGAGGGCGGCACGCTGTACGAGAAACGGGACAATGAGGTCATTGGCGATCCGCCCATGATGACGCTTGAGGAGATTGTCGCGCAGTTGGTGAAGGAGGCTGAGTAGGGAGGCAGATAACCGGTACTTACTGTATAGTACTGTACATACAAGGAAAATAGGAACGTTGTGTATGCGCATACTTTCTCGATATGAGACCTGCAGCTGGGCCCATCGTAGCTCTTTTTGTAGACGTAGCAGTTATACATGTTCTAGAACTATAAATGGAAATGTTGAAAGATATTGAATTTCAGTTTGAACGACATTTTCTGAGTATCGGCTCTTTTTTCCCCCGAATCACTCTCCAATACCAGATCAAAACCATAAGTAGCTGCCTTCGTAAAACCAAGCCCAATGTTGAAAAGAAGAATGGTATAGTGCCAATCCATATTCCTGGGAATCATTCTTGGATACATTATCCAACCAAACCCTGAGCAGGCCCCGTTGCAGATTGAGAGACTTCGAAATTTTGTCCTATTCTCTTCCCATCTTTCGCATCAATTTCTTTTTTTTTTTAAAAGTTTTT